TCCCCAGACGTCTGTTGAGTGTTGTAAGAAGAAGGGGGGATGCCACAGAGTGGTAAAAATGGACTTGTCCCAACTTTTTTGGGATTTGTTGACGCCATGAAATTTGGAAACAACAGATTTTTCACTTAAAATGATACATTCTCTCAGTTTAAACTTTTGATCTGTGATTTGTGTTCTATTCTGAATAAAATATTAGATGTTGGCACCTCCACATCATTGCATTCAGTTTTTATTCACAATTTGTTTAGTGTCCCAACTTTTTTGGAATCCGGTTTGTATTTTTGGCACATCACCGGCCCACATTTCCGGGTTTTTGTCGGTGACGCGTAATGGTGCGACGTAAATGGCGAAGTAGGGCTGTTGTAAACAAATATTTTAGTAATCGGGTGATCTATAGATTATTCTCACGATTAATCGGGTAATCGAAAACAATATTTGTCAGGTTCTGCAGTAACTACTGTACTCATTTATGAGTGCTACAAATACATGAAAAAAGAACATTAAATAAACAACCCATTTAATTCCTCTTTTTGAAATATTTTATTGCTTAAGTTGAATTATTTTTAAACATCACATAAAAATCTAAATGCTGTATAATTATTTTTATGGATTTTAAAACTGAATGGAATTTACAAAGTAGGATCTGGAAGGAAGGACATAATTTGGATTGACGGTGGAGATGATCTTCTGGAAGTCTTCATCTTCCACCACGGACAGCAGCTGCACGTCTGTGATGATCATATTTAAAATGCTGTTTGTGAACTCAGCTGTTCATGGCATAAACCAACAGACATGTTCCTGTTTTTAGTATTTTACATCACTTTATAATGTAGCTGTTTTTGTTTAGTTTTTTTTAAATTTTATATAATTCTATATATTTTATATAATTTTCAAATCATGTTTTTTTTTTATTTTTATGATTGTCTACTGTTGTACTGATAAATATCTCTGGAGGGTAAACTATATCTTGACTGCAAGTATCAAGCTGTGAAATCTTTCGTTTTCTAGAACTGATAGTGGTTGGTCATTAATTATGATGAAGTTTAGCAACTTCTCAGTAAACATTTGAGCTCCGTGGTTTCAGCGACGTCTTCTTCTTGTTCAATCTGAAGCAAGCAGCCTGATTTGGGGCAGCCACGCTCAGTCTGTCCCTCCTCAGAGACGGGCAGACTGAGCGGGGCAGATTGGACGCAGCTGGCCGGGTTTGCATTAGCTGTTTCGGGTCGAGCAAAGAGCAGCGCCCCACTGAAGCCACGGAGCTCGAATGTCCATCGTAAAACTAACTTTACCGCGGTTTAATGTGGCACTATGGCCCTGCTTACATTGCACGATGCTGTCTTGTTTTGTGGTGTTTCTAGTGTAAAATACTTCCACGCAGCGGACATGTTTCGATGAAAAGTTTGTTAGCTGTTAGCCACAGTGCTGCTAACTCAGTCCTCACGTTGTAGCTGGCTGCAAACTATGAACTGGATTTCCTGAATGTGAGGTGGGTCTTATTACTCTGGGTTCATGAGACACGCCGCCGTTCAGGAAATCCATTCCATAGTTTGAAGCCAACTTGCATCATGGATCGGAAATATCGGCAGGTTGGATCGGAAAAATCCGATACGTAAATTGTGCTGGTATCAGAGCCCGATACGGATACTGGATCGGATCGGCCCCATCCCTAGATTTAACATTAGCAAAAATATGCCTCATTTTACATCTATAACATGACAGATTATCACACATTTAGGTTAACGTATTTTGCAAAGAGAACATACCTGTTGCAGCTGCGGATGAGTTTGATGCTACAGCGGTTGTTTTCTCTTCAGACGCTGCAACATTGACGACGTGATGTTGTGGTTACTCCAGTTCTGCTTTGCAGTGGAAGCATTTTGCTGTGCTGTCTTCTCTGTTTAGTCTAAAATGTTCCCAAACTTTTGACAGTTTTTGTTGTTTTTGGGGCTCTTCTTCTAGGCAGTCTCCATTTGTGTAACACAAAAACCTTCCGGCTAGACCACAGTGCTCTGAATAGTTTAACGAAGCTTTGAGGCAAATAAATTTGCCTTGAGGATGTTTTGTAATCGAGGTCCTCGAATGATTCGAGGAATCGTTTCAGCCCTACGGCGAAGCGACATATTTATGGATTTTCCACTTTATTAGACACATTTGGACTGAGGCGACTTATAGGGCAGAGCGACGTGTACGGCGGAAAATACGGTATCCCTGACACTTGCCTCCCTGCACTTCATCTTGCTTGCACTCTCTTCTTCACCTCTTTTGTCTTCTGCTTATTGCTTAGATGGTAAATCCCAAATACCTGAACTCATCCACACCTTCAGTATCTCTGCTTCTTGCTGCTTCACTGTCACACCCATCTTACTCTTGTTCACACACATTCTGTTTTGCTTCTCCTGCCTTTCATTCCTCATCTCCAGAGTATACTTCTACCTCTCCAGACTCTCTTCCTCCTGCCCTGTACAAATCAATGTCATCTACAAATGTGTTATTCCATTGAGGATCCTGCTCAATATAATTACTTCATTATTTTTCTTCTCCCTGTTTTTGCCGTTTACTTTTAGGCTCCACAATACAAGAAGCTGTTTCTTGTTGTTGGAACATGTCTTTCAAAAATTCACATAATTTAAGCTTCAGTGAGTTTCTTTAAACAACCAACCATTGTTTGTCTTTGTGTCACAGTTGTGTTCGTAAGAACCTCATCCCCGCTCAGCCAAGTGAGTCCACCAGTGGCAGAATAGAGAGCAGTGTCAGAGGGTCTGGATCTCCTCGGCCTGCAGGGTGAGTTGCAGTTCATCCATGTTCACATCCTGCTTTGATGTTTGTTTGTACACTAACACGTTTTAAAATCATTTCTTAAGAGTAAAACCTAAAGTCGATGTGCACATGGCAGTGGCCCCTCCAGTCATGGCTACAATTGAAGCATTGCCAGTGCAGGGAGGGGAGCAGCAGGGGGTGGCCTCCAACCCCCAGCACCTGGCTCAGGCCATCCCCACCATGCTTGCCACACCTGGTCCTGTGCCTCCCTGCCAGCCTTCTACTGTTCTTTCATCCCTGCCCGCAGCCATGGCTGTAACCCCCCCTGTTCCTGCCTCAATGGCCAACACTGTGGCCTCCCCCACCCAGCCTGCAGCCAGTAGCACTGCTGCATGTGCTGCCAGTTCCACCTGCCCCGATGTCAAAATCAAACAAGAAGTAGAGTCCATAGATACCTCCCTGCCAGGTGAGAGCCATGTTTGTTTTTCATATCAGTGATCTGATTTGAAAAATGAAAAAGTCTCATATGTCTCAATATGTCCATCCTTTCAGACTCCAGTGTGAGTATGTCGTCAGCGCCTGCGCTCACCACCCAGGCCAACACACTGACCACTCCCGCAACAGGAGATCTGATTCCTGGGGCTTCGCCGAGGAAGAAACCCCGCAAACAGCAGCACATTATTTCAACTGAGGAGAGCGAGATGATGGAAACCAACAGCACAGACGAAGAGAAGGCCCCAGGCAGACCCATCACCAGCAGGGCGGAGAGACGGGAGTCCCCACCAAGGGAATACGTTGGTATGATTTACAAGCAAAAACTGTAAACACATTATTCATCACCCTCTAGATCACGAGTTAACCACCTGGTTTGTCTCTTGAAGATGAAGAAGGCGTTCGATATGTGCCCGTCAGGCCTCGTCCACCCATCACACTTTTGCGGCACTACCGTAACCCCTGGAAGGCTGCCTACCATCACTTTCAGAGGTACAGCGACATTCGGGTCAAAGGTGAGGATCTTCTTGTTTTCTGATAAATGCAATGTTTTTAATTTGCACTAATTTATTGTGTTCTGTTTTTACTTTGTTTTATCTTGTAAAGCACCTTGGTCAATGCAAGGCGTTGTTGGAAGATGCTATAGAAATCAAGCTTATTATTATTATTATTATGTATGAAAATTAACTGGATTTCAGATAACAGTTTTGTTTTTCTTTCAGAGGAAAAGAAGTGCACCTTACAGGATATGGCCAACCAGAGGGGCGTAGCCTGCAGAGCACAAGGCTGGAAGATTCACTTGTGTGCTGCGCAGCTCCGACAGTTGGTGAGCGCTCGCGTCCCGTTTATTTTAATTGGTCAAGAAATATATCCCTGTTGACCTGATTGTTTTGTTGTTTTTGTGCTGCACTATAAGTACACTGCAAAAGTCATTGTTGCAACAAGATTACCTTCTGAATAACAAGAACTGGTTTTTATCTAACTCTGCAGTCACAAGGAATGCTCTGAAACATTTGAGAAATATAAAAGCACTCTTTGACTTACGTCCATAAACTTTCTCTTGTCCAGGACTTAACTTCTGATCTGCTCCAGATAATTTAACAAAACTTAATACACATGCACATCATCACTAGACAGAGCGTAATGCATGCTTTTTATCACCCCAACTTCAAGTTCAAAATCACAATTCCAGTTCAGTTCATTTATTTATAAAGCACCAAGTCACAACAGAAGTCATCTCAGAGCACTGAACAGAAACATTCATATATAAAAAGACAATTAGTAAAAGTTATCTATCTAAGGAAACGGCAGATTGTGTTGCACAAATCAAGGTCAAATTTAAAACAAGGTCTTTGCTTGTTTGGTCCACATCTACAATAATGCTCAGTCAGGTCATCTGGACAGTTTCTTTTTTGTGGAAAAACGTTTCACCCTCTATCCAGACGGCTTCATCAGTCTGAGGAGTCTCAAGTAAACTGTTTTCCCCACTAAGCAGTACACTCCTTTAGTGGACCAACCAGTTTGCTGGTGATGAGATGTTTCTGGGGGCTGTCCTGTCCCCTGTCAACTCTTCCCAGGCAGGCAGCCACAGCCAAAGTGGTTGAAGACATCAAAGTTTGTGCTCAATCATCCAGGTGCAAAATCCATTAATGGTCAGTCAGGTCATCTGTACAGAAACCATCTCATCACCAGCAAACTGGTTGGTCCACTAAAGGAGTGTACTGCTTAGTGGGGAAAACGGTTCACTTGAGACTCCTCAGACTGATGAAGCCCTCTGGATAGAGGGCGAAACATCTTTCCACAAAAAAGATACTGACCAGATGACCTGACTGAGCATTATTGGATTTTGTACCTGGATGATTGAGTCATTGTTCATCAAGGACTGCTACTCTGACATTCTCCAGAACCTTTTCTTCATTGTTTTAATTTAATTGAGCCTTTTTTTAATTGCAAGATGATTGAGCACTTTTAAAACTTGTTTCTCACTGTTTTAGACAAGTTTGGAACACGATGTATACAGCCGCCTCTCCACCCTCCAAGAAGGCCTTATTCCCAAGAAGAGGGCAGGCGCAGACGATGACCTTCACCGAATCAACGAGCTCATACAGGTATTCTATCTACTGCAGCCAGGAGCCGAGTGGAACAATGAACTGTGAACTGCTGATATTAGGCTACGGTTTTACCCTACTTTTCAAACTATAACGCACACCGGATTATAAGGCACATTAACAAAACAAAACAGTCAGATACTGTAAGTCAAACTTCATTCAACTTATTCACAATAACCACATAAAATTGGTTTGAGGTCAGCAGGCACACCCAGAATTAATACATAAGGTGCACTGGATTATAAGGCTCACTATTGATTTTTGAGAAAATTAAAGGATTTTAAGTGCGCCTTATAGTCTGAAAAATATGGTAATTGAAAACTTGAGTTTACTGTTGACAGTATGTATGACACAGTGCTGCTATAAATACCACAACTTACAGCTCTACAGGGACTACAGTGCTTTTATAATAAAAAGATTGGCAAAAGATTTTTAACAGTATCAGCTGATATCATAGACATAATGTTGCAATCATTCTTTAAGGAACCATTTAGGTGTGTGTTATATATCCACTAAGACCTGATGCAAGTAACACACCAGTTCATAATAGAGTTTACAGCAGACACATTAATAGTCATAGATATTAATATGGATGTAAATATTTCTACATTGGTTGTACACAGTTCACTTATTCCTTTCTTTCCGAGCTCTCTTCTCGTGACGCTCGGCTCGTTTCCTTTTATCTTCCTTTCTGTTGAAGTCTTTCTGTAAATGTCATGAGTACACCTCCTCCTTATACCTCTGCTACAAAATCCTTCCATCTGTGGAGTACATCACAAAATGTCCTTGGTTGTGTCTTTATATCTAAGAAGTTAGCAGAAGTTGTTTCAAATTTAAAATTTCTAACAGTTTTGTGTCTTCAACAAGTCTCCAACAGTTACAATTGTAAAATTGTAAAATGTGTTTTAAAAATGACAACACGGCCTGAATTCCTGGTTGTTGGAAGCTGTAGGTGCAGATCACCCTGGATCTTTGTGCTAAGGGACTGTGAAAACTTGTGTTTGGGACTGTTTTCGTTTCAGTTAATAGTTGTGCTGTCTTCTTCAGGGTAACATGCAGCGCTGCAAGCTGGTGATGGATCAGGTGACCGAGGCCAGGGACACTATGATGAAAGTGCTCGACCACAAGGACAAAGTGCTGAAGCTGCTCAACAAGAACGGCACTGTCAAGAAGTCCTCCAAACTGAAGCGTAAAGAACGTGCGTAAGCGTGACTCTTGTCCCTGGACAGCCCCTTCTGTCCCCTCAGACAGGGACAAGGAGCTGCTCTGAACTTTGGTGCTATGATTTGCTGCATACAATCACACGCACCCTTCTGAACTGCCTCAGAGTGGACAGAAAGAAGCCACGAGGAGGGTTCAACAAGCAGAAGAGCCAATGTGAAGAACGTTCTCGTTAATAATACAATGGACACGCAGAGCGTAAAACATCTTTGTGTGTGCGGCCAACTGGACGACATGTTTCCTCCCTTTCTTTGTAGATCTGAGGCCATTTTTATTACTTAGTTTCTGATTCTTCTTCTATGACCGTTGGAAGGTGTATTGTGATGATCGGCATGCAGCTGCCGCAAATCTGACTCAGCATTTCCTGTCAGAATATTTTGAGTTAATGTGAATGACCTAAGAGATACAGGATTGAGTAAATATTTTTTAAAGCAGCTGTGTGTAAACAGACTAATTTCCGTTGTGCTCTTTTCATCAGTCTGTGCCTTCATTTTGTCTGTGTACAAAGATATGTGTAAGCTATATTAAAGTACACAAATACATTTCTTTTCTTTTTTTTAATCCTGCGCATTTTTAGTTGATGGATACAGGGGTCCCTGTTATCAGCCACATGTTTAGGTGTAATCTAAAGATCAAAATTACATGTTAATTTGATTTAATGTAGAGACAAATCTTGTAAAAGATGGTTAGCATCCTTGGTTCTGAAAGTAAAAATGACGATTTTATATTCAGAAGATAAATAAATGTTACAACAGCGATAACCTCGTTTATGTTGGCCTCATCGCTAATGAGTTCTGGGAGGAAAAGAGAGCAGACTGAATTTATGTAAATCTGTAAATGTTTTTTTGTTTTCCATTGACTCCATTCTTTTCATGTTTTTGTACTGAAGTGCTGCTTCATGCTGCAGAGAAGTGACTGTAGCATCACAGTATGAAGCTAGCTGAACAACATCTAGCCACTGTACATTGTTTTTGTCTGTGTAATTATAGTAAAGCTACCTAAACATGACGATCTATGATCACGTGGTTTTTTTCAGCCTCCATGATTTTTATTAACCTGTTTTGGTTTTGTCTTGCATCATGAAAAGGGGGGATTGGAAATACCCTCCGTCTGCGTTCATCCGTGCATGTCGTAAGGATGATAACTTTAAAAATAAGAGATGCCAACTTCCATTTTGATGTATGGCTACATCTAGGCATGAGAAAGGTCCCTTATGAAAATTGGGTTACCACATCAAAATTCAAGATGGCTGCTGCCATATACCAATATGTGCATAGTTATCCTTGTGAGCTTGGAAAATTGAGCAACATTCTGACTACCAGTAACTCGAAATCTGGGCCAGATGATGGCCACCTTGTTAACTACTATCATTTCAGGAAAATATGCTTATAAGCAATTTAAAAACTAGAAAGCATACTTTCCTCAACTGATTGGGGTGGCTAAAGGATAATATATGGTGGTCAAGGCCACCATTGGCCACCCCCTGGCTTTGTCATTGTGCCTGGTAGTGGATAAAATAGCTTTCTCAGCTCAGACAAGCAAAAAGAAAAGCCTACCTCTGTTCATCTACACAGTAACTGTACCCACTTGAACATCTTGCACCAAAAACATTTGTTTACTTGAACAACAAAACGGTTAAATCATGTCATCTGGACCAGTTTCTTTATGCTGGGCTAGCTATAATTGCTTTCTAGTTGATGTTTACTTGCATTCCCTGTTAATTCAATCATCCAACCATCCATCATCTTGCACTTGTTCTGAAGTCTGGTTTTGGGGCAGCATCTTGAACAGGGAGGTCCAGACATCTCTTTCCACAGCCACCTCTTCTAGATCTTCTGGGAGGACTCCAAGGTGTTCCCAGGCTAACCGAGAGACAGACTCTCCACCTATCCTGGGTCTTCCCCGGGTCTTCTCCCAGTGGGACATGCCCGAAGCACCTCCCTAGGGTGGAGCCCAGGGTGCATCCTTACCAGATGCCCAAGCCACTTCAACTGGCTCCTCAATATGAAGGAGCAGCGGTTCTACTCTGAGTCTCTCCTGTTAACTGAACTTCTCACTATCTCTAAGGGAGAGTCCAGCTACCCTGCGGAGGAAACTCATTTCAACCACCTGTGTCCACGATCTCATTCTTTCGGTCACTACCCAGAGCTTGTGGCCATAGGTGAGGGTAAGAACATAGACAGACCAGTAAACAAAGGAGCTTTTCCTTAGCTCAGCTCCGTATTTACCACAATGGACACAGTCTGCAATACTGCCGATGCTGCACCAATCAGTCTGTCAATCTCATGCTCTTCCCTCACTCGTGAGCAAAACCCTGAGATGCTTGAACTCCTCCACTTGAGGCAGAACCTCACCTTTGACCTGAAGAGATCAATCCCCTTTTTCGGTTGAGGACCATGTCCTCAGATTGGGAGGCATTAATTCTCATCCTAGCTGCTTCACACTTGGCTTTGGACTCCCTCCGCCCCCTGACTGCACTGAGAAATTATGTCCATAAAACTTATGAACAGAATCGGTGACAACGTGCAGCCCTGGTGGAGTCCGCCTCCCACCCTCAAGGGGTCCATCTTACTACCAGCAATGTGAACCAAGCTCTCGCACCGCTTTTATTGGGACTGAACAGCCCATAGCAGCAGGCCCCCAGTCCCATACTCATGGAGCACCCCCCCACAGTGTACCCCAAGGAACACGGTCGAATGCCTCCTCCAAGTCCACAAAACGCATGTAGACTGGATGGGCAAACTCCCATGACCCCTCGACAGGGCCAGCCCAAGGCATAAGCAAACTAAGCGGCTGCTTAGGGCCCCGGGGCCACTAGGGGGCCCCATAAGTGGAATTTAATTAATTAATTATTTTATTTTTTTGTAATAATTTCTATATGATTATTTATTATTTTAAGGTCCGCGTTTGCAAATTGTTTCATACATTTACATAGTTTTAAAAACTAATTACTCAACTTTAAATTTCTTTTTTAAACCATTTTACGTGGTTTCAAGTAATTGTTCATTAAAGTGTTTCCTTGATATTTTATTTTTTATTTTATTTTATTTGCTTGATTGAACTTATTTTTATGCATTTAAGTTATTTTATCTTTGTTGTTGATCCTGCGCTACAAATTATTTTGAGCATTACTGTAGCAGTTCTTTGGAACCAAAGATAATAAACCAGATGCCACGTTTGCTGTAAAATACATTACATACTGGTGATTTTTTTTTTCTTTTGTTACTTTTAGTACCACTACATATAGACATATAGGGTAATGTCAACAGGGCTGTCAGAGCTGCAATAAGTTCATGTTAGGCGGGTGAATGCTCTGATCATCTGACTGTTGATTACAGTAATCCACATTATTAGCAGAAATAGAGGGCCCCATGGAGGCGAGGGCCAGCACTGCCCCTCGAGGACCCTAGTGACGATAAAGAGCTGGTCCAGTGTTCCACAGCCAGGACGGTCTATTCAAATCCAATCCAGAAAAACACTCATGTAGAAAATTGCAAAAACATTCACTATTCAAGTCTCTCAGTGACGGAGGCCATTGGTGTAGTGCTTGTTTTCAAATTAGCATCTAATCATTAATAAGCAGGCAGCACAGCATTTTTTTAAAGGATATTGGGGGCCAGATTGAGATTGCCCAAGGGCCTCATATGACTCCCCAAGCCATATATTGCCCATGTGTGAGCTACGAAGGACCTGAGCTGTTGTTATCCAGATTCTATTCTTACCAGATTAACCCAGTAATTTATTTTTACTGTCTGCTGTTTCACAATTTAATTGCCTGTAAGTACATACATGCTGGCAGGACATAACCAGTTAATAATGTGATATGGACCAGGAAATAGGACTAAAATCATCCCATTAAAGACTCATTTGACCAACGCTTCCTGCTTCTGGTGTTTAACATTATTTAATAGGCAGGTTTTCTCACATCTACACAGAAACATCGTGCGCCACTGAGTTTCACATCTACAGACTTTGTTTTATCTTCTCATTGTGTGAGTTCGAGCCTTACGGCTGTTAATGTGTTTAAAAACAGCTGAAATGAGTCTTGTTGATAACAATGGGTGGTTCAGCCTTTGTAGGAGCAAAGTCAAAGGGCCATAAAGTGGGATAATGCTGGGAAAGCTTCCTGCTTCGTAATCATTCAAGGAAAAGTTCCCTCCACGGCTGCTGGGGCTTCAACCACAGAGAGACACCTTTTCTCAGGTAAGATCTGACCTGACTGAGCCATAGAAAAAGCTTGTGTTTATCCTTAAAATGAAAACCCAGAAGATGTTATTGTTAATTTATATTTTTTTACATTTTATCATTTTATGCTACAACTGACTATTAACAATAAAGTGGTAGTTTTAAAAGCGAAAGTCAAGTTTAAATAATGAGTTAAATAAATGCAGTGAACATATAAAGTGATGTTTATGTGACTAATGTGACATACTGTGTCTTTATAGATAGTTTTAGGTGTTTCTTTATTTTCACAGTATTTTACTCTTATTGATATAAAACCTATTGAGGTGACCTGAAGTCTGTGGTCTAATAAAGCAGTTAAATATTAAGCTTTTCATTTTGATCTAAAGTAAAATAGTTTCTTCATTTTATTTTTCAGAACATTTCTACATTTCTACCATGTTGCATTTGAGTAAGGTAAGAGTGGGTTATCTATATCTATATCTATATCTATATCTATCTATCTATCTATCTATATATATATATATATATATATATATATATATATATATATATATCTATATCTATATCTATCTATCTATCTATATATATATATATATATATGTATGTATAATATATACATATATATATATATATGTATGTATGTATGTGGGTGTGTGTTCAAATTCTCTTTGAGGTTTTATGAGAGCTTCTCTTTTTTTCTGATCAGGGAGATTTTGTATGGGTGGACTCTGGTGGTGGGGTGCCGATTGGGGCAGAGGTTAAGGTTACGGACACCGGGCAGCTTCATCTGGTCGATGATGAAGGAAAGGTATAACGCCCTGAAAACTGTTCATTGTCATAAAAATCCACTTGAATGGGTTTGTGTAATGGCTGCTTTACTACAAACAGGAGCACAAGGTCAACAAGAAGATTGAGGGCAGTGTCCGGCCCATGCACCCCACCTCTGTGAAAGGTGTGGATGACATGATCTTGCTCGGTGACCTGCACGAGGCTGGCCTGCTCAGGAACCTGATGGTGCGCCACAAAGAGGGCATCATTTATGTGAGTTTCTCTTCCACTGAGTCACTGAACAACCGCCCAGTTTTATGATGTCCATAACCTGCTGTGAAAAAAGCTTCGACGTCAGCGTGTTCACTTGCCACCGACAGCTTTGAGTCGTAGACTTTGCCCTGCAGTTTATCGCAGATCAACTGTTGTCTCCATAGAGACGAATGAGCCTCTGTTGTAAGATAACTCTCCAGTATTTCCTGCTTCGCAGCATCAAAGCTCAACGGTGTGTGCTCAGTTGGGAATTAGGACATTTTATGGAAAGAAACATCCATCCATCCATACATCCATCATCTTTACTCGCTTCTTTCTTTTCTGGTGGTGGGAGTCACTGGTGCCCATATCCAGCAATCACTGTGTGAGAGGCAGGGGACACCCTGGGCAGGTCTCTAGTCCATCACAGAGACACACAGAGACAAACAATCATTCACTCTCTCACTCTCACCTAGAGACAATTTAGAGTTACCAGTCTTTCTAACATGCATGTTTTTGGTCTGTGGGAGGAAACTGGAGTACCTGGAGAAAACCCACGCATGCACGGAGAGAACATGCAAACTCCACCCCGAAAGTTCCCCAGCCGGGATTTGATCTGGCCACCATCTCGCTGAGAGGCATGATGTTAAGAATTTTGACATTACGTATAATTGAAAATAGTACAATAAATAATTTAAATAAATTGTATTGAATTGAATTGAATTTCAGATGTAGATAGCTTTTGTGTTTCCTAATTTTTCCATTTTATTCTTAACATTTTTTTAAAGTTTGTTTTTTTTATTCTTCTAGTAACTAGTAGCATTATACATCATATAATTTTCAGTGGTTCAGGTCATATTTGACAGAAGTTTATCTTTTAAAATAAATTAACATTTTCAAAAACTCAGCACCTCTTACAGTATCTGCATGTGGAGTTCCTCAAGGATCGATTCTGGGTCCTGTATTGTTCTCACATGTAGCCTTTAGAATCCATCCATTTTCTTTACCTTCTGGTTCCTGTTTAGAGTCATAGAGAGCTGGTGCCTGTTTCCAGAGTCATTGGGTGACAAGGTTTACCCAAGACAGGTTGCCAGTCAATCAATGGGACCTCATGAACACAAATGAGACAGACCACCGTCCTTGCTCACTCTCCCACCTATGAACAGTTTAAAGCCATCGGTTAACTTCTATATTTTGTCTGTCTAAAACAAGTCTCTCTTGAAAATGAGTCCTCGTGACTCAATGAGACTACCTGTATAAATAAAGGTTAAATAGCAAAAATTTAATATGCATGTTTTTGATTTATTGGAAGAAACCGGTGTAGTTGGAGAAAACCCATACATGCACATTTTATATTGTTATAACTGTTAGAAATTTTATGTTGGTTGTACTAAACCAAAAGTTCTTTGTAAAAATCATTGCCAATAACAGTAGTTTTTTGCATTTTCTTTTGTTCTAGTTTAGGAAAAGTTGTTCTTTTATTTTAAATTTTGGAAACTGCAAAATACAGGCACAATTTAAAGTCAGATTTTTTTTACTCCTACTCATTATCTGTATCAAGATTTATACTGGTTATTTGGAATAAGTGATAACTTCAATCTCACTGATTACTGAGCTTTTAAGGAATATTGGACAACTTGAAGTTGGGTTCAATAATGGTCAATCAGGTCATCTGGACAGTTTCTTTTGTTTGTGGAAAGACGTTTCGCCCTCTATCCAGAGGGCTTCATCAGTCTGAGGAGTCCCAAGTAAACTTTTCCCCACTAAGCTAAGCAGTACACTCCTTTAGTGGACCAACCAGCTTGCTGGTGATAAGATGGTTTCTAGGGGCTGTTCTGCCCCCATCGACTCCTTCCCAGGCAGGCAGCCACAGCCAAAGTGGTTCAAGACATCAAAGCCCAGATGAAGCCCTCCAGATAGAGGGCGAAACATCTTTCCACAAAAAAAGAAACTGTCCAGATGACTTGACTGAATGACCGTTACTAGATTGTGTACCTGGACGATTGAGCATGAACTTTGATGTCTGGAAGTTGGGTTCTGTGTCTAAACTATGAATATAATCTTACCTGTTATAAATGGTGCTTTAAACTTATTAAATTTATAGAAATCAAGTTTAGTTCTGACTGAACTGAAGCGCAAATGGCTAGTCGTAATGCAGCTAAAACCAAAGTAGATTGTTCAGGTATTTCCAATCTCCAAAACATTATCTTGCATGCAAATGCTATTCATGCAATCCACTACTCACAGATTTGTAAATAACCATAAAACACAAAATTAACTGAAGTGCATACATGTATGAAATTGCATTTACACAAACTAAATTGAAAATTTAGAGACTGGTGCTGTTTAAAAATACAATATTTTACTTTGATTTTAGTCTAATTATTTGTTAACTTCCCAGTTGTGCCAGACCTCTACTCTATTTCTCCAAAACTGTTTGTTTAAAAAGCTATTTGCAACAGGTAAAATATTCTTTGCTTAAAGTCTTTTCACAGAATCCCATTTTAAATGCCTGAGCTCTCCCTTTAAGTACTGTTACTGTGACTGAAATGGGCTCTTTGCCTTGTTGCTTTGCATCAACCATAATAACTTGTTTATGCTTGTGTTCTCAAAAATACGTCCATTAAATGCGCTTCTGTTTGACAGCTCGCATCTCTCTGTTTGTAGACGTACACAGGCTCCATTCTGGTGGCAGTGAACCCCTACCAGCTGCTGCCCATCTACACCACTGAGCAGGTGCACATGTATACAGATCGACGGCTGGGGGAACTGCCGCCGCACGTCTTTGCCATCGCAGACACTTGTTTTTTCAACATGCGACGCAACAAAAAGAACCAGTGCTGTGTCATCAGGTGTGTTTCGACCGCATAACAAAACACTGAAACTCTTTTCAAATGATTTTATTCTGACTTGGTCCAAAAAATTATTTTTGGCTATTTCTGGTAAAGACAAACTGAAACCAGGGATGTACGCTCTGATATACTGAACACATAATGAATGACTAAAACAAAGGCTTCTAGGCTGAAGGGAACCATAAGGAAGAGGTTTTGGAAATAATCAAGTGGTACACCGATGTCCCACCATCACTGAGGGATTTTAACAGTGAATGTTTGGAGTTTTCAAAATGAGTGTTTTTCTGGACTGGAATTGAACAGGGAATGAGAGTAAACCTCAGTGTTTTTTAGTGCAAGATGTTCAAGTGGGCAGGAGTTACACTGTGTAGAGAACAGAGTTAGTTTTTTTTTCTTGTCTGAGACCGCACAGAGTGACGGATCCTGGTGAGTCAAAGAGGCAGTTTTATCCACCACCAGGTGCAGTGGTGGAGCCAGGGGGTGGCCAGTGGTTTAATTATGGCCTTGGCTGCCATAGATTAATCTTCGGCCACTGCAACCATGTGAGGAAACTATATCTTTAATTAAGCAAGAGAATCACTGGTGCAGTTGGTAGAGCTGCCGCCTCTACGCGAGAAGGTTGCTGGATAGAATCCTGGTCAGGAGGCCTTTCTGGGTGGAGTTTGCATGTTCTCTCCGTGCATGTGTGGGTTTTCTCCGGGTACTCCAGTTTCCTCCCACAGACCAAAAACATGCATGGTTTCCTCTGATTGAACTGGCTGGTTTACATACATACAGTATGTGGTAGTGGCCATCTTGAATTTTAACCTGGCCACCCAGTTTTTGACAGTGACCTTTCTTATGCAGATGTAGCCACACACCAATATAGAAGTTGGCACGTTGCTTATTTTTCAAGTTATCCAGCTCACGATGTTAACAAAAATTCATATTAGGAGGTCTTGGATTTTTATGTGGAAACCTAACCTTTGAAACAAACTTTAATTATGCCTAGATGTTGCCATAAACCAAAATGGCAGTCGGTATCTCACTTATGTTTCAATTTACTATGCTCACAACATGCACGAATGGAGTGTATTTCCTTTTCTCTCTCTTGGCTGTGTGATGGGTGTCATAAACTCTGTCACAAACATAAACAAAGATTACTCATGAATACATGAATACTGACAACTGTTCACATGTATTTTCTTCTCCAGTGGCGAGTCAGGAGCAGGAAAAACTGAGAGCACCAAGCTGATGCTGCAGTTCCTGGCTGCGGTCAGTGGCCAGCACTCCTGGATTGAGCAGCAGATTCTGGAAGCTAACCCCATCCTGGAAGGTCATAATCAAGTGGCCACACAAAAGTTTCTTAATCAGATCAGTTCTCTCTTTTTCTGCTTCTTGATTTTCCAGCTGTCCCCTTTATGAAGACTCTAAAGAAGATTGTCTGACTCCTTTCCCATCCTGTGCACCCATGACCCTTCTCTGTGGCCTGCCTTCTTTACTCCTCTCTCTAAAGCATACCTCCAGACTGGCTTCCTTCTATTGTCTAGTCTTAACACAGATCTACTGACATCTGATAACAAAATCTATGTTTCTGTCTTAGCCTTTGGCAATGCTAAAACCATCCGCAATGACAACTCCAGTCGATTTGGAAAGTACATTGACGTCTACTTCAGCAAAGGAGGTGCCATTGAAGGGGCCCGAGTGGAGCAGTACCTGCTAGAGAAGTCCAGAGTTTGTCGTCAGGTGAGAATATTAAGCAGCTTCTTCTTTATTACTGTAATGAGGCACAAGTCAAGTTTTCTTGTAGTAAAGAATAATAATTTTTACAATTAGGCGCCTCAGGAAAGAAACTACCACATTTTTTATTACATGCTGATGGGCATGTCAGCAGAGCAGAAGAAAATCCTTTCCCTTGGGACTGCAGCAGAGTACAAATACCTGACCATGGTGCTGTAATCTATCCTTACTGTTGCTTTAACCATACACATACGAAGTGTGTACCACAGATAAAATAATAAGGGTTCTTATTTAAACAGGGCAACTGCACGAGTTGTGAAGGACGTGATGATGTGATGGAGTACGCTCACTTTCGTTCAGCACTGAAGATCCTCACATTCTCAGAGTCCGACTCCTGGGAAATATCTAAACTGCTCGCTGCCATCCTTCACTTGGGCAACGTGGGCTTTGAGAGTAAGAACACATTTTCTTAAATTCTACCAATAGTCACAGTTTGTCAGTCATTGGCTGTAATTTTCTGAACCATTTCAGGCACCATAATAAACAACCTGGAAGGCTGTGACATCCTCAAGTCGGCTCATTTCAACATGGCCAGCCAGCTGTTAGAGGCAGGTGCAGTTTTTTTCTGCTGATAAAAACGGCAAACCAAGACCTTATCTGACAGCGTTCCCTCCTTTTATTTAACTTCAGGTAGACCCTAAAGCGCTGGACAAAAGTCTTACTCAACGTTCTGTCACAACTGCAAGAGACACTGTGAACAAAATTCTGAATCCTTCTCAAGCTCTGGATGGAAGGGACGCGTTTATCAAGGTGAAAGAAGTAGATCTCTTCAGTCCAAAATATGAAGATTACTGTTCTCAAGTGACCCTTGTTCTTGAGATGTAGGCAGACCTCTGAGTGCAGTTCTGAAGAAGTGGATCATGCTTTAGTTCAAGTTCATGTATCTTTATTGTCATTTGTCTCACATGTGGTACATGAGGTGGAACGATATTGTGTACTCAAGTACACAGGTACATTTAGTGTACTTGTTGTAGCAGAATGTCTTTGTAGATAAATAGATTCAAAGCCGAGCAAAGTCCCAAGAAAAGTTTCTATGGTTTTAGTTTTTATGATAGTCTCCACTGGATTGTCCCCCACTGCAGAGTGAACAGGGGGGATTGGAAATACCCTTTGTCCATCCATCTGTCCGTCCATCCATCTGTTTGTCCATCCATGTGTGCATGTTCCTGGCAGGATAACTTAAAAGATAAATGAGGTATCAATTTCCATTTTGTTGTGTGGCTGCATATAGGCATAGGTAAGGTCACCATCAAAAACTGGGTTGCCACATCAAAATCCAAGATGACTGCTACTATACATATATACATGTTAACCTTGTGAACTGAATAATTCAAAAATTAACTATGTGCTGATTTCCATTTTAGTGTGTGGCTCCATCTAGGTGTAAGAAAGGTCACCATCAAAAATTGGGTTGCCAAGTCAAAATCCAATATGGCCGCTGCCATTTATATGCAAACCGACCCCCACTATCATTTGAGGAAAATATTTTTTCTAGTTTTTATACTACTTAAAGTGATAGTTTCTTCAAATGATAGGAGTGGCCGGCCAAAGATTAATCTTTGGTGTCCAAGTTCACCATTGGCCACGCCCTGGCTCCTCCATTGCACCTGTTGGTGGTTAAAATTGCTCTCTTCACGCACCAGGATCCATCACTCTGCGCTGCCTCAGACAAACAAAAAATGAACCTACCTCTGTTCTTCTGCACAGTATAACTCCTACCTACTTGAACATCTTGCACCAAAAACATTAAGGTTTACTTACATTCCCTATTCAATTCCAGTCCAGAAAAACACTCATGTCTAAAACGACAGACATTCACTATTTAAATAACTCAGCAACAGGGAACATCAGTGTATCGCTTGTATAACTTTATAATATTGCACATGTATGTTGATGTTTTTTATTGCCTGGGTTCATCTTTAAATCTGATTGAACAAAAGGATCTACTGAAATGTGATTTGGAAAAAAGACTAGCACAAATATTTGGTATATTATTTGTCTTTCAAGGCTATATATGGGAGACTTTTCATCTGGGTAGTGGACAAAATCAATGCTGCCATTTACAAGCCGCCAGAGGGTGAGAATGAGGACCGACAGTCAATAGGCCTTCTCGATATCTTTGGCTTTGAAAACTTCAAACAAAACAGGTCACTTTCTGCACCAACTCATGAATTTAGAGCTCTCTTGTTGCTTTTTTAAAGACAAAATCCATTTGGTGTTTGCTCCAACAGCTTTGAGCAGCTGTGCATTAACTTTGCAAACGAGCAACTGCAGCAGTTCTTCGTCAAACATGTGTTCAAGCTTGAGCAGGAGGAGTACACCCGTGAGAACATTATTTGGAAGCACATCGACTACCAAGACAACCAGCGCACTCTGGATGTTTTGGCAAGCAAACCTTTGAACATGCTGGCACTCATTGATGAGGAGAGCAGCTTCCCTAAGGTCTCTATTCTTATTGTTTTCAAAAGTTTTAAATGTAGCAAAGGACAGCAGGTTTCACTTGTGTGTACTTTGACTCATTTTCAGGGCACAGACACTACCATGCTCCAAAAGATGAATCAGGTTCACATGAAAGGAGACATCTATATTTCCCCCAAAAACAACCACGACACACAATTTGGAATCCGGCATTTTGCTGGAGTGGTCTATTATGATTCAAAAGGTAATTTTTCAAAATACTCAACAAATCCCTTTCTTTTAAAGTATCTGCTGGGTTCCAACGACTTCTGGAACATTGTAGGTTTCCTTGAGAAAAATCGTGATACACTCAGCCCAGACCTGATCCAACTGGTGGAGACATCCACCAACAAGCTCCTCAAGCAGACGTTTCAAAATGATCTGGCTTCCACTTCCAATATGATCAAGACCATCAACCCCAGGATGAACATCAACATGTCCAAGAACACAGTTCGGGTACATTCTATTTCAAATGTCCTTAAGACTCAGCTATAATCCTGAGGTAAACCAAGTTACACCCATGATCTTTGTTTTTGTCTGACAGCAAGGGTCCGATGGGAAGAAACGGGTCCCAACTCTGACCGGTCAGTTCCGCCAATCTCTGGATTCTTTGATGAAAACGCTGACCCTGTGCCAACCTTATTTCATTCGCTGCATCAAACCAAACGATTTCAAAAAGCCCATGGTGAGGAGAGACACACGATCCACTCAACCATATCCAAGACACACCTGCACTAACACAAACTGTTCATTGGACGTAAGTTCAACCCTGTCTTTGTGTCAGCTGTTCGACAGAGAACTGTGCATGCGTCAGCTCCGTTACTCTGGTATGATGGAGACCATCAAGATCCGGAAAGCTGGCTATCCAGTACGCTACACCTTCAGCGAGTTTCTAGATCGATATCGCGTCCTCCTGAAGACTTCTGTCTGTGACCCCAAAACAGTAAGCTGGGAATGATAAAGTATTTTTCTCATACTGTCCTCAACTTCTCTTACCTTGTATGTATGATGTTTGTGTTCTGACAGGAAAGTAAAGAGAGATGTTGTGAGAGCATTTGTGAAAGATTGCTTTCTACAAAAGACGACTGGAAGACTGGCAAGACGAAAATATTTCTCAAGGTGCTGCCTCACACTTGTAATAAAACTCTGTGTATAAGGATCATAGTTTGCTTGATGTGACATATTTTATTTGGAGTTGTAATTCTGCAGTCATAGGAAGAAGAAATCCCATCCTCCTTGAATTCAAGGGTTTTGCGTGTCCGTACATTAAAAAATGATCTGGTCTTTACCGGGTATAGATTTATTTAAATCTAACCTCTAGGGTACAAAGGCACACAACAGATTCCAACATGTCATTATTTGATCAATAAAAAGCGTGAAAATAGAAAAGCTGTGTGTGAATAAGTCCACCAAAGCTAGTAGAACCTCCTTTTATCAGACTGTCAATAGTACAGTATTTTTCTGTATGAGACACATGTGCCGTGGGTGCAAGAGAAACCCAAATCATCACCCTTTCATCATTGTGCTGACAGATGGTATGAGGTTTGTTCTCGTATGCTTTGATTTTACTCAAACATGGTGCTGTGCATTATGGGTAAACATCCCAACTTTGTTCTCATCTATCTAAAGGACATTGTTCCATAAGTTGTTCAATCAGATGCAACTTTACAAGTTGTGTTGCCATGTTGTTTTTAGAAAGAACAGGCAACCCTCACAAACACAGCCCTACTTGCTCAGTCTTTTTCTAATTGTCCCGTCATGACCTAAAACTTTTAATCTGTTAGCTGAGGTTTGTAGACTTTGAGACAAAGCTCTTGGGTTTGTTGTCATTTCTCTGAGCATCGCATGGATTGACCTTGAGCTGAATTTGCTTTGACGTCCACACCTGGGAAGATTGGCAGCTGTCTAAAATGATTTCCTATTGTGATTAATCTTTGTTCTGCTGAATGATGAACTCCAAATTGTTTGGAAAATTCTTTAACCCCTTCCAAATTAATAGGCAGCAACAGTTGTGTCTCTAACATCGTTGCTGATGTTTTTCCTTCTTGGCATTGTGTGACACACCTCCAAAGGATAAAACTCCTGTTTTACAGAGGTGCTCACACTGATGACCAGTCAATCTATACACTTGATTAATAGCACCTTGTTAATACTAAACCTTTCAGGTCCTAAGGAAGAAAAAGTGGTGGTCTCAGTTGTTTACATCCAGCTTTTCTATGTTGGCTTCTTTTTTGGTCTTAAAAATCAATTAAAAAAATAACATCATGCTACATCCTGCTTTATGTTTTATACATTTAAGGTTAGATATGATTAATTTTAAAACATAATAAAGACCAAATCCTTTTCATTGTGTCCTAATATGTAAAGTGGGTGGACATTTCATCCCCAACACTGTAAGTCTGTTCTAAAGTTGATTAGAGTCTTGTTTAGTTTATTTGTAACAGAGTGGTAATTGCTGCTGTTTTCTCTCAGGACCTCCATGATACTAAACTGGAACTAGAGAGAATGAAAGAGCTGAATGCAAAAGCTCTTATAATCCAGAAAGTCCTGAGGGGCTACAAATACAGGTACAAAATAAATGGTTTCAAAACAGTTCTTTGCCGTTTTGTGCGAGTTGTTGCCTCATCATATGTGGTTTGCACCTTGTAAAGGAAAGAATTCCTACAGAAAAAGGCAGCTGCGCTTGTCATTCAGAAGCATTGGAGAGGACATAAAGGCAGGAAGCTTTACAAAGTGGTGAGTCACTTTTTGAAACATCAGTATTCATTTTAACTTGGGAGGCTTTACTTGTATAAGACCTTTAGCTGTGCTCTATGTTTAGGTGCAACTGGGCTTTGCGAGGCTGCAGGCCCACGTTCGCTCTCGCCAGCTCCACGTCCAATACAAGAAGAAGCGGGAGGCTACTCTCGTGCTGCAGACCCAAATCAGAGGTTACCTGGCCAGGAAGGAATGGAAACGCAAGAGAAATGCAGTGATCCTTCTGCAGGCGCACACTCGAGGCCTGCTGGCCAAAAAGGCTGTCCAGAAGATGAAAAGGGATGTAAGTTCATCCCAGACTGGTTCCACAAGTTCTCAAACAGGTTTTGTTTAGCTGCACTTTTAGCTTTAGAGCAACCAAAGGCTGTAAGGGTTAGTGATAAAAAATGGAAACAGCTGGAGAAATATTTTCAACTAATTGGGTTTATTGGCAGCAAGAAAACAGTGTATAAAAGAACATTTTAAAGAAGCTGAATCTCTCAGGAGTAAAGATGGGTAGAGGTTTACCAGTCTGAAAAAATGTGTCTAAAATTCGTAATGAAACAATTGTGTTGCTCCACACTGTATCTGTTCTCACAAAGGTTTGCCATTATTTTCAGAAAACGGTGGCAAACAACAAATGTAAAAGTGTAGAGGTTTAATATTATCTAATATTTCTTTATGAGTCTGAAAAAAATGTAAAATCTGGTCCTTGTTTAGCTATTAGCCTAGCCACGATGAAGACTTTTGCTTGTTTTCCATGCTCAGTGCTCTAAATGATCTATGTCACGGCTGAACTATTGAGAACTATTTGACAGAGCAGCAATTCAAAAATGACCAGGTTAACCCTTTAATAGCCCACCTCCTGACCACTGTTGTGGGCAAAAAGAGATTCCCAAAACAACCAGGTGTAAGCTTCATCAGATTTATTACAAAGTGTTGGAGAACAGCCAGCAGTCATAGATCAATGATTTACAAGTCCGCACTTATCAATGCTTTGACCTTTCTGAGGTTCTGACCCTTTCTGACTTCCCGAACTAAAAAAAACAGTTTTGTAGAAACATCCAGCTGCCAGGCCCCAGCCCCTTCATCCCTGTCCGGCTTTATCAGAAACCAGCTGCAGTCGGGAGCAGGAGGAACCTTGGAGCCAGCAGCTCTCAAGGACTCTCCAAATTTACATCACTGTAATCATATCAGTCAGACGTTGAGGATAATTTAAACTACTCTGACTGTTCCTTACTGACTGGTTACACCAAGACTGATTATTACACAGAACATTTTAATATCATTCACAGTCACAGTACAGAGCAGTGAACGTTATGGAGCGTGGTTAGTACAAATATTACACATTCCCTTGACACCGCCATGCGGCTAAACAGTAACTTCTTTTCATTTATCAAATGTTTTTGCGTACCTCCTTCCCTAAGATCCCACTGTAGTTCATAAACGTCAGTGGTAAACCTACTTCTGTTAGACATGTTCCGACGCTTTGGGTTTTCTTCTTTCAGATAAACCTTTCTGCTAAGGAGAAACAAGAAGAACAGCGAGCCATTCTGGCAAAGCAAAAACACTTGGAGGAGGTGCTGAGGCAGAAGAGGGAGATGGAGGCCAGAGCCCAGACTGAGAACATCACAGACCAGGAGATGGTGGACAACATCTTTGGCTTCCTGCCCAGTATTGTTGGAGGGCAGGAAGGCCAGGCACCTGTGGGCTTTGAGGTTTGGGAACAAACAGTTCCTCTCGTGTTGTAGACTGATCAGAGCACAAAGCACAGTAAACCTGTTTGTGTTCACAGAATATTGAAGAGAAAAGGATCGTTATTGAGGAGATAGACATCGATGAAATCCCCATAGAGGAACAACCAAAAGAAGACTACGATGACCTGGATGAGTACTCGTTCTCCAAATTCGCCTCCATGTACTTCCAGGGTGCAGCCTCTGACACCCACATTCGACAGAGGCTTCGGCAGCCCCTGCTCTACCACGAGGATGAAGGAGACGTTCTGGTGCTTTTCTTAAACAGCATTAACATTAAAATAACGTTTATTTTATTTGTGCTTGTCTGTAGCATTAGAAAATATCACATGAAACAGTTAATGATTTTAATGAAACTCTCAGAAAATATCATCTGACCACGCATCAAGAGACGAGTTAAACCACATTTAAGATGGCTTCCACAGCTAAGACACATTAACAAACAAAAATGGCTATAATCCAATCCATTTTATGGATATTGAGCTAAAATTTGGGGTTGTATTAGCTGAGAGCCATCCTCAACTTATACTCTGAGCATTAACTGATTACATCAAATGATTGGAGCCAACACAGCCAGTCTGTTAGCAAAAAATCTAATGAATCACTGGATGGAGTTTAAACTTTTTTTTGGCTGGATGTGTATCTACAACTCATTTACTTCAGGAGTCATCTCTATTCAAGATGGCCGATAACTAACACTGCTAACTGAACTTAGCACCACAGACTTGGCTATAACTCAACTTTCCAAATATTGAGCTCAAGTTTGAAGTGGTGGCTTTAACATTTAACATAAACGTCACTTTTAATGACGTTTGTCGTATTTTCCTCAGGCTTCACTGACCGTGTGGTGGATGATTCTGAGATTCATGGGAGACCTCCCTGAGCCAAAGAGACAAGCCAAAGTTCAGGGAACAACTCAGGAGCGATTTATGCCGCAGGATCTGTTGTCCAGACAGGACCGACGTCTGAGCAATATGGTGGGCCTGGATCAGGTACAGATCCTGTTGTGTTTGTTTGCCTCTCCTTCCTGTCCTCTCAAACCCAGCCGGTCGAAGCAGATGGCCGCTTGTCCTGAGCCTGGTTCTGCTGGAGGTTTCTCCCTGTTAAAAGGGAGTTTTTCCTTCCCACTGTTACCACTGTGCTTGCTCAGGATGGGAGACTGCAATGAAGTGAAGATTCAACAAGTCTGCTGGATTCCTTAGATAGAGAATTTTACTAATTGACTTTTTTATATATGTGAATGTTTCTGTGCAGTGTCCTGAGACAACTTTGTTGTGAATTGGCGCTACATAAATTAACTGAATTGAATTGAAACTGAATATCCTCACCAGAAATTGGAGCATAAGAAGCTATTCTTTACTTGTTTTTAGAATCACACAAAACAATTATCTTAATTTTTTTTGTTCCAGAGGGTGTTGAGGAGTAACAAAGAGAGGAAGCCTTCTGCAGTACCAGAGGACCCGGCACAAAAGAGAAAGGGCTCCATTTTCACAGACCTTCTGTCAAAAAACAGGAAGGCATCAGCAGTTCCCAGTGAAGTGGCTCAAAACCCGAAGGTGTACACTGTTCCAGAAGCTAACAGTCGTCCAAGAAAAGGCTCCACGTTCACTGACCTATTATCCAGGAACAAAAAAGCCCCCCCTGTTAGAGAAAATGGAAGCTTCAAGTCAGCTTCCAGCTTCAGGAAGCCCTCCATCATCATGGAGGAGGTGAGGTGGACGTCTGAGGAACATGTCTGCTGAAAACTATCTTCAACCTGCTGATGGACATTTCATCTTTGTTCCTACAGTCAGATGATCTAACTGAGGTGCCCAAGACCCCCACCCTGCAAACAGTGAATGAAGACAGTGATGTGATGATTGGAGAGGGACCAACCCTGGACAGGCCCCTGACGTCTCTTGAAAAAGTCCACATCATCGTGAACTACGCCATCATCAGACCTGACCTCAGGTTTTAACTCCTTTACTGTTCCCCGTCCATCTGTGCATGTTGTGAGCATGATGACTTGAAAAACAAAACTTCCATTTTTGGTGTGCGGCTACATCTAGGTGTATGAAAGTTTCCTTTTAAAAAACTGTCCGGTGCTTGAAAGTTTGTGAACTCTTTAAAATTTTCTATATTTCTACATAAATATGACCTCACCATCAGATTTTCACACAAGTCCTAAAATAGATTAAGAGAACCCAGTTAAACAAATGAGACTAAAATATATCCTGATGCATGCTCAATACTAATGAGACTAAAATATACTTGTTCATTTATTTATTGAGGAAAATGAACCAATATTACACATTTGTGAGTAGCATACTGCTTGTTTTTTTGTCTTACAGCTAATTCCACTTTTTGAGCCAGACCTAACAAAGTCTTGTCTTCACAGGGATGAGATTTATTGTCAAATCTGCAAGCAGCTTCAAGACAACAACAACAGGAACAGTTACTTCCGTGGCTGGATCCTGCTGTCCCTCTGTCTGGGCGTGTTTACTCCAAGCGAACGCTTTAAAAGAGTAAGTAAAACCATCCCACTGACTATTTCAGCCTAGGCCTGTCACAATAACAAATTTTGCTGGGCAATTAATTGTCTCAGAAATTATTGCGATAAATGATAATATTGTTTGAAATTTGACAATAATTAGTAATTACTGTCAAATTTAAGAAGAAATGTTGGTTAATTTTTGTGTGTAGTACCTTTTTTCGACCACCGGATGGCAGTATAAGACTGTTTGAAACGAAGGATGGATAGTGAGGGAGCGAGCAGTGTGTCTCTTTAAGAAAAATGGGAGGGAGGCTCCTTGACGTGACACGGGCTGTCTCGCCTTCCTTTTTTTCTGTTCTTAAAATGACGAATGCTCGTGTGGTTTGAGCTCTTTAGCATAGCATTTTTCACACAAAGCTTTTAATAAAAAAATATAAAAAAAATCAGTAAACAAGCTCTCAGCTTCTTTTTTCAGAGAAAAACAACTTTTTTGATGAAGGCACGGGTTTCAAATGTGAATTTTGGAGTTTTGACAAGACAGAGGTTTATTCCTGAGGTCGGCCTGTTAGCTTAGCTCATAGCTTAGCTTCTCAGATTAGCTGCTTTTAACGATCCAAAAACACGATTTTGGACAGAGAAATGGAGGAGTCAGTGAAGAGCACCGGAGTTGAGCCGTGTTTTCAGTAGAAAGAGAGAGACACAAAGAAACAATAAAGCTGATAAATGAAAACGAGGTTGATAATTTTCATTTATCATGTGATTAATTGGTTAATTGATTTATTGCTTATTGCAACAAGCCTATTTCAGCCTCATAAACGTTGAGTGTGCTCTTTCTTTATTTTACCTTCTCAGTGACTAGCAGTGGAGAGAGGTGCAGGTAGAGCTACATGCCTAAAAATGTGTGTGGTTTGGGAGAACAAGTTTTCCATAAGTTTTGTTGCAGCATAAAGGACTGAAACTACAAGTCAGAATGTGACAACTCCAAAAGTTAAATTAAAACAGGAAAGCGAGATCTGTGGAATTAGAATTACTTTCATTAAAAAATGACAAACCAGCTGTTTAGATGAAATGTTTCCTAAATAGATTTTTGTCTTAAAGTTTGTTAACTCCATGTTGAAACTTTAAAGGAACAAATAAGCTGCTGTCAACAAAACAACAGACACAGGGATCATCGTCATCAGAAGCAATCAGTTATAATATATAAGTTTTTACATGATATTTACTATAAAATTATAAAATCTTGAGTGAATGTTTAAGTAAAGTTGTTAAAATGTGTCAATATTAACAAAAATTTGAATATGTTTCTATTTAACTAAATAATATCATTCCACAATATGATAAAAACCTTTTAAAGTGAGAAAAAAAAATTAACATTTAATTCAGAACAATAAAATCAAAATTTGTGGGAAAAAAATCATCCAATTTCATACAATTCTTGGAAAATAATGACTTTTGTTTATTTGTGCTGTGTAGTTTATTTTACAGTGGCCTATATTTGAGTAAATACTTTGTAATTTGTCATTTATTTTAAGTGAACGTTACAGAAAATGAAGCTACAATATAAAGAAAAATAGACATTCACAGAAATTCACTTTCTTTAAGTGCAAAAGAATGGAATATTTTCCAACTCCATTAATAATCATTTTCAATAACTGTGATTATTTTTCTCAGTGAAGCGTGTTTTCTGCATCGCTTGTTGTGTTCGCAGTATCTCCAGAGTTTCATTCGTTTTGCTCCCGGGGGCTACTCGTCCTATTGTGCTGAGAGGCTGCGGCGCACCATCATGAACGGAGTGAGAGCGGAGCCTCCAGCCTGGCTGGAGCTGCAGGTGCACAACACACTTCCAGTTCCTCTCATTCCACTTTAATGACAAACTGGGGGCTGACGTAATGCAACTGGCAAAATATCTGTGTGGATTTGTTTGCTGTGGTGACGCCTGCAGAAGAGAGCAGTCAGATAGAACAACCTATAATCCATCCATCCATCCATCCATCCATCCATCCATCCATTATCTTTACCTGCTTCTTCTTGTTTTGGGTTGTGGGAGTCACTGGTGCCCATGTTCAGCAGTCACTGTGTGAGAGGTGGGGGACACCCTGGACAGATCTCCCGTCCATCACAGGGACACATAGAGACAAACGAGACAAACAACCATTCACTCTCTCACTCACACCTAGAGACAATTTAGAGTTACCAATCAGCCTAACATGCATGTTTTTGGTCTGTGGAAGGAAACTGGAGTACCCGGGGAAAACCGACACATGCACGGAGAGAACATGCAAACTCCACCCAGAAAGGTCCCGGGCCGAGATTTGAACTGGCGACTTCGCTGAGAGGCAACAACTGAGCCACTGCGCTGCCCACAACCTATATAATGACCAAAAAAAAAACAAAAAAAGGAAAGATGGAAACCAACCAAACAAACCAAAAACATTTTTCTTAGATTTTGTGTTTGTTAGTAAAATATGTCATGAATAAGTGGGCAGGTTTAAGTGAAACTTTCAGGAAATAACAGTTGGATGTATTGTAGCTCTGCAACTTATTACCTTTTGCAATCACCCAAATTCAAGATGGCCACCACAGCCGATCATCGTTATTCAACACAAAACTGATTCTTACTCAGCTAGTGTTGTTCACATTCATACATTTTCAGCTACAACCTATTTAGTGTGGTTACATCCAAACATACTCTTAAGTCCTAACAGTTCACGCCAGATGGTCTCATTTACATTTGCTTTGTCCAAAATGGCTATAACTTGGTCCTTTCTAACGTAAGATTATTTTAGTTTAAAAATCCAGCATAGAAAAAAATGCATTCCTTCAAGGAATGTTAGGCCTTTTGGTTTTATGCCTTTGAAACACATTTTTGAAGTACAAATAATTGGGTCAATTTCAAATTATGACATTTCTTTGGTTTGTAGTGGACCACTGTAGAGTTCAGCTTCAAGACTGAGCTGAACTCTACACCAGAACTCTTCTGGAACTCTTCTCCTTGAACTAGGAAGTGCCAAACTTTTTTATGAAGGGTCACTTCCGGTTCATTTGAGAGCTTTTTGATTGGTGGATGGACCAAAGCAGAGGTGTGGTTTGTGATGTAAGGTGTTATGGAAAGTCAAGGATTGTTTAAGAACAGACAGAAAGATATCATGGAAAAACCAGACTTCGTGGCGTCGCTCACCAAATATCTTGCTGTAAAAGTTAAACATGACATTTCTTTTCAGTAAACTTCTTAGTTGACCGAAGCTTGAACTTTAACACACTTACAACTTTGCTCACTTCAAAGCAGACGATCAAGAAATTGAATCATTACTCTGTAATGTACTCTAACTTGATTTCACTTTGAATTGAGGATTAAAAATCATTACACTGTTTAAGTAAATAAAAATGAGTAGTTCACTTCAACATGTAAACATTGTTTGAACTAACACAATTTGATTATCAAACATTTGTAAAATAGTAATGATCATAGAGAATTGTCTTTTTCCACTTGATTAATTCAAGAAAGAAAGTCTCAGGATGGGTCAAACTGTATTTCTGGATTCAAATCAATGAAATGACAGTTTCTGTCCATCTGGTCAGTTTTGACATCAGGCCTAGTCCACTACAGGTTTGCAATGTAACAAAACATAAAGTCTTTTGAAACAATATCCTTCAGACGGGATCAAGCGGGGATGTTTGTTCAGAATGCACAGCCGGACATTTAAATAAAACAAGTTAGTGAAGCAGATGAACTAAATGTGATACAAGCACCAAACTTGGCATGGTTGTTCCCAAAGTTCTTCTGAACAATTCTACATGATTGGCCATCTAAAAATCCAAAATTGTTAATTTATCATTACAGTTACGTATGTTATTATTAATAATACCTATTGTACAAGGTTACTGAAAGAAGAAAATATAAATTGACACAAAGATCATTCAACTTGATCAAGGAATCGGATTACTATATGATTACTGTGTGGAAATAAGCTCATCTTAAAAAAAGACCGCCATCTTGGATTTTCAAATGGCCAGTAAGGCTGATTTGACAGAGACTTCAAAGATAATCATTATATCAAATTTGGTGCTTGTATCACAATTTGCATGGTTTTCATGTCATCCACTCTACTAAATGTGTTGTATCCTCACAAACTGTTGAGCACGGTGGTGGAGTGCTGATGATCTGGGCTTGTTGTGCAGTCACAGGACCTGTATACAGAGTATTATAGAGTCCAATGTGAGGCTTTGGATAAAACTCTAACAAAATTTCTTTAACTTTCTGTATTAACTGAAAGTATTTTTAGCAACTTAAATGAGCAACATGTTTGTTTTTCACTGATCAATTCTTTGCACTGTGACAGGCAACAAAGACAAAGAAGCCCATGATAGTAACGGTGGCGCTGATGGACGGTCGCTCCATCAACCTTCCTGTTGACTCAGCTTCTACGTCCAAGGAAGTCTGCCAACTCGTCTCCAACAAAATCAAACTCACAGACGTTTTTGGTTTTTCTCTCTATGTCGCCATGTATGAAAAGGTGGGACCAGCGACACGTAAATCCTTCTGACCTCCACAGAGTTTCCTTTTAACAAATCAATGTTTTTTACTAATGAAATGAGAAAACAGCCTTTATTTTTTCTTAAAAAAATGTTTATTTATCCTGAAGGTGTGGGCTCTGGGCAGCGGCCGAGAGCACGTCATGGATGGCATCTCCCAGTGTGAGCAGGAAGTGAAGAGGAAGGGAGGACAGGAGCAGCACGCTCCATGGCGTCTCTTTATCCGTAAGGAAGTGTTCACTCCGTGGCATGACAGCAAAGAGGACAAGGTCAGCACGGACCTCATCTACAAACAGGTCGTCCATGGCCTGAAGTATGGAGAGTACCAGACCGAAAAGGTGGGCTCACTTCTATCATAAAAGTTTCTTACCAAATTCTTGCCTCAGAACTGATCATTTCTCTCCAAAAAATTTATTTACACAGGAGGATGATATCATTGACCTCACTGCAAAACATCTGTACATCCAGCACGGCTCAGACAGCCGGCCGGAGAACGTGAAGCAGGCAGTGCAGGACTGCATCACCACCTCTCTGCTGGAGGCCAAATCAGAAGCCAAACTGGTTCAGATGGTCAGCTTGGCTCATGCTCAGGTCAGTCACAGCCTTCATCTGCGATATATGCATAAAAGAAAAGCTCTATCAAGGAGCTATTCTTCTTAAAGTAGAATAAATGTACCTTCTCTTGTAAAACACTCAAGGGTTCGTTCTTGAGTTCAAGACAAAATGTTGACTCAGTGAAGGCAGAGATGGTCGACTACGCCAGAGAGAAGTGGCCCATGTTCTTCTCCAGGTTTTTTGAAGCCACCAAACTGTCAGGTAAGAAAGCTTTACCTCGTATCTCAAACAAACTTTATTTCAAACAGCAACAAAAACGAACCTAAAATATGCAACATCACATTAAAACTAAAAAAATAATTTTCTGCTAAACTGCAGGGCTGAATGAGTGGCTGAAACTGAGTTGTTAAATCAAAAAGAAGTAAAACATTAGTCAAAAACCCCTAAAGCAAAATTTTAGCTATAAGACAAAAGTAGCAAAATGCTTGTTAGATGCTAAAATTAGCTAAGGGAAAGCTGAAAGCTAAAATAATAAAAGGTTACTCAATTCTAAAATTTACTATTGGTTAGCTAAAACTTAAAAGTATCAAAATGCAAGTTCAAAAAATCAAAAAGCTAACTCAAAGCTAAAGGTAGCAAATTATTAACTAAAAGCTAAAAATAGTTAAACACTACACTTACCTATTTATGAAAAAAAAAAAATAAGCTTTTCCCTCTTAAGGGGTCTCCACAGCGAGTCATCCTCCTCCATCTCACTCTGTCCTCTGCATCCTCTGTCCTCACTCCAACTACCTTCGTGTCCTCTCTAACTGCATCCATATACAGGTCCTTCTCAAAAAATGAGCATATTGTGATAAAGGTCATTATTTTCCATAATGTAATGATAAAAATGAAACTTTCATATATTTCAGATTCATTGCACACCAACTGAAATATTCCAGGTCTTTAATTGTTTTAATACTGATGATTATGGCATACAGCTCATGAAAACCCCAAAAATTAGCATATCATGAAAAGGTTCTCTAAACAAGCTATTAACCTAACCATCTGAATCAACGACGTAACGCTAAACACCTGCAAAAGATTTCTGAGGCTTTTAAAAACTCCCAGCCTTGTTCATTACTCAAAACCGCAATCATGGGTAAGACTGCCGACCTGACTGCTGTCCAGAAGGCCATCATTGACACCCTCAAGCAAGAGGGTAAGACACAGAAAGAAATTGCTGAACGAATAGGCTGTTCCCAGAGAGCTGTATCAAGGCACCTCAGTGGGAAGTCTGTGGGAAGGGAAAAGTGTGGCAGAAAACGCTGCACAACGAGAAGAGGTGACCGGGCCCTGAGGAGGATTGTGGAGAAGGGCCGATTCCAGACCTTGGGGGACCTGCGGAAGCAGTGGACTGAGTCTGGAGTAGAAACATCCAGAGCCACCGTGCACAGGCGTGTGCAGGAAATGGGCTACAGGTGCCACATTCCCCAGGTCAAGCCACTTTTGAACCAGAAACAGCGGCAGAAGCGCCTGACCTGGGCTACAGAGAAGCAGCACTGGACTGTTGCTCAGTGGTCCAAAGTACTTTTTTCGGATGAAAGCAAATTTTGCATGTCATTCGGAAATCAAGGTGCCAGAGTCTGGAGGAAGACTGGGGAGAAGGAACTGCCAAAATGCCAGAAGTCCAGTGTGAAGCACCCACAGTCAGTGATGGTCTGGGGTGCCATGTCAGCTGTTGGTGTTGGTCCACTGTGTTTTATCAAGGGCAGGGTCAATGCAGCTAGCTATCAGGAGATTTTGGAGCACTTCATGCTTCCATCTGCTGACAAGCTTTATGGAGATGAAAATTTCATTTTTCAGCATGACCTGGCACCTGCTCACAGTGCCAAAACCACTGGTAAATGGTTTACTGACCATGGTATTACTGTGCTCAATTGGCCTGCCAACTCTCCTGACCTGAACCCCATAGAGAACCTGTGGGATATTGTGAAGAGAAAGTTGAGAGACGCAAGACCCAACACTCTGGATGAGCTTAAGGCCGCTATCGAAGCATCCTGGGCCTCCATAACACCTCAGCAGTGCCACATTGCCTCCATGCCACGCTGCATTGAAGCAGTCATTCATGCAAAAGGATTCCCGACCAAGTATTGAGTGCATAACTGAACATGATTATTTGAAGGTTGGCGTTTTTTGTATTAAAAACACTTGTCTTTCATTGGTGGGATGAAATATGCTAATTTTTTGGGACAGGCATTTTGGGTTTTCATGAGCTGTATGCCATAATCATGAGTATTAAAACAATTAAAGACCTGAAATATTTCAGTTGGTGTGCAATGAATCTGAAATATATTAAAGTTTCATTTTTATCATTACATTATGGAAAATAATGACCTTTATCACAATATGCTAATTTTTTGAGAAGGACCTGTATCTCCTCTTTGTCTTTTTCCTGGCAGCTGCATTTCTAACATCCTTCTACCAATATACCAACTGTCCCTCCTCTGGACATGTCTAAACCATCTCAGTCTGGCCTCTCTAACTTTATCTCCCAGTTCTTCAACCTGTGTTGTACCTCTGATGATCTCACTCCTAATCTTATCCATCCTTGTCACTCCTAAGGAGAACCTTAACATCTTCATTTCTGTCACTTCCAGTTCTTTCTCCTGTCTTTTTGTCAATGTCTCTGTCTCCAGACCATACAACATAGCTGGTCTCACCACTGTCTTGTAAACTTTTCCTTTGAGCTTTGCTGACACCTTTTTATCACAAATCACTCCTGAAACTTTTCTCCATCCACTCCATACTGCCTGGACTCTCTTCTTCACCTCTTTACCACATTCCCCATTTTCTTGGACCATGGCCCTTTAGTACTTGAAGTCCTGCACCTTTGTGATCTCTGCTCCTTGTAGCCTCACTGTTGCACCTCCTCCCTCTCATTCACACACATGTACTCTGCCTTACTACGGCTGACTTTCATTCCTGTTCTTTCAAGTGCATACCTCCACCTCTCCAAGTTCTCTTCCACCTATTCCCTGTTCTCACCACAGATCACAATGTCATCTGCAAACATCATAGTCCACAAACATCATAGTCCATGGTGATTCCTGCCTGACCTCATCTGTTAGTCGTTCCATCACCAGAACAAACAAGAAGGGGCTCAGAGCCGGTCTGTGATGCACTCCCACCTCCAACTTGAAGCTATTTGTCACTCTTACAGCACATCTCACCACTGTCCTGCTGTCCTCATACATGTCCTGTACCAGGCTAACATACTTCTCTTCCACTACAGATTTCCTCATGCAATATCACACCTCCTCCTTCAGCACACAATCGTATGCTTTTCTAAATCCACAATGACAAAATGGAGTTCTTTCTGGCCATCTCTGTACTTCTCCATCAGGATCCTCAAAGCAAAGATGGTATCTGTGGTGCTCTTTCTCAGCATGAAACCAGACTGCTGCTCACAAATAGTCACCTCTCATCTAAGTCTAGCTTCCACAACTCTCTCCCAGATCTTCATTGTGTGACTCATTAACTTAATTCCCCTGTAGTTGCTACAACTCTGTACATCACCCTTGTTCTTAAAAATGGGCACCAGCACACTTCTTCTTCATTCTTCAGGCATTTTCTCACCTTCAAATATGCCATTGAATATTTGAGTCAAAAACCTCACTGCCATCTCTCCAAGACATTTTCAAGCCTCCACTGGTATGTCATCAGGTTCTACTGCCTTCCCCTTCTTCTTTCTTTTCAGAGCTTTCTGAAATTCACCCTCAATAATCTTTCCCACTTTCTGGTTCACAGTTTCTATGACATCTAATCATCTTTCTCTTTTGTTCTCGTCATTCATTAGCTCTTCAGATAACTCCTTCCATCTTCCCATCATGCTCTCCTCACTTGTTAGACAACACTATTCCTGTATTTAACAAGCCTAACCTGTTGCACATCTTTTCCAGCCTGATCTCTCTGTCTCGCCAATCAGTAAAAATCCTTCTCACCCTCTTTAGTATCCAGTCTCCCATATCATCATATGCCTTCCACTTTGCCTTTGCTACCTCACTCTTTGCTTTATGTTGTATCTCCTAATATCCCTGTCTCCTCTCTTCAGTGCTCTCACTGTCATATTTCTTTTTGGCTTAACCTTTCTTTGAATAACCTCCTTCACGTCACTATTCCACCACCATGTTTCCTTATCATCTATTCTTTGTCCAGATGACACACGAAGTACCTTCCTACCTGTCTCTCTAATTAGTGTTGCTGTAGTTGTCCAGTCATCGAGAAGCTCTTTCTTACCATCCAGACCCTTAGCTCCTCTCTGAATTTCTCTCAACATTCTTCCTTCCTCATCTTCCACCTTTTGATTTTCTTCTCTGATTTTACTCTTTTTCTCTTCTTCACAACAACAGTCATTCTACACACAGCCATCCAATACTGTCTGACCACGCTCTCCCCTGCCACAACCTTACAGTCTCCAATGTCCCTCAAGTTTCCTCTTCTACACAGAATGTAGTCGACCTGCGTACTCCTTCTTCCGCTCTTATAGGCCACTCTATGTTCCTCCTTCTTTTGGAAATAGGTATTGACTACAGCCATTTCCATTCTCTTGGCAAAATCCACCACCAGCTGTCCTCTCCAGTTTCTTTCCTTAACACCAAACCTACCCACCACTTCCTCGTCCCCTCTGTTTCTTTCACCAACATGTCCATTCAGGTCTGCTCCGATCACCACGCTCTCCTCCCTGGGAATACTCTCTATCACTTCATCCACATCGCATCCAACTTGTTGAACATAACCACTGACAACATTTAGCATCAGACCTTCTACTTCTACCTTCAGACACATCACCCTATCTGACACTCCTTTCACCTCTACTACATTCTTTGCAAACTCCTCCTTCAGGACCCCCACCCTCCACCCCTCCATTTCTCTTTCTATCCACACCACGGTGAAACAGTTTGAACTCTGCTCCAATACTGTGGCCTTCCACTTGGTCTCTTGGACACATAAAACATCTACCTTCCTTCTCTGCATCATGTCAGCCAGCTCTTTACCTTTGCCTGTCATTGTCCCCACATTTAGAGTTGCCACCCTCAACCTACATTCTTGACTTTCTTCTGCCTCAGTCTCCTGACACATGTCCCTCCTCATGGTCTTTGACTAACAATAGTGCAATGTCTGCCAACACCCTATTTGTCAACAGCACTGGTGGCGGTCGTTGTTAACCTGGGCCTCGACCGATCCGGTATGGTGTTGCTTTGATGAACTTTCATATTAGTTCAAGAAATTAGTCTAGAAAAACAATAGTGTGCTACCTCTGCACTAATACATTAAGGATGCTTCAATGTTTGTTTGTTGGCCTCATAAAAAGGTTTCATGTACATTCTATGCATGCTGTTTTTTCTAGGTCCCACACTGCCAAAGAGCAAGTTCATAGTTGCCATAAACTGGAACGGGATCACCTTCCTGGATGAGAGAGAGAAGCGGCTTCTGGAGTTGTCCTTCCCAGAGGTGACTGCAGTCAATACTGTCAGGTAAAGTTATGTCGTATTGTTGAAAAAGATCCAGAGTTCAGGTTGAAACTGCAACAGATCTTAATATTTGTTGTTAATCAGGGAAGGGAAAGCATATGGCCAGGCAGTGTCTCTGCTGACACTAAAGGGAGACTTCAACCTGGGTGGATCCAAGGCTGAGGACATGTCCGAACTGATCACCATGTTCATCAGTGGCTTGACGGAGCGTTCTCAGTATGCTGTGACACTGAAGGAAGTCAACAGCCAAGGTTGGAGCCCTGATTCCTCTTTAACTCATTTAGTTTAATTTTTTAAAAAATTTTTTCCACATCATGGAGCGAAAAAGGGCAATTAAAAATACAGTACCCTCCATCTGTCCATCCAAGCATGTTGTAAGCATAACAACTTGGCAAATAAGTGAGGTACCTACATTTTGATGTCTTCTACGTCTAGATGTAAGAAAGGTTACTTTCAAAAATATGGCTGCCACCACATACCATACTGTATGTATGTATGTATGTACAGTATGTATGTATGTATGCAAACTTTGTTTGCCATATACATATATGTAAACCTTGTGATTTGTATAAATATAAAAATAAGCAACCTGCCGACTTCCAGTTTGGTGTTTGACTGCATTTAGGGCTGAAAAAGTTAAATAAAAAAAATGGTATTGTAAAAATCCAGAATGGCTACTGCCATACTGACCCTGTGTACATAATTTTGTTCCACCACATGTACCACATGTGGTGGAACGACAATAAAGAATCTCTGACTCTGAATCTCTGACTCTGACATAAATGTCCATCTGTGTTGTGAGCAAGACATCTTGAAAAAGAAGTGGGATACTGACTTCCATTTTGGTATGTGGCTACATCTAGTCCTAAGAAAATTTTATTTAAACAATTTAGTTGCCAAGTCAAAAATCAAGGTGGCCCCCACCATAGCTTAGCTACTACTAGATGTAAGAAAGTTCCCTATTGAAAATTGGGTTGCCACATCAAAATTTATTCCAGAAAAACACTCATCTGAAAAATTACAAACATTCACAGAATATTCAAATTCCTCAACGACTGGGAACATCTGCTTGGTATTGATTGTCTCTCTTGTAAATGGTCTCTCTTGTAAATGAGTCCTCGAGGCTCAATGGGATTTACCTGTCTAAATAAAGGCTGATTGATTGATTTCTGAGTGATTTTTTTTCTCTGAACCCAGATGACCCCACACTCCTGAGCTTCAAGAAAGGAGAGCTCATCATACTTATCAAAGACAACGAGTTCTCCCAGCAGCATGGTTGGATAAAGGGCCAAAACTACAGCACCAATCAAACAGGAGCCGTCTCTACGGAGGCCATTGTGATCCTGCCAACGCTGAGCAAACCCTCCAACGAGGTCATGGTACGGGACTGTTACACATTTTCTTGAACAAACTGACGTGGCCCAGATATTTGGAGTCTTAAAAGTGTGTATCTTTAATTCAGAGCCTTCTGAGCCTGTCTCCGAACCAGAGGAAAAACTTCATACAAGCAAACCAGAAAGATAAAGGCACAGTGGAGAGACTGGCTCCTGTCACGCTGAAAGAATACTCTCTGGAGTATTTCAGGTATTTCAGATACCTTTTGCTGTCTTACTACTACTACTATTACTACTACTGTCTTTTCACCACTTGGTCAGCAGCTACAGTATGTCTACTTTTTAAAGTCTTTGTTGGGATGTGTTGAAAACTCAGTATAGGCTGGTGCTTAACTTTTTAACAAACGTGCAACTCTTCAGTCCTCCAGTCCCAGATTATTGCTCTCTGGAACTTAAACCTTACACACTCCAATATTAGAGCCTCTTCCACACCAAACACATTAAAAATCTGTCTATAAACTCATTTTTAACCTTTGGCCTTTAAATTAGGTTGAGTTTATAAATAAATTTGATTTGACTTTGTTTCCTTGATTCCACAGGCAGCCTACCAAGGATGTGAACCGTCAGGTGATTTCTCGAAATACAGCCCCTGAGAGGCTGTGGGCCCACTCCAGAGAGCCGATCAGGCAGCCTCTGCTCAAGAAACTGGTCGGCAACTCGGAGCTCAGCCATAAGGCCTGTCTGACTTTTACTGATATCCTGCCATTTAATCTGTGTTTGTGTGTGTGTGTGTTTTCCACTGTACCTTTCAGGGTTATCCTGGTAGACTTTTGCACAAATTTACTAGATATTTTTTTTTTACATTTCACATGGCTGAGCTGCTCACCATGTTCCATTTATGTGTGTTTAGTCACCATTTAGAGTGATTCAGAACTACAGTATGTACAAACCCAAACCAACGTATACTGTTAATTTTATGTCTTTCAATTCCCAATTCTGCTCTGGCATTTCAATTAAAATATGTGCAAATATCCACATCAAGCATTCATGCAAGTCAAAACCATCAGGGGGCAGCAAAGTAAAAATTTTAAAGTTACGTTGTTTTAGCTTTACCTGTCCAGGATGTACCCCGCCCCTCCACAGCTGGACATGGGCGACCCCGTGACCCAAAAATGGAAGTAGTGGGTAAAAGATAATGAATGGATGGATGTTTTAGCTTTGTGCATCACAAAGTTTTTATTCCATCTTTACAATAATTTCAGTCAGGCCTATGTAATCTAGCAGCATGAAAACAAAAACAGCACCAACTTGGTAATACAATTAAGCACAAAAGACCCCTATTATTACATACTACACTCCAAACACATATAATCTTATTTCAGATTCTTCACTTGACTTTATACTTTGTGCTTGAGTGTGCAGCTTCCAAAAAAGTTATGTATGTTCACAAAGATGTAGAACACCTTACAACTGCAACCAGTGCTGCCCTTAACTTGTTCGTAAGGCTCTTGTTGTTTCCCTGTAGTCACATCTTCTCTTCTGCCTGAACAAGACAATCCTCAAAAACGTGCCTAGCTAATTTGTGATTGCACGGTTTTTCCATATTTCCAGACTTTATGATCAGTCTATACCAATGTTGTCTTTTGTCAATGATTCTCTTCATAACTTTTGAACAGAATTTCTTGACACAGCCAAAGGGGCAGAGGGTCTCAGGTTTGGGGGACTTTAGATTGTGTCACTGTTATATGCAGATGATTTAATCCTACAAGCCTTATCAAACCAAACCTCTAGTAGGCAGTGGAGTTGTTTGAGACCCAGTGTTTTGCAGCTGGAAGGAAGATTAGCTCCTCCAAGTCTGAATCCAGGATCTTCAGCTGGAAAAGGGTGGATTACTGACCCCAGGTTAGGAATGAGCCACTACCTTAATTGGAGGAGTTCAAGTGTTTTTGGTTTTCATTATTGAGAGGTTCATGTTGTTTCTGTAGATGCCCTTTCATTCATCTTATTAGTGCCCCTCTCAATAGACAAATATGGACAGGGATTGCAGGGATGCAGATGTTGTACCAATTTATACCAACCTGGTGAGAAAGAGCAGAGCAGAAAGACTAAGTTCTCCATTTAGCAATTGATATATTTTCTTGAAATGAGGTGGTTTGAGCATATGGTAAAGATGCCTTCTAGACACCTCAAAGGGATGTGTTTCTGAACCGTACCACTGAGAGGAGACTGGGGCAGACCTAGAATTTACTGGTAGATCTCAGAGATGGCGCAGCACGGTGGCGCAACTGGTAGAGCTGCTGCCTCTCAGCGAGCAGGTCCCTGGTTCAAACCCCGGTCCAGGGGCCTTTCTGGGTGGAGTTTGCATGTTCTCTCCGTGCATGCGTGGGTTTTCTCCGGGTGCTCCGGTTTCCTCCCACAGACCAAAAACATGCATGTTAGGCTGATTGGTAACTCTAAATTGTCCCTAGGTGTGAGTGAGAGAGTGAATGGTTGTTTGTCTCGTTTGTCTCTTTGTGGCCCTGTGATGGACTTGCGACCCGTCCAGGGTGTACCCCGCCCCTCGCACAGTGATTGCTGGACATGGGCACCGGCGACCCCCGTGACCCAAAATGGAATAAGCGGGTAAAGATAATGGATGGATGGATGGATGGATCTCAGAGATGGCTTCAGAATCCTTTCAGATGTGCGGTAAAATATAATTGGGGAAAGAGAGGTCTGGCAATTTCTGCTTAAGCTGTTGCCTAATATTTTATTTGCTCTAATTTGAAAGTTTTCAAATTTAGGATTTTTCTTATTACTTGTCCTTGACATCAGTGCACCAATCCTAAAGTATATGGGAGATTACCCTACCAGGCAGCAGCAGAGTCCTGTAGAGCTCACCGACCAGATCTTTGGCCCTGCAACTAAAAACGAGGCCCTCAGGGATGAGATCTATTGCCAGATTATGAAGCAAATGACCAGCAATAACAACAGGTATGTGTGTTATTCCTCCTTTTAATACGCCTGTTGAAGGCGAACATATTGTGTATAGTCTCTCTTTGTCTATCCATTCCTAAACTTTCTCCTGTCCCTCCCATATCTTCTATTCCACTCAAGATAAATTACTGTGTTAAAACTTCATGCAAATATGCTTCATCGCTAGAATGTCTCATTCAAACCAGCCACTAGAGAGCACAAGCCAGTGTAGCTCTTGTGCAGGTCTCAAAGACCGGTAAATGGTGAGGGTTTTGTCAGAAAGGGGATCTGATGTAAAACACTTTTGCCTAAACTAATATGCAAGTTCAACTAAGCGACACCATACCAGATTGGTCGAGGCTCGGGTTAACAAAGACCGCCACTGGGGCTGTTGAAAAACAGGGTGTCAGCGGAAATTGTGCTACTGTTAGTAGAAGACCATGAGGAGGGAAACATGTCAAGAGACAGAGGGAGAAGGGGAAAGTCAAGAATATAAGACTGAAAGTTGCAACTCTAAATGTGGGGACAATGACAGGCAAGGGTAGAGAGCTGGATGAAATGATACAGAGAAGGAAGGTAGATGTTTTATGTGTCCAAGAGACCAAGTGGAAGGGCAGCAAGGCTTGTAGCATTGGAGCAGAGTTTAGACTGTTTTACCATGGTGTGGATAGAAAGAGAAATGGAGTAAGGGTGGTTCTGAAGGAAGAGTTGGCAAAGAATGTAGTAGAGGTGAAAGGAGTGTCAGATAGGGTGATGTGTCTGAAGGTAGAAGGTCTGATGCTAAATGTCAGTGGTTGTGTTCATCAAGTTGGATGTGATGTAGAGGAGAAAGGTAAATTTTGGAAGGATCTAGATGAAGTGATAGAGAGTATTCCCAGGGAGGAGAGAGTGGTGATCGGAGCAGACCTGAATGGACATGTTGGTGAAGGAAACAGAGAGGATGAAGAAGTGATGGGTAGGTTTGGTGTCAAGGAAAGAAACCAGGAAGGATGGATGGTGGTGGGTTTTGCCAAGAGAATGGAAATGGCTGTAGTCAACGTTTGTCTCCAAAAGAGGGAGGAACATAGAGTGACCTATAAAAGTGGAGGAAGGAGTACGCAGGTCAACTAAATTTCTGTGTAGAAGAGGAAACCTTAGGGAGATTGGAGACTGTAAGGTTGTGGCAGGGGAGAGTGTGGCCAGACAGCATCGGATGGTTGTTTGTAGAATGACTGTTGTTGTGAAGAAGAGAAAAAGGGTAAAATCAGAGAAGAAGACCAAAAGGTGGAAACTGAAGATGGAATAATGTTGTGAGAAATTCAAACAGGAGCTGTTAAAGGCTCTGGGTGGTAAGAAAAAGCTTCCAGATGACTGGACTACTACAGCAACAGTAATTAGAGAGACAGGTAGGAAACTACTTGTCGTTTCATTTGGACAGAGAAAAGATGATAAGGAAACCTGGATATGGAATTGTGAAGTACAGGAAGCTATTCAAAGAAAGAGGTTAGTCAAGAAGAAATATGACAGTGTTAGGACTGAAGAGAGGAGACAGAAATATAAAGAGATGCAATGTAGAGCAAAGAGGGAAGTGGCAAAGGCAAAGCAGAAGGCATATGATGAGTTGTATGGGAGGTTGGACACTAACAAGGGTGAAAAGAACTTGTGCCAATTGGCAAGACAGAGGGATCAGGCTGGAAAGGATGTGCAGCAGGTTAGGTTTGTTAAAGATAGGAATTATAATGTTTTATCAAGTGAGGAAAGTGTGATGGGAAGATGGAAGGAGTACTTTCAGGACCTAATGAATGAAGGGAATGAAAGAGAAAGAAGAGTAGAGGTCATAGAAACTGTGGACCAGGAAGTGGGAAAAATTAGTGAGGGTGAAGTCTGAAAAGTGCTGAAAAGAATGACGAAGGGGAATGCAGTAGGACCTGATGACATACGAGTGGAGGTTTGGAAATGTCTTGGAGAGATGGCAGTGAGGTTTTTAAATATTCAATGGCATACTTGAGGGTTAGGAAATGCCTGAGGAATGGAGAAGAAGTGTGCTGGTGCCCATTTTAAATAACAGGGGGTGATGTACAGAGTTGTAGCAACTACAGGGGGATTAAGTTGACGAGGCACACAATGAAGATCTAGGAGAGAGTTGTGGAAGCAAGACTTAGACGAGAGGTGACTATTTGTGAGCAGCAGTCTGGTTTCATGCCGAGAAAGGGTACCACAGATGCCATCTTTGCTTTGAGGATGATGATAGAGAAGTTCAGATAGGGTCAGGAAGAACTCCATTGTGTCTTTGTGGATTTAGAAAAAGCATATGACAGAGGGCAGAGAGAGTTAGTGTGGTATTGCATGAGGAAATCTGGAGTGGCAGAGAAGTATGAAAAAAGTTGAGAAAAAAGTTTCAGGAGTGATTTGCGACAAAGGAAAAGTTTACAAAACAGTGGTGAGACCAGCTATGTTGTATGGTCTAGAAACAGTGACAATGACAAAAAGACAGGAGAAAAAACTGAAAGTGGCAGAAAAGAAGATGTTGAGGTTCTCCTTAGGAGTGACAAGGATGGATAAGATTAGGAATTAGATCATTAGAGGTACAGCACAGGTTGAACATCTGGGTGATAAAGCTAGAGAGGCCAGACTGAAAAGGTTTGGACATGTCCAGAGAGACAGTTGGTATATTGGTAGAAGAATGTTAGAAATGCAGCTGCCAGGAAAAAGACAAAAAAGAAGGCCAAAGAGAAGAAATGGAGGTAGTTGGAGTGAGGACAAAGTGAGATGGAGAAGGTTGATTTGCTGTGGCGACGGAAAAGCCAAAAGAAGAAGAAGACAAGAGTGTCTCACACACTTTTCTTCACCTGAACTTTGAGGTCAAGTTCACAAATTAAAGTCAAATGTTATACGAGGTATTTGCTTGTCTGGGCCATTGCTATAGATTACTGTTTAATAGCTTGTCTGTGGGCATATAATGTGCCATATGCTGTCCTTTTGTTTGAAATCTACTCCACAATGTTCTCAAATTTATCTATTTACATGTATTGAAATACTTTAAAACTTTTTAGACATTAAAAATTCATTTAAATATTTTCTAGATGTGGAACTGGGACATAATCCTTGTGCTTTGGTGCAAGAGTGAAACTATTTTCTAATATGTTCTTGAACATGGTTGGTCTGTTTGGCAGGTTCAGCATTGAGCGGGGATGGCAGCTGCTTTGGCTCTGCTGTGGTCTGTTCCCTCCCAGCCAGTCTCTTCTGAGGCACGCACAGAAGTTTTTGGAATCACGTCGCAGGGAACCCCTGGCCTCTGACTGTCTGCAGTGGCTGCAGAGCTCTCTGAGGTTTGACCAACACACAGAGCGCGTCAGACACTAAACATGAAACTTGCCTGTGCAGACAGCTGTGTGCAAGCAGCTACCGTCACGCAACACTCTGCTGTGGTGAGAAAAGGAAACATCACAGTGAGAGTTTGAGTCTTATCATGGGAAGTTAAACTGCGATAAAGGGCTTCTTATTATGCATCCTTTGAGAGGTGCAGTGGAAGATAGAATTTGCTTTCAGCAACAAATATGTTAACAGATTATCTGTGAATGCAAATGTGGTATGTTTCCTTCACAGCAGGAGGACCAACCAAACTCAGCATTTGCATGGCTGTTTCTAAAAATACATCTCATTCAGGGTATTTAAAATAACAATATCAGACATACTTTCAGAAATAGGCAATGACTAGAGGTGTGATGTGCACAAGGTGTTCTGTTATAAAACACCCGTAAATGAAACAAAAACCAAAACCTATCTTCAACAGTTAAAATATCAGCTGGTAAATGTTACGCAAACCCCCTATTTAAGATCATCTACTTGTCCATTTAATGTCTGCTTAAAATGAAGCAGAAACCCAATAAACATAGGGATGAAAGAAAAGATAATAAGAAATTGGTATTTTTGATGACACATTCAAACAAATGAATAGTAGAGCTTGAAGTCAGTTACTTGAGAAATTGGACTTCATCTGCTTTTCTGGTTTTTAAAATGTCCACTTACTGGTACCAAAAATAAGATCACACATTTAAGACTCATTCTATAACTCATTTAGTTTAGTTTCACCCATACATGTAATTACCGTGGAAAGGAGGGAAACGAGTTCTAATGAGAAAATTTAAAATACTTACAATACATAAAAAGTACATTTCAAATAAGTCACAATGTAAAGGGAAAAAACTAGTGTGTGGTTGAGCATGGACTGTTTTGGTTTAGCATTATTTGTTTGTGTCTAGAATGGAGCCCAGGAAGCTCCCACCACACCCGGTGGAGGTGGATGCTATCCAGCAGAACAGCACCCAGATCTTCCATAAAATCCACTTTCCCAACGACACTGACGAGGTAGCTGCACGGACTCATTTCCATTATTTTTTCTGTTGTCACAAGAAAAAAAAATAGATCAAACCAGAGAAACAGAATACTGTCTCATCAGCATACTTCCTGTAAAACCAGAGATTCTTCTCATCCCTCTCCAGATATTTGAAGTGGCAACCAATACCAGGATCAAGGATCTCATCCAGAACATTTCCAAAAAACTCAACCTGGCTTCATCAGATGGCTTCAGCATTTTTGTCAAAACACATGACAAGGTTCATTTGCCATTTTAAACATTTTAATAACACATGCGTAACCTTAGCTTCTTTATCTCAACCACTTTTTTGTCTGATTATTTTGATTTAACGTCAGGTTCTCAGTTTAAATCACTCGGACTACTTCTTTGACAGTCTGAGGCAGATCACTGACTGGTCGAAACAAGCCAAGAGGATTAAAGACGGTAACAGCACTTCACATGATTCCAAAGAGCATGAGACATTTAATGGCTGTGTATATTTACCTATAAACACTGTGTGTGTGGGTGTGTGTGTGTTTTGCAGGTGGACCGGTGAACATAGCCTACCTTGTATTTTTCATGAGGAAGTTGTGGTTCAATGTCATCCCAGGCAGAAACCCAGAGGCTGATCTTATCTTTCACTTCCCTCAGGTACATTTGAATAAGCAGATCACCATTTCCAGCCTCATCCAAATGATTTTCTCACCTGCGTTGAGCATTCTACTCTGTTCTATTTCATAAATATCCTCCTTATTCCTAGCCCACATGATGCCTTGCGTGAATTATATGCGTGACTTTCGGCGCAGACCAGAACCATCATTTGTTTATGTGCGAACAGTACGAGTTAATGTAGTTTCTCCAAGCATCGTGGATTTAATTTAAATATGCAGGAACACCACCTGTCAGAGCTCAAACAGGACAATATAATGATACCGCTGCCTGCTGAGGACGACCTGAAGAAGTGGCTGCAGATTACATCTACTAGCATATTTAGCTACTTCATTGACTCGGTTCTTCTGACAGTGACATGACGAACAACCTGAAAGGCTCTGAGGTGTATCAGTATCTACACAGGAATAAGGTTGATGGTGTTTTGTTAAAAGAGGTGGAACACAATCTTATTGACCTTAAATCAGACACAGAGCCCAGCCAAAGCCTTAAAGTCCTCCATCACTGCGCTTGGGTTAATTACAGAGAAAATCATAATACCGAAGACAAACAAATACTATAATGCTTCTCCATACACTTGAAGTCATAGCTGACATTCTCGTCTCACTGTTTTCAATCCGTCTGAGGATTCAATGTCTCTTCTCAGGTGGTTTATTGTAGTCCAGACAAAGTAGGATGCAGGTTTTCCTCCATCGCCGTTTGTCAACAAAGTGAAATGAGCTCACATACAGTGTTTTGGGTGGTCTCTTCAGTTCACCTTTTTCATCCACATTCTTCTTAATTCCTCATCTGTAGGTAGGAGATGAAAAACATAGCACTTTTCACAGGAACACTCGTTTTGCTTTGTGTCTGTGTTCAAAACGTAGCCACTGATTTAGTTTGATCTGGTTGCTCATGCAACAGGTACCTGAACTCAGCACGGCTATTTCAGTAAACTTTATGGCTGTTAAATAAATGTGAACAAAACAAAAACAGCATTTTATCTGCTAAACTGAATGTAAATTATATTCAAATAAACTACAGTCTGTGCCCCACTACCATGGTTAACCAATGCTTACTGCTACTTCCTGTGTCTGACAGGAAGTTGCACCCATAATCATTTATACAGTAGAGCCCCCAGGAGCAAGGTGGATAGTCAAGGCAGCAACCATGTAAATCAGTTTAAAGGTTAATTCTGAACCCAGATTGGTAAAAAATAAAATAAAATGAGTCTCTCTGGTAACAAACACCTTTATATCTTGCAGGAGTTACCCAAGTATTTAAGAGGCTATCACGTTTGTACTAAAGAGGAAATGCTCAACATAGCAGCTCTGCTCTTCAGGGTGAAGGTCAGTAGTGACAAAAGCCAAGTCACCATGATTCCTAAGATGCTGAAGGACCTCGTGCCCGCCGACCAACTGAAGGCTGTCTCTGAAAACGAATGGAAAAAGGTACGGGTGCTGAGAGGCCAAGTGGCTTGATAGTTTTCTTTTTAGCAAATATCATAAAAATACACAAAAGCAGAATTTTTAGACATCTTTGAACCTTCACTGATGCTCTAAAATGCCTTAAAAAATAAAATGAGACTGTCACACTGTTTTGAAATTATTTTTACAAGGATCAGAACATGAAGAAATGAAGCACGTGTTGTGAAAATAGTCTTGTGAAGTATAATGTAATGTTTATGAATAGTTGTTACATTTATTGTGTATGCAATGGGATGAAAAGTGAGAATGTTGCAGCACACTACGATGCTAGCATGACACGTGCTACACATCTGTTTTGTTTGTACGTGTAACATTGTTGCAGAGAGTTTCTGGTGTTTTTCAGCATCTTATTTTTACTATTCATCTATGAGCTCTGAATAACGACTGAATAGCAGCTTTCTTTCCGTATGCGGTTACGGTCTCACCCATCATCTTCTTACTGATCCATGTTTGAGGAATGAATGACAAGAAAAAAATGTAGCTCGTTCATAGGAGCACATCGTGTGACTGGACATAGTTCATGATCAGTATAAAAATATGCTGCGTAGTTGTAGTTGGCACTCTAACAACTCCACATTTACCACAACAATGCAAAGAACAAAGCGTGTCTCAATATGTCGACGAAATGCTAGACAAATACATTGAAAAAATACAGGGGATATACCAACAATAACTTGGAGACGTTTAGTAACTTGGTTTAGGATTTTAGCATGCTAACATTAACCAGCTTGCATAAAACTCAATTAAAGCAGAGGGAGTTGGTAACGTATCCTGATTCATGCTCAATAATCCAGGTAGAAAAATCCAACAAAGTTAAGTCAGCTCCTCTGGATAGTTTCTTTTTGTTGAAACATTTCGTCTTTCATCCAAACGACTTCGTCAGTCTGAGGAGCCACAACAAACTCAGTCTTATAAATAGCACCTTCTCATAGTGAGTCAACCAGTTTGATGGTGCTCAGGTGGTTTCTGGAGTCCGCCTTTTCCCCCACCGCCTGCTCAAACTCTCAAACTAGTTTGAGGCAATCGATCAAAGTGGTTTAAAATTTATTGAGCATGAATACAGATATTTTGAACCACTTCGGCCATGATTGACTCAAACCAGTTGGAGAGTTTGAGTGGGCGGCGGGGGAGAGGGCGGACTACAGAAACTTTAACTTTAACTTTAACTTTATTTTTATTTATTCATTTTATAAATACATAACAATCAACATAATCAACATATATGTAACAACAACAAAATATTAAATATAAAATGAAAGGTAGCAGATGAAGAAAAAAATCTTATTAAATCTGCTCCTTATTTATCTAATAAGCCATTCAAACAAACGTTTCCTGTAAACAGCGAATACAAGTAAGTAAATCAAAATATTTTACAATTCTCATACAATACTCATCAAAATACAATCATTGATATTCATTTAACAATTTGATTTTAATCAGTTTCTTAAATACATAAATTGATATAGCATCCTTAACCTCTTTTACTAAGTCATTCCATAAACCAACTCCCTGAATTACGGTAGATCTTCCCTTCAAACTTGTTCTAAACTGTGGTTTAACAAATACGTCTTTCCCTTTTAGATCGTAACAGCTAGATCTTTTCACAAAGTACATTTGGATATTAAAAGGTAGTATATTTTTATGAGCTCTATACATAAGTGATAAAATATTATAGTCTACCAAATCATGGAACTTCAGCAATTTCATTTGATAAAATAATATACTTGTTGGATGATAATAATGCTTTCTTGTTATGATTCTTACGACTCTTTTCTGCAAAATAAAAATAGGCATTGTAATTGATTTACACGCCTTTCCCCAAACTTCAACACAATAAATTAAATGTGGCACAATAATTGTATTATACAGTAAATACAGCGCTCTGTCATTCAACAGATACCTGACTCTATAAAATATCATAATAGATTTGGATATTTTCATTTTAACAGAGTTTATATGTTGCCTCCATGACAAATTTTCATCAATGATGACACCCAAGAACTTAGCTTCATTAACTCTACTAATCTCAGAATCCTCAATTAAAAATGGAACATCAATAGTTTTATTTCTGTTACTAAATATCATATAATTTGTTTTTTCCAAGTTTAATGATAATTTGTTGAGTTTAAACCAATTCTGAATTTTAACAAACTCATTCATCATTGATTCCAATAACTGTTCAATATTATTACCAGAACAAAAAAATGTTGTATCATCAGCAAAAAGAACAGATTTGAGGATTCCAGACACCTTAACCAGATCATTTATATATAAAATAAATAACTTTGGACCAAGTACAGATCCTTGAGGAACTCCACATGTGATGGTGCAAACCATCGGAGCACCATCAAACTGGTTGACCCACCATGAGAAGGTGCTATTTATAAGACTGAGATTGTGTCGGCTCCTCAGACTGATGAAGTCTTTTGGATGAAAGACGAAACGTTTCATCAAAAAGAAACCATCCGAAGGACCTGACTTAACTTTAGACGTTTGTAACATATTCAGTTTGAGATATTATAAAATCTATGTTCATTTAAAGGCTGGAAATTTGTTTTTACAGGGGCGTAAACATTTTGTACAATTTAACAACATTCAAAACATGAGCTTCATATTAAGTACGCTCTGGGTTTCCTCAAAGCACTTGTGTCAAACTCAAGGCCCGGGGGCCCTTGTTGCCCTCGTTGACATCTTATCTGGCCCCCAAGAAGATATGTTAAACGTAAAATACTTTTGTCACTTTCATTTTTTCAGTAATCTTTGATTATGATGTCAAAAGTGCAGCAAGGAATGTCAAATGAGACCAATCAAACTCTTGTTAAGGAACCTGCAACCAAGAAAGGATGTCGAGTATCTACCTCCAGTTAATGTAGATTCTGAAATTGTCCCTTAGTTTGAAAAAGGTTTTAATTTCAGCCCCCTTTTGTAAGTGAGTTTGACACCCCTGTTCTAAAGGCTGCATGAGACCTTATTCAAATGTAGGAAAAGTGTGTCAGTACAGAGAGGCTCTGTTTGGTTAGCAGGACAGTTACAGCTAAATTTCACTTTGCAAGGCCTTTGTGAATCATAGAGATGAACAAAATCCTTATCTGTGCCCACAAAATATGCACAGTCCATTCCCTTATTATAATTAATTGCAAAGTCTAAAAGCCAAAGTGAGGCTGTTTTGTTTTCCATGTCTTTTTAACAACAAAACTCATGGAATATCCCAGGACTTATGTTGTGAATTGCTCATGTTGTGTGGACAATATAAGCATTATAGCCTTCTCATGCTCTCTCAGTGCAGGGAACATACCCTGGAGGCTGAGGGTCGAAGGGAAATCATTAACCTCATTAAAGCAGGGCAAAGACATCTCATAAAGAAAGGGTGTTCTATCGTACCATGACATACCGGTAAATGTGTATATATATTTATATGTCTTCTTTATTGTTGTTTTCAGGGTATTGTTGCCTTGTATAATAAACAAGCTGGTATGACCGTTGAAGAAGCAAAAATAGCTTTTCTGAAGGCGGTTTACCGCTGGCCGACGTTTGGCTGTGCTTTCTTTGAAGTGAAGGTAGGAACTGCATTAATTGCTCTTAAAGTTGTTGTCTAGGATTTGTTTAGATGGGTGGTTTGTCTATCTGATGTTGTTGTTGCTTTTTCTGATATTTGCACTGTGATGCACTTGCAGCAGAATATAATATTAATATTGTTAATATTCATGAAAGCCACGAGAAGTGGTTTTGACGTGTTTCTGTCATTCTTCTCAGCAAACATCGGAGCCAAAATTTCCAGATATTGTGCGAATCGCCATCAGCAAGAATGGACTCACCATCATCCACCCAAAAACTAAGGTTAAAAAAAGCAACAAAAATTTAATAAACAGTTAAGTTTTTTTTGTGTGTGTTTTACAGTTTTAACATGTTTTTCTCTTTGAAGGATGTTCTGGAAAATTACCCGTACAACCGCATGGCTAACTGGTGCAGTGGAAGCACCTACTTTCACATGACGATTGGCAGCTTAGTCAAGGGGACCAAATTCCTGTGTGAAACGTCACTGGTAAGGTTTAAATTTCACGTAGATTTCCTGAAATATAAAAATTGTCTTGATGAAGATATGCTGACATCAAAGCCTACCCACAATGCATCACAAGAATATCTGGCATAATGTTGAAGGTGCAAATGAACTATAAAAATAATGTTCCAAAGAATAAAGCTCTAGAAATTAGTATTTTTGATACTTACTAGGTTCCTCGGGGGGTCATGGGAGTTTGCCCAACCAGTCTACATGTGTTTGGTGGACTTGGAGAAGGTATTCAATTGTGCTCCTCGAGTACACTGTGGGTGGTGGTTCGTGAGTCTGGGATCTGTTACTATGGGTTGTTCGGTCCCTATACAAGCGCCACGAGAGTTTGGTTCGCATTGCTGGCACCGTCGGACGCCTTCAGGATGGTAGGTGGACTCCACCTATCCTCCGCCTGTTGTCACCGATCCTGTTCATAACTTTGATGGACAGAATTTTTCTGTGCAGTCAGGAGGCAGAGGAAGTCCAGTTCGGTGGCCTCAGGACTCCATCTCTGCTCTTTGCAGATGATGTGGTCCTGTTGGTGACATCGTGCCATGATCTTCAGCTGAAGCAGTTCACAGCTGATTGTGAAGTGACTGAGGATGAGGATCTGGACCTTCAATCTGAGGATGTGGTCCTCAGTCAGAAAAGGGTGCATTGCCCTCTTTGGGTTGGGAGTGAGGTTCTGCCTCAAGTGGAGGATTCCAAGTATCTCGAAAACTTTTTCACAAGTGAGAGAAGAATGGAGTGCGAGATTGACAGATGAATTGGTGTGACTTTCACAGTATTGTGAACTCTGTGCTGATCCACTGTGGTGAAGACGGAGTTGAGTTGCAAGGCGAAGTTCTCTGTTTACTGGTCAGTCTACATTCCTACTGTCACCTACGGTCATGAACTCAGGGAAGTAACAGGAAGAATGAGATCACAAATACAGGCAGTCGAAATGAGTTTCCTCTGCAGAATAGCTGGACTAGAGAGGGTGAGAAGTTCAGTAACCAGGAGAGACTTGGAGTAGAACCGCTGCTCCATAAATATAAAGACGACTGGGGGGGCATTTGTATTGTTCCCCTAAAGGTGAAGGTTTTGCACAGAAGCAGTCAGACAAAAGCAAAATTGTTGGGTAATCAAGAACAGAGTCTGAGGTTTAGAGACAATTAAATAACATCATAGTTCTGACCACAGACTTATTTGTGCAGATGTTAAATTCAGTGTAAAATATTTGTATAAATGTTATGTCTTGATCCTAAAGGCTATCAGGTCTAAACAGGCCAAACTTAGAGTTCTCACTGTTTATGCAAAGATTTCCTAGAGCTTTGAGAGTCTTGATGAGATAGAGTGCTATAAGTACAGTTCATTTGTTAGGGTGGCATGGTGGTGCAGTTGGTGAAGCTGTTGCCTCTTGGCGAAAAGGTCACCAATTCAAATCCCGGCCAGGGGTCTTTCTGGGTGGAGTTTGCATGTTCTCTCCATGAGTGCGTGGGTTTTCTCTGGGTACTCCAGTTTCCTCCCACAGACCAAAAACATGCATGTTAGGCTGATTGATAACTCTAAATTGTCTCTAGGTGAGTAAGAGAGTGAATGGTTGTTTGTCTCGTTTGTCTCTATGTGTCCATTTGATGGACTGGAGACCTGTCCAGGTGTCCCCCACCTCTAACACAGTGACTGCTGGACATTAGCAACAGTGACCCCGTGACGCTAAAAGGAAGAAGCTGGTAAAGATGATGGATGGATGTTGTTGTTAGTGTGTACCAGTCATGTGTAGTGAACTTAATCTGGTGTCACGACTAAGCCTAAGGTCAAAACCCTTGACCTTAAGAACCTTGTGGGACAGAAACTGTCATTTTATTGATTTGAATCCAGAATTACAGGTTCACCCATCCTGAGACTTTCTTTCTTGAAGATTCAAGTGAAAAGAACACTCTCTTTTTTATTATCATTACTATTTTACAAATGTTGATAATCAAAGTGTCTTAGTTCAAACCATTTTAGATGTTGCAGTGAACTAATCAATTTTATTAACTGTGTAATGATTTTTAAATTCTCATGCAAAGTTAGAAATCATGTTAAGGTCTGTTACAGATAATTATGCATTTTCTGATTTTCTGTCTTTGAATGAGCAAGTGTAAGTTGGTCCAAGGTTGGAGTCAAACGCAAAACAAGTTGTTGGAACGAACTGTCATGTTTTTAGAATCCTCTCAGACGTAAATATAGAGGTTTTGGCACCTGTTTCTGAAACGCGCCAAAACAAAACTCTCTCTGTCTGTGAGAACATTTCTGATCTTTCCATAACAATTCTTGCTGCATTCTAACCTTTTACGTCACAAAACACACCCCGTCTGGTCGGTTCTGGCCAATGGGAGACTCCCGTATGAACCGGGAAAAGGGCTCTTTAAAATGTCGGTACTTCCTGGTCTACTCAGATCTGAAAACTACTCAGTTCTGCTGGAGTTCTGTGAGGGTTCCTCTCGGTTCGGTTGAGTTCAGTTCTGTTCAGTTCTGTGCGGAGAAGCCCAGTTCTGGGAGACGGGAAGATCCTGACATGACAACAGAGCTCTTCCGAGTCATGGGAATATAACACTTTCCACTCGCCACTACTTCTGACGAGCTACAGCCATCCTAAGGAGACGCTGGACATGTAGCGTTAATGGAACTCCATATCTGCTGATTAATCTCAGAAAGGTAATGAGTCAAGTTTCCTACCAAGCGTACCGAGGTGAGCTGGGTTCTGATGGAGAGTGTCGGTTCTGGTGAATACTTCCCCTCACATACCATCTTTACTCCCTTTAACTTCTTTCCCATCTTTAAACTTTTCTCTCAAGTAGAAATTCTTCCAGATATTTTAGAAATGTCTGTGTAAAGTGCTCATCCACATCCATGTGGGTAAAAGATCATAATTGTACAGTTTTCATAAATGTCTGTGGTGAAGCAACGGAAAAATCATGGCCGTATGATTTTTCCTGATTGATTGATTATGTTGTTATTTTCATAATTTGCCAAATTAATGTAAATGTTTGATGTTAAACTTTGATTCTGTAAATAAATGACCGCATTCATTTTGATGGGTCAAATATAAATGACGTCTCACGTTTGCATTTCATTAAATTCAATGCACGTTTTATTCAGTTCAGAAAAATGAGGAATCCGCGTTAATTGATGAATATATCAGAGCATCTGTTCATCTACACATGTTTGGTACAAATAATACATCAAAATGTAAACATTTTCCCCCACAAATATTTCCTGCAGCTGTAGGACTTGTGTTCTCTAATCCCCCCAGAACACACAGAGTGCACACACAAAGGTGGTATTTCACAGAGCTGCAACTGTTGGAGACGTTTGCTACTTTTAAACAGCAAGAAAATAATCACCTTTTTTGAACATTTTCAAAATCAAGTGACAGGACCGTGCACCTTTCAACTCAAGTGAGAAAACTGAAAAAAACACTGAGAGACATTCTGGAGTCTTTGACAGGATCGCTGTTCGTCAGTGTTTAACAAACAGATAAGTGAGACAGGAAGACCCAACTCCTTGATTTTTAACAATTTATTACAAAAGAAATGTCAAGCAGAACATCTCAGAGATGAGACAAAAGCAGGCGTCAGAATGTGTGGAAAGCTTGATCACCTCTTCCCATTTTATTTACTCAAACAGTCTTTCTTCTGTTTTTTAGGGCTACAAGATGGACGATCTTATAACTTCCTATGTGACCATGTACTCCAGAGAGAGAACAGTGCAAACCAGGAACCAGCGCTTCAACATGTGAAGTCTCTGCAGTCTGTTCTGGAAGCTGCAGGATGTGTGTTTTGAAAAAGAATACGTTTTTTTGTTAGTGATATGTACAAACAAAAAAGTAACCTGCCATTTTCTCAGTTTTTATTTATTGCAGTTAATGTAATCTGTTGTCATGTATCCACGAAACAAAATCCAAAGTGAGAAAATTATTTCTTTAACACATTTGCTTGAGCACTTTTTGGTATTTGGCCTTTTGTTTAACCCCAACTGTCCCAAAGTGACTGAATGTAAAATAACCTGTTGTGGGTTTATTTGCATGCACGATGAGTCGACACCTTGATGCCAAAATCCCAAATTCCCAATCCCACATGGCTTTCAACCATGATGTTTGCTGGTTGAGACCAAATATTAAGGGCTGAAACCATTTTTTATACAGCGTTAGTTTTGTCAGTATCTAGTCAGGTCAATATCACTCATCTCTGTCTTGTTTCAAGTCTCCACTGTTTGCTGCTCTCTGTGCCGTGTTGCTCTTTAAGACTTAACCGTCTTAACCACCGTTTCAGCACACAACACGCAGTTCCACACACAGCTGACACACGTTTAGTGATGCAAACAAGTGATCCGGGACAGCTGAAGGAAAGATTAGATCATTAGATCATCAAATAAATAAATAAATAAATTGTACGCATCTTTTATGATTGTCTATTGTTGTCGTTGTTGTCCACTGTTGTCATCACTTTGTTAAAAATTCAGGTCTCTCTTGTAAATGAGTCCCCAAGGCTCAATGGGACTAACCTGTATAAATAAAAGTTGAATGAATTTACAATTACAATATAAGCTTCCCAGAAACACTATGGTCCATGTCCTCCTGATTTATGAATGAATCAGAAGATGTCCTTCAAGCTTCAGCTCATCCTTCAGCAGAGATGTTTGACACCATGCTGGTTTCAGAGAAGCAGCAGACCAGACATTCTCACAGAAAGGCTGCACACAGTGGAGTTTATTACTTTTTTTTTTTTTTTTTTTGGATCTTACAAATAAACATGTAGAATCATATCAAAGTTTTATGACGTTGGATCAAAATATTTACTGTGCAGTTTGAGTGAGCATCGATTAGTTGTTGAGGTTTTAAATCTGCGTGACGCGTTGCAGTTTCAGTTTCTTCAGTTTTGTCATCAGTTCTACAAATAATAAATTTAATGAAAGTCATAAACATACATTTACAGTTTTCAAAAAGAAAATAAACCTGTTAGAATATTTTGAAATGCATATTTGGAGCATTGTGAACCGTATCTGGAGTGATCTGAAACTTTTAGTTTGATGCCTTTAAGCTTGTGTGCCAAACCAAACCCAGAGGTCCCAGTCACTGAAGCGTTGCCTCATACTGAGGGTGGCATTTAAATCTCTGCAGGAGTGTCTTTATAAATCACTAAGGAATGTAATGAATCCATACACAACATACACAGTATAATCAGGAGATACTCGATATATGTTCACTGTTGAGAATTTTCTTTTTGATAAATTTGTCAAATAAAACGTTTTCACACTAAAAGTCTGTTAATGATGTTAATCTTTCTTGAGATATTCTGTCCCCCCTACTTTAATTCACTTGACTCTAAACTATAATTAGCTTTCTTGAATGAGCCCTTTGCTCTAAACATCATCATCCTCAAGGATCTCTTGGGCAGTTTGTTCTTGTTAAAGACATGTTTTGACCATTTTGATGTGAGTTCTGTAGAAAGTTCATTAACTTTAATTTAATATCTGTTAACACTGATATCACAACAGCTAATCTGAAAGTGGATTACTGTTGTCCCAAAACAGTTCCACTCTCCAGGATTTCATAGAGATTCATGCAAACACTATTTTTCAACCATATTATGATCAATTTGCATCAAACAGCCATTTTGACAGCATCATCATTAAATCCCTGCTGGAGGAGCTGGACACTGCATCTGAAGTGCTGCAGCTATAGCAGCTATTCAACATGCTAATATCCACAACTTCTTAAAAACTAACCATGCACTAAGAAACTGATTGTTGAGTAAAAGTTTATAAACTATGATTTACATCAACTGCTATGAAACTTTAATAAATTGAAACTGTTTTAGGGCACGTCAAGGCATGATTTAACTGCACGGTTTTACAGAAAGTAAACAAGCCAAACAAAAGGTTGGGGCGATGACCCACTTGCTGTAGATTAACAGTGTGGTGATGCCAAAGCATCTGCACAGATACCAGCTTCAGTCCAGTCTGCAGAATGTAATTTGCACATCAATAATTCTGTGGAAGAAAGGGTGGGTGTCTCCGACACACAGCTGTGGAGGCCTCATATGAAAGAAATATTATCCCCCTCAGCAGAGGGTCCTTTCTCTACAGCTGCGCTGTGGATATGTGGCTGATTATTTTGGGCGTTCCAATTCAGGATGCCCCCAGGAGGCAAGAGAGCAACAAGGGCCTCTGTTTCCTTCAGACACCCCCCCCACCCCCCGCCTGCTTGTGTGTCTTATTTTTTCTAGTCACCCCATAGAGGACAAGGGGGCCCTCCTTAGAATGTATCAGACTCTCTAGAAAACATCATCATCTCTAAGACTTTAGTCATAAACCTCACAGTCACCAACAGTCCACCCTCTGTCAGCGGGGGGAGTTCATGTTGGAGGCTCTTGGTGCAGCACTCGCCTGGTTTCCATGGAGTCGAACCCCACAACTCATTGAGACTGAGGCATGCCATTCTTCTCCCCGCCGCTGAAATGCACCGCTTATTATGACTCAAGCTATTGTGGAGTGCACAAGTGACTCTCAGAGGAGAAGGGGATGGGGAGAAAAGGGTGGGGTCAAGGTTCAAACGAAAGGCTCCCTTTCTGTTATCAAATTTGTTGAGGGACAAAAAGAGCTCCAGTCTCTTTCCTCAGGACATGTTGAGGGAGAGAAGAGGGGTCATAGGACATCATTCTTTGTGTCAGAGCACAAGTTCTTACAGAGCGGCAGATCAACTCTCCGGCTTCACTTTGCTCCACAACACCTCCCTGCTCCTGCTCAGATCCTGGTCCTCCTCTTCTGTGTGCAGCCGAACCTTTCCTCCGTGGAGCTCTGGTAAGTTTTCTCTGTATCCTGCCGTGTTTTTGTCATCATTTTACCAAGTCTGTTGTTCTTTAAGGGGAAAATGGCTTTAGAAAGCTCCCAGTTGTATTTGTCCAATAAATCCATATTTACATTTCATTCCCTTCAAATTTAACAAAAACTCACTTAGTTTTGTTCAGGACCGATCCCAGGATGCTCGGGTTCTGCTCCAGGTTCTGCCCAGGACTGTCTCTCTGCACAGTTAGCCCTTCGAAAGATGCCTTTATGGTTGCTTTTCTGTACAGCTGCTCTGCCCGTTTGTCATGCATCTGTTTTCTTTGGAGGACTGAAGGTTTGAGCTCAGGTTGAGAATCGCCTATGGCTGCAGGTCTCACATCACTTGCTCAAAGGACCCACATTGCTTCATCTGACTGACTCTGAATGGACCAAACAATGAGCTAGTGAAGAAAAGAGATTAAGACCCATCAGACAAAGACAACTCTCCTTTGTTGTCATGTTTTTTCATTGTGTTTTCTGGTTTGGTCAGCCCTCTATAATATATCTGAGGACACCCCTGCAGCTTTAGAAATACGATCTTTGAAAGGCGGGTTCATTGGTTCATTGGTTACACATGTTATAATATTGCTGTTGGCTCCACCACAAATACCAAAGTGAAAGCTAAAATGATGAGCCTCGCCTTGGACTAATTAAACTGTGTTCATCACAACACATTGATGTCCAGTTCAAACAACAAAAAAAGAGGTCAGATAAATACAGGGAAAGACATGTCTACAGCTGGACTTTGCCAACGTTGGATGACAGAGTGTGCGGTCCTTAAGGTGTGTCCAATAGCTGGAATCAATGTTCAGTCTTCGAGGGAATGTTGGAATCCTGTTTTAAAAACACAGCCTGGGCTCAACATCAGAGAGTCAGAGTCAGAGATTCTTTATTGTCATTCGCACCTCATGTGGTACATGTGGTGGAGCGAAATTATGTACACAAGGTCCCAGTTACATCCAACAATAAAATGTATAAGAAAAACAATAATAACATCGAAGATATGAACTAAGAAAAACATCAACTAAATATACACTAAGCACTCATAACATAAAAACATTGAACATCAGCACAAACATGAACATGAGTCTGTGTGAGCGGATGTGCACGCATGAACACATCAACATTTAAACAGATCAGCAGCAACATGAAACAGATCAGCAGCAACATGAAAAAGATCAGCAGCAACATGAAACAGATCAGCAGCAACATGATGTGATTTTTCACAGTGATTATTCTAGTTAGAGATTCATGAGTCTAACAGCCTCAGGGTAGAATCTGTTCCTCAGTCTTGTGGTTCTACACTTAATGCTCCTCAACCTCTTCCTGAGGGGAGTGGGGCAAAAAGTGTGTGTGCTGGGTGAGTGAGGTCCTTCATGATGCAGGTAGCCCTCTTCCTGCATCCAGAGGTGTAGATGTCTGTGATGGTGGGGAGGCTGACTCCAACAGTCTTCTGTGCAGCCTTCACCACTCTCTGCAAAGCTTTTCTTTCTGCAGCTGTGCAGCCTCCATGCCACACATTGATGCTCGAGCACAGGGTGCTCTCCACTGCACACCTGTAGAAGGAGGTGAGGACTGAGCTTCCCGGACCAGCTCGTCTCAGCCGTCTGAGGAAGTAGAGTCTCTGATGAGCTTTCTTGATCAGGCTGGTGGTGTTGTTGCTCCAGCTGAGGTTGTCATTCATGTGTACACCCAAGTACTTGTAGCTGGAGACCACTTCCACAGCAGATCCTCTTATGTTCAGGGGGGTGTAGATGTTTTTGTTCTTTCTGAAGTCCACAATCATCTCCTTCGTCTTCTTCACATTGATGTGAAGGTTATTCTCTTTGCACCAGCTCTCCAGGTGTTCCACCTCTTGCCTGTAGCTGGACTCATCATTGTTTGTGATGCATCCCACCACCGCTGTATCATCTGCAAACTTTACAATATGACAGCCTGGATGGGTAGCTGCACAATCATACGTGAGCAGAGTAAACAGGAGGGGGCTCAACACACGTCCCTGAGGAGAGCCAGTGCTGAGGGTTATGGTGGAGGAGGAGAAGTTGTGGATCCTCACTAACTGTGGTCTGTTTGTTAAGAAGTCTAGTACCCAGTTGCAAATGGAGGGGCTTAGTCCTAGTGTGGATAGTTTGTCCATCAGGGTTTGCACATGCACAAAACAATTAAAATACAGTATTAATATTACAGTAATATCAAATGTAATCTTTAATCTATGAGCATATAACATTTGTTAGACCTCCATTGTCATCATCTAACCACCTCAAAGCAAAACGCGATCCACTATGAATAACGTAACATTTGAAAGTGATCAGTTTTATGCAATTGCTATACTTTATGGTTCTGATCACTAATATTAGCATAGTCTATGCTAATGAGGCAAAAATAGAGCTCACCATCTTGGTAGGTGCTACACACCATCTTTAGTTACTGCCAGCATGGCAACAGACCATAAATATTTGAATAAAAAAGTTTAGCTAAGCCAAAAAAAGCCCAATGTTTACCATTATTTGTTATAATGATCAGATGTTTCACTTCTGCAAAACAGTATTACTGTATATTTTTACTTTTTACTTTAGAAATACTAGTCATAGGAGCTATATTAACATATAAAAAGTGATCACTCTTGACTTCAGCTAACTGAAAATATATAATTAACATTAGGTAGTTAGTTACTTTTTAGCTACTACTAAAAAGTTTAGTGTACTGGTATAATTAAATGATTCCAGCACTTGGTCATTTTATCACAACGGAAACATGCATGTTCAGCATTTTGCTGCCTCTGTCGTTTGACCAGGCTTAGTGGGAGGCTCATTACAGAATATTCTTGCACCTTTTTACACAATATGTATGACAAACTGTTTGTTTATTTTAGAAAACTATTACTATTTATATGTACAGTTAGACCAATGACAGAATACAGCATGCACATGGCATTGGCAATGTGTGGCTTCAGCATGTAATCAGTACACAGAGATAGGCGTAGCACCTAGCAACATGGCAGCCGCAAATACACAGTCTGACCAACAAAAAGGTCACCACATGGATTCAGCTGAGCAAATAGGTAAGATCCTGTCAGTACTGCATGGGTGACCACGTTTCAGCAGACAACAAATGTTTTAACTCTGATGCAGTGAACAGCTTCTCATTTCTTAAACAACCATGTTGAAAGTCACATCCTGTGGTCATGGAAAAGATCTGTTTCAGATGGGTCAACTTATTGGCATCAAGCAGAAACAACTTCTAAAGAGAGTGCTCAAACTAGCAGTTGGTCTGGATTAGGTTCAGCAATGTTATGTTCCCAAAGAATGGGGTCAGCTGACTACCTGAACATCCTGAATGACCAGGTTATTCAAGCATTTTTTTTCTTCCCTGATAGTACAGGCATGTTCCAGGAGAACAATGCCAATTCATCGGGTTGAAATTGTGAAAGAGTGGTTCAGGGAGCATGAGACATTACTTTCACACATGGACTGGCCCCCACAGAGTCCAGACCTGAACCCCACTGAGAATCTCTGAGATATGCAGGAGAAGATTTTGTACAGAGGTCCAAATCTCCCTTCATCAATACAAGATCTTTGTGATAAATTAATGCAACTCTTGACAAAAATAAATGCTGTGACATTGCAGAAGCTTGTGGAAATGATGTCACAGCGAATGCACACTGTAATCAAAGCTAAAGGCGGTCCAACAAAATCTTAGAGCGTTATGTACATGAATGTTTCTGCTCAGTGCCCTGAGATGACTTCTGTTGTGACTTGACGCTATAAATAAACTGAACTGAATTGTGACCTATTTGTGTCCACTCAGTTTATTACAAAATAGGAAAGATTCAAAGATGCTTAGCAAAGCACTGACGGTCAGCAAGCCTGATAAAATGAATTAATACAAGCTATAAAACATTAGCTACAAAGTTCTAGTTGTTATACAAGAAGAATATCACATTTAGGCTCAAGTGTGAACTTTTCTGCACTTTCATGATAAAAGCCACCCTGTCAGTCACCACACTACCAAAGAAGTGCTAAGTGATGTGTAACTTTTGTTACCAACCTACATAAAATAACTCTTGCAGACTGCTGAGCTGTTTAATTTGTAAAGAAAGGAGAGAGGAGCTAAGGACTTGACTCAACTTCCTGGACTTTGCAGAGGAAGTTTAATTGAAAAAAAAAAGAAGCAATTATGTTCTCTAAGGACACGTTGAGCAGGGACACTGACATCCATTGTTGCTTTGTAAAACTGGCACAACAAAACTCACCCTGCCTGCTGTCTGTTTTGTGTTTTGACCAGACCGGACTGGTGAAGTTTCCTGTCCCCAAGGTGGTTTGCTCTCAGAATACTAACAATGAACTTATTTTTTTAATCAAAGGTTTTCAACTCAATTTCAGATCAGAATCTATTGATGCTACTACACCTGTAAACCTACATATGATGTAGACAAGCGTGTTTTACATTCTCTTACAATAAGACAAATGGTGAATGTAACAAGTCCTCTGGACAGATTCTTCTCGTTGAAACGTTTCGTCTTTTATCTATAAAACTTCTTTAGTTTGAGGAGCTGCAAAAAGCTCAGACTTATGAACATCAGGACAAATAGTGAAGTAAAACTTAACATTTTCTTTTAAGTGACATTTATTTTAATTTCTTTGTCTCCTCAGGCACCATAATGGAGTTGGCTACAACAGAAGAATCATCCCTGCTGTCAAACCAGTCGTCAGAGAGTTGTGCAGCAGCAGCAACAACCATTGAGAACCAACTTTTTGGATGGTTCTACATTGTGATTTTTGTTCTGGCACTGGGTGGTAACAGTCTGGCTCTCTGGATCTTCTCTCGTCAGCGTGGGGTTTCTTCTCCTGCTAATGTTTTCTTGGTTCATTTAGCTGTGGCAGACCTATCGTATGTTGTCATTCTTCCACTCAGAGCCATCTACCACTTCACTGGAGGCCACTGGCCATTGGGTGAGGTTCCTTGTAGGGTGGTGGGCTTTTTGTTTTATGTCAACATGTATGCCAGCCTGTACTTCCTGGCTTGTGTGGCAGGGGATCGTTACCTGGCTGTGGTTCACGCTGTGAGATCAATGAAGGTTCGCCACTCTCGCTATGCTCACATCATCAGCTTCTCCTTGTGGGTCCTGGTTACGGTCTCCATGGCGCCGCTGCTCGTCACCCACCAGACCGCACAGGTGAACAATACAACGGTGTGCTTGCAGCTGTACCGAGAAAAGGCCTCACCCAAAGCACTGATATCTCTAGCAGTGGCCTTCACGCCACCTTTCCTAGCCACCCTGTCCTGTTATCTGCTCATCATCCACAGCCTGCATCAGGGCTCCAGGTTGGAACCTGCACTCAAGCTGAGGGCCCTCCGCACGATCGGCGTGGTCATGCTCATCTATGTAGTCTGTTTTCTGCCGTATCACATGAGCAGGGCCACCTTTATACTTGGCTACAACCACCCAGATATATCCTGTGAAACGCGCAGATCTCTGAGCATGGCTAATCGCCTCACCTCCTCCCTCACCTGCCTGAATGGTGCCATGGACCCTCTGGTCTACCTGTTCGGGGCGGAGAAATTTCGGAGTACACTGCGGCGATTGTTATGTAAAGATAAGGCAGGGATGTCTGGAGCCACCAGCGGAGAGTTGAAGGGGACGCACGAGAGCTCTCTGAGTGCTAAGTCTGAGTTCTGAGGGGAAGGGATTTTAACAAAATGAAGAAAACTGTCATCTAAATACGTTTCCAACAAAATGACTTTTATTCTGACTGTTCAGGGGCTATCGTCATTAACTAACTGAAAAGGCAGGAACAAACTCAAAGCCTTGTGTCCTCCCTGCACCTTATTCAAGGAACCCTTGCAGACCTGGCTCTTCTACGAGCAGCAGAAGGCATCACGATGATGTATGGTCAAGGTTTTACAACTAAATCCACACGTTATTGTAACCCTGGTACCATCAGATACTGCATTTCAAAAGTGGAGATTTCACTGTCTTTACTATTGATTTTCTTTGTACTGTGAATTTGGTCCATCTACTCATGATTGGCTCAGTTCTGAGTGAAGTTCAGTCTGGTCTAACATCCATTACCAATTCTTTTGTTGTTGAATCAAGGGAAAGTTTTAATATTTTATGTATAAGTGCATTTGTAAGCACACACACTAACATTTTAGTGTCTAAGACTTATACATACTTGTTTAGAAAAACTGCACATAGCCAGCACCACCGATGGGTTTGTGGTTAAAATCTAACTTGTGACTGCAGCTTTCTTTCTTATGATTTCTTCTTCTTTTGTGTGTTTGTTCTCTTTTTGTTTTCTGTGTTACTTAGAGCCATGTGCAACCACATTTAGACAGCTGTAGAGAGCAGCGAGCTGTCGCTCTCTCAGCTAAAGCTATAGGCTTTAAGTTTTAGTTTTTGACTTTTGAATGGGTTGAATTATTTAATCCAACAAAAATAACCAAAGAAACACTGGTGGTTTGATTAATTTCAAAAGTTAAACTCTATATAATTATGAAATAATTACATAATTTTTAAAAGGACCGTTTGCACACGGAGTTGAATTTAGCTACTTAAACAAATAAGGCCTGTATACATTAGATAAAGTCTTTGAGACTCAACTGAGAGATCTTAAGGTGCCCAAAGCCTGTGGTAACACAAATGTCTGCATAAACAACTCAGGAGAGTTTCTCGTACATTAGTAGACTGCACTGATGGATATTCAAATTTCACTTGCTAAAAAAGTTTAGGAAAAGTTTGTATTTAATCTGTTTTTGATTTTATACCAGTAGCATCTTCCTACCATCTACTACACACACAGAGGTGGGATTGTTGTGTCATGTGACAAGTTTGTTTCAACACTGTTTAGAAAAAATATAAAATCCATCAAGCGTGTACATGTTCAACTTACTGTATATTTTCCACAAGCCGAATAAGATGAACACTAATTAGTTTTTTGTTAGTGATAATGCTTTGGTTTATGTTAAATGTACATTTAGCACTGCTAATAGCTCGACTGTTACATCGAAAAAACATCTCCATCTTCTACTGCTTATCTGTAGTTAGGTCATGGAAGCAACAGGTCCAGGAGAAAAACTCAGACATTCCCACTCTCTAGCTCCCCCTGGGGGACCAAGAGGTGTTCCCAGCCGATGGAGTCATAATCACTCCGAGTTCTGGGCCTACCTCGGAGACTCTTTTCATTGGGACATGCCCGAAAAACCTCCAATGGGAGGCTTCTAGGAGACATGCTCATTAGGTGAACCTGCTCAGTTGACTTCTTTCTATGCAGACGAGCAGTGGTTTTACGTTGAGCTTCCCCCCGGATGATGGAGCTTCTCACCCAATTTCTAAGGCTGAGCTTGGAAGGAAGGAAGATCATTTTGGCCACTTGTATCTAAGAGTTTATTGTTTTGGTCAAGATCAATGCTTCATGACCATAGGTGAGGGTTGGAACATATGGGCAGTAAATTGAGAGCGTTGCCTATAGATTCAACACTTTCTTCACCACAATGGACCAAAACGACGCCCTCATAATTGAGGATGAAGCCACGATCAGTCGATTCATCTTCAGCTTCTTTTTATTAAGACACCCAGACACTTAGAAAACTTTTCCACCTGAGGCAAAGACTCCACCCCCGACCTGAAGGGGGCATTCCACCCATTTACAGTTGAGAACCATTGCTACCTTGGACTAAAGAAAAACACTGATAAAAATAATCTTTTTAAAAACTGTAAAACCTCTGACAGTTTTTTTAGTTTGTTTCTGAGTTGTCAGTTAAAATATTTGGGTTTGTGATCAATATTTGGAGCAGGAGCACCTTCTGGGTTGTGTCTTAATATATCTGCTGTGGTGTCTCAAAGTTCAGGTTACTGTTCAAGGATTCAAGGATTTTTTTATTGTCATATCAGCTCACATTTTCATGTTTATGGTACGAAATTCGGACTCTGGTCCCAGATCAAGAAGCCTAACAATTAACAAATAAATAAATACAAAAACTTATAAATATATATAATATTTTTTTAAAAGTAAGATAAAGCTGAATTAAATGCAGCTTGAGTTCAGCAGTCTGACAGCTGCAGGGAAGAAACTGTTTCTGAGCCTGGTGGTCTTGCTGTGATTGCTCCTCAGCTGCCTGCTTGAGGAGAGGGGCTGGAACAGACTGTGTGCAGGATGAGTGAAGTCCTTCATGATGCGGAGCACCCTCCTCCTGCATCGCCCTCCCCCTGCACTGTTCACATTGAAGCGTTGTGAGTAAATGACTGAGCAGCTGTTTAAAATAGTACTTCAAGACAAATTTCATTTGTACATATTTCTTTTATCGGCAGCACGGTGGCGCAACTGGTAGAGCTGCTGCCTCTGAGCGAGCAGGTCCCTGGATCAAACCCCGGTCCAGGGGCCTTCTGGGTGGAGTTTGCATGTTCTCTCCGTGCATGCGTGGGTTTTCTCCGGGTACTCCGGTTTCCTCCCACAGACCAAAAACATGCATGTTAGGCTGATTGGTAACTCTAAATTGTCCCTAGGTGTGAGTGAGAGAGTGAATGGTTGTTTGTCTCGTTTGTCTCTATGTGTCCCTGTGATGGACTTGCGACCTGTCCAGGGTGTCCCCCGCCCCTCGCACAGTGATTGCTGGACATGGGCACCGGCGACCCCCATGACCCAAAATGGAATAAGCGGGTAAAGATAATGGATGGATGGATGGATGGATGGAGTCCTGTAATTAGATAATGGCCCAAAACAAAAGCTAAAAACAACATTTGCTCTTTAGAAGTTCTTCTATGAGAGCTGATCTATGAAAGGAGCTGAAACATGGAGTAGGACTCACCCTTCAAATCTGAGACAGCTGGAAGTTAACCAGTAAACAGAAATACCTGCTCCAGTTGCAGAAATCTGACAGAAATTGACAATCACTCACCTGCAGTGACTGATTTAAAAGGTCGAACAAGAAAATGTGAAGTTAAAGGAACATCCTTTGTCCCAAAGCCAGTTAAAGTGTCATTAATATTTTGGTTACTTTATTTTTCTTTCTTTATGAATCGATTGTAACTATTTTCACATTATTCAACAACCAAAACGGATTTTGTTTTTTAATGTAATGGCTAGGTATTAAAAAACAAACATTTAGCCCTCCACACTACCCATTTACCCATTTATGTTGCTCTTATTTTGAAATGTAACCAGAAGTTCTGTGTTGAGAGAAGCGGAAAAGGAGACGCCGCTAATGTCGAACCAGTTAACACAGTCTGCCTGCCGTTATACTCAGGTTATACTTGCTTAATAAGTCTTCTGAGTCTCAGTGTTTGTAACCCCCTGGTGGCTGTTATTACATTACCGTATACTGTACTGCATTTTATTGTACCATTCTGTTTTCTTTCAATAAAGAATTGGAAAAAAAAAAGTCATCTGATACCTTCGTCCAATCAGGTGTGTCCCTTGAGTAAACACCTTGTTTTTGTTGTCCAATCAGGTGTGGCCCTTCTGTATTTGTCTGCAGGGATGCCTACTTGACCTGAGCTGGTATTGCAGGTTTATCGAGGCTAATGCTTAAGTCCTGTGTACATAATCTCGTTCCACCACATGTACCACATGCAGTGTGTATGACAGATAAATCTCTGACTCTAATTTTTTCAGACACAAAAGATCAATCAACCTTTATTTAGACAGGTAAATCCCATTGAGCCTCGAGGACTCATTTACAAGAGAGACCTGATTTCAACAAAGAAAGATGACAACAATGGACAACAGCAACAACAATAGACAGTTATAAAAAGTCATACTGCAGGTTTTTTTTTTTGTTTTTTTTTTTGTTTTTTTACAGATAGGATGGCTAAAAGGAAAAGGTAACAAAAAAACAGCTAGATTCTAAGGCAAATGTAGAAAACTAAAAACAGGAACATGTCTGCATTGGTCCTTGCCAGGAGTCCAGCAGATTCTTAAAGCCACTTAGAGAGGTCAAGGTCGAGAGCTTCAAATCTTTTTGTAAGATATTCCAGGAAACAGGAGCGGAGTAGGAGAAGGCCCTTTTGCCTAGTTCAGTCCTCATTGAGGGAACACTGCAGGTAATAATGTCCTGAGAGCGCACTCCGTAGCTGCACTCACACAGAGACATGTAGGAGGAGATGTATGAAGGCAGCAGACCAAGAAGTGATTTAAAGATGAAAATGTACCAGTGAGAGAGTCTGCGTGAAGTTAATGATGTCCAGTTAACCAGTGAATACAGTGTGCAGTGGTGGGTACGATAATCACAGCCAGTTATGAATCTTAGTGCACCATGATAGACAGCATCCAACATCTGCAGGGTTCTTGTAGGAGCATTCATGTAAATAATATCACCATAATCAATTGAGGGAAGGCAAGTCACAGATACAAGGCGTTTTCTAGCATTCAGGGTTAGACAGGATCTGTTTCTGAAAAAGAAACCCAGTTTAACTTTCAGTTTCTTTGTCAAGTTTTCCACATGGAGCTTAAAAGAGAGATGTGAGTCGACCAAGATACCCAAATATTTATAGGAATCAACAAACTCAATGGGGACAGCATTTGAGGATAAAATCGGAGGAAGAACTGCTGGGACCAACTTCCAAGCATCCCTTTGGTTTTGTCGGCATTTAGGACAAGTTTGAGGTGAAACAAATCAGTCTGGATGATGTTGAATGCAGATTTCAAAAGCTGGAAAGCCTTAGCAACAGTTTTAGCTCGACAATAAACAACTGTGTCATCAGCATAGAAATGTATAGGGATATTTTTACCTACATTATGTAAAGAGGGTGGGTCCTAAGACTGAGCCTTGTGGTACACCATTGTTGACTGTTAAATAACTGGAGGAAGTAACATTATGTTGAACACATTGCCTCCGGTCTGAAAGACAGTTACAGAACCAACCAATGGTGTGATCTGAGAAACCAATTTCTGAGAGCTTATGACACAAGATGTTCTGATCCACAGTGTCAAAAGCTTTAGACAGGTCTAAGAAAAGTGCAGCACAATAATCCTTAGCATCCAGTACTTTAACAACATCATTAAGAACCTTCAGTGAAGCAGTGGTTGTGCTGTGTTGTTTCCTGAAACCAGATTGATGTGGAGGTAAGATGTTAAATGAGTCCAGGTAATTTTTGATTTGAGAGTTTATCAGTTTTTCTAGAACCTTGGCTAAAATGCAGAGTTTAGAGATTGGTCGATAGTTGTTCAGTGAGGTGGGGTCTCCTCCCTTCAGCAAAGGAAGAACAAAGGCTGTTTTCCAAGTGTCTGGGATGGAGTTTTGTCTTATGGAGAGATTGAAGATGTGGGTCACAGGGACTGTGATGATATGAGCAGCCAGCCTTAAGAAATAAGGTGGAAGTTCATCTGGACCTGCAGATTTTTTAGGGTCAAGATCTTTTAACAGTTTATTAACCTCACTGACTGAGAATGGAGAAAAAGAGAAGCTGTGATTAACTGAGGATTGACTTGTAGAAGGGATTTGATTTGTAGAAGTTTGGTTATTAGGGGAAGTGGCTGATCTTCCATTAGTAACTGTGTCAAATAATGAACTAGAAGCAACAAAATGTTTGTTAAAACAGTTCAGTATCTCGTGCTTATTTGACACAGGAACAGAGTTAACGAGAAGTTGTGATGGGAGGTCAGATGATTGGGGGGTGCCTGAGAGAGATTTGATGGTTTTCCAGAATCTGTTAGGGTCATTTAGATTGTTGGAGGTCTGAGATAAGAAATAGTTGTGCTTTGCTGCTTTGACAGCAGTTGTACATTTATTCCTCATCTGTCGGAAACTCAACCAATCAGTGTCTGAGTCAGATTTTCTCGCTGCAGCCCAAAGATGGTCTCTCCTGTGCAGGAGGTCAGCTAGCTCTGGAGTAAACCAGGGGCTGTCTCGTCCCTTTATTCTGAACTGACGAAAAGGAGCATGTATGTTCAGAAAATAAATGAAACTATTATGAAAATAGTTCCAAGCAGAGTTCACGTCATTAGTTAACAGAATACGATGCCAGTCAAAGTGAGACAGATCCCAGAGAAATGACTGTTCACAAAAATGTTTCAGATCCCTTTTTTGAATTAATCTGGGCTTAGAAGGTGGAAGTTTAATATTTCTCAAAGCAGCTGTCACACAATGATCACTCAAAATATCAGCGAATACACCTGTACCTGATGCCTGTAATGATCTAAATGTGTTTTTTAAAGTGTCTCATCCACTCCGTTGTCTGAGCTTCGGGGCCTGAGGAGATTTTAGAAAAGCGTGAACCAAAAATAAAACATTTAAATCTAAATATGAAACATTTTAAAGATATTGTTGACTAAATCACAACGTTAAGCAATATTTCAAGTTGTGCAAAACTACACAGCTTGTTTTTATTATTTACACAAAAACTGCAGTTGTTCTGTGCAGAAACAGTTTGTAGGTGATACTAATTCACAATTATTTTATACTGAAAGTTTTCATGTACAGCTACAGTTTGAGACTGTGTAAAATAATTAAAAAGTTGAACAAATATGTGTAAATGGATTTAATGTTAGCATTAAGGAGGCTGGTGTGATAATTACAAAATGTAAGTAGTGATGGAAACACAAAGACACTCCCCTGTTTAGTCTATCACCACAACGTGGTGGTTAGTGAACACTTTGAACACAGTCACAGATTCATATCACGTGCTCTGAACGCTCACACTGACTTTAAATTGTAAATATTAATCCTCTGCAACAAAAGTTTTTTGTTTTAGCTTTTACTTCATTAATCTTGTTAAACAGCTTTGCATTCTGAAGTGAAGACCACGGTCTTGTGTGGCTCTGTTGTTGGCCTTTAAACACCGTCTGTCAGAGCTTTTCCTCCTCTTATTTCTGCAAGACTTCCTGTCCATCACATGAACAAACCAAGCCTCTCTAAACGTGCATTTCCTGAATGCATGTTCTCGACAGAACCTGCACACTCTCCTTACTCTTGTGATAAAAAGCCCGTCATGTTGTTTTTAGTGACTGTGAGCTTGTTTATAAATGGTCGTTGGCCCAAAAATGCATCTAAATATCAAATTAAGCATCTTATAGTTAGAGTTTTTAGCTGTTCATCATCTTTTACTTCCTATTTTCACTTCATTTAGTTGAGTTTTTACTCATGACAAGAGTATTTCCTGAACAGGCCATGTGCACACGTTATTATGGATCAAGCTGAATGTGCTGGTTAATAATTAGAGTGTTGCCACGAAGGCTGATCCTGTGTGAGTGAAAATGTGCATTTCCATTTTACAGCGCAGAGTTCGGTCAAACAGCAGACAGAATGAAGCAGCAGGGCCCTCCTCTCTTTAACTTCTCGAATGAGGAAGTTCAGAGCAGAGCTAAGAGCTGCTTCCTTTAACGCAGGATGATCAAGTGCTACGACTAACTTCAAGTGCGCACCCTTCAAGGATGGAAATAGCCACGGAGAAAAAGTAGTTTCTATTCGTTTGCTGGATTTTATTTGAAATTTTCTCTGTAAGAGCTGATGCTAAGCACCAGAGTTAATTCTCCTGAGTGATTTACAGAATGTCAGGTTATCTGCCTTGGTACCATGATAATATAACTCGATCCAAAGCTGAGGGTTTACTCTCCAAAGCTGCAAGAGATGGAAGCTTCCTTATCCGGGACAGTGAGTCTGTACAGGGAGCGTATGCCCTCTGTGTCTTGTGAGTATCTTTTGTTGAACTATTACACATGTTCATGTTAATAGTGTCCTAAGTTTGATCATTAGTCACTGAAACTTTCATAACACTGGATCATGTCTGCACAACATATGGCTTTTAATCAGTATGGGTTCTGATGAGCATCTTTGATGTAATGTGATTAAAAGTTAAAATTCCCCTACACACTCACATATACACACACACACACACACACATACATACACGCACGTACACACATGCCACCAAGCACTAGTTCCCCTTTATTTGCATGTTGTATCACCAAGCAGCACCACCATTTGCCCCTCTGCACCTCTCTGGTGTGCAGTTTTCATGGAGCTACCTTCATTCTCAAAGGTCTGCTCAGTTTGCACACTTGATAAAGTTTCTTATTTCTCGTGCTGTGTTGCATCCAAGTTACAAAACATTTGCATTTTATTGCTAACGACAGATTCCAGAACTGTGTGTACACATACAGAATCCTGCCAAATGAGGACAAGAGGCTCTCTGTTCAGGTGAGTAAACAACCTGGAGCAAACCACAAGCTGGAAAATGATCAGATGAGCAGGTGATAATAAATGCATGCTGGCTCATAGCTTAATTGAAACGTGCACCAGACTGGGGTTAAAATCACATTTTAAACTAAAGCCAGACACAAATTAGACAGCTATTGTAATATTTATGGTGTTTGTTAAATGTAAAACTTTTTTTTTTTATTTTACTTTCTGAGACCACAGTTTGTCATAATGATGAGAGTGTAGCACGTCCAGAACTCAGACACTGAAGCAAAGGACTTGAAGAAAACGAAATTCAAGTCTTTAACATTAAAAAAATTGTTTGAGTCAATGCTGAAAGCTGAATGCTGGCTAAAATTTACTGGAACTAAAATTGAGTTATTAAAGCTAAAAGAAGCAAACCAACTAAGGAATAAAACATGGGCAAAAGTAGTAAAATGCTAGGTTGCACAGTGGTGCAATTGGTAGAGCTGTTGCCTCTCAGTGAGAAGGTTGCTGGTTCAAATCCCTGCCTGGGGCCTTTCTGGGTGGAGTTTGCATGTTCTCTCCGTGCATGCGTGGGTTTTCTCCGGGTACTCCGGTTTCCTCCCACAGTCCAAAAACATGAATGTTAGACTGATTGATAACTCTAGATTGTCTCTAGATGTGAGCGAGAGAGTGAATGGTTGTTAGTCTCATTTGTCTCTATGTGTCCCTGTGATGGACTTGGACCTGTCCAGGGTGTCCCCCACCTTTCACACAGTGACTGCTGGATATGGACACTAGTGACGTCACAACATGAAGGTAATGGATGGATGGATAGTAAAGTGTTAGCTAAAACAAGCAATGGTTAGCTAAAAGCAGCAAAATGCTAGCCAAAACTTTAAGTAGCCCAAAATGTGCTAAAAGCTAAAAGTAGCGAAAACTGAAAGTAGCAAAAAGGTACTAACAACTAAAATTAATATATGAAGACAAAAATAAAGCAAGTATGCTGTTACATTCTCTTGAAAGTGTGTGTCAGCATACCTACATACGTACAACATACAAATAAGACATAATAAACAGAAGGCATGGCATCAGTTTCTTAAATTATCTGAATGTTTTGACATTTGGATGGCTGAACTGGCACAAAGGATCCAGAAGTATTGATACCCTATCATTGATACCCTCCATAGGATGGGTAAGACACAAAAGTTCATAGCTAAGGAGGCTGGCTGTTCATAGAGTGCTGTGTCTAAGAATATCAATGGAAAGTCTGGGAGTGGAAGTGGAAGGGCAAAATGTGGCATGAGAAGATGCACCAGCAAAAGAGATGACCGTGGGCTTCAGCGGATTATCAAACAGAGAAGATTCCAGAATCTGGCAGAGATCCAGAAAGAGTGGAATGAGGCGGGAGTCACAGCTTCAAAAACCACCACATTCAGACGCATCCAGGAGATGGGCTACAACTGTCGGGTTCCTCTGTCCTCTTGTCTGATGAAACTAAAGTGTGGCTTTCATTTGGAAATCAAGGTCCAAGGGTTTGGAGGAAAAAGGGTGAGGAACAGAACCCATACTGCTTGAGGTCCAGTGTGAAATATCCACAGTCAGTCATGATTTGGGGTGCAATGTCCGGTGCAGGTGTTGGTAAACTCTGCTTTCTTAAATCCAAGGTCACTGCAACAGTCTACCAGAATGTTTTAGAGGACTTCATGATTTCTTCTGCTGAGGATCTGTATGGAGATGCAGATTTCATCTTCCAGCAGGACCTGGCCCCTGCCCATGCCGCCAGAAGCACCAAAACCTGGTTTGATGCCCATGCCACAGTGCTTGACTGGCCAGCCAACTCGCCAGACCTAAACCCCACTGAGAAACTATGGAGTATTCTTAAGAGGAAAATGAGGGAGGGGCACCAGACCCAACACCAAAGAAGAGCTGACAGCAAGCATCAAGGAAATCTGGGCTTCCATAACTCCCAGGCAATGCCACGTCACATCGAGGCAGTGATTAAGGCAAAGAGATTCCAACCAAGTATTGAAGATTGACATATTGTTGTGAAAATACCATATTTTAATTGATTTGTTGTGATCCTAATTTGTTTATTTTTTCTGCAAAAACTGAGTCATGTGGGCTGATATCGTCCCAGTATTCAAATTTTTTGAAATCCTTTTTTCGTGGGTTTCATGAGCTGGAAGCACAAATTATGTAAAAATAAACAAATAAATACTTGAAATCGTTTAAATTGTGGGCCCTGAATCTATCATCTATTAAAGATGAACTTTTTGAATGGAATTATGGAAGTTAAACAACTTTTCCATGATATTCAAATTTTTTGGAAAAGGGTCTGTATATGAAAGGGACAAAACGAAAACATATTTAAAATTTACAAATTTATAAACAAGAAACAAAATGAATACAAAGAATCTCTAAAGAAAACAAGTACAAACAATTCAGATGAACCTTACGATCATTTTAATTAAAACTAAAAAAATAATTTTTTGAAGGTTCTCAAAGCAGCTACAGCCCAAAACTCCTGCATCCACCACTTCTTTTAGTTTATATTTTTAAAGCCCAAAATACCTTGGGACTTACATTTGTAATAACTGAAGCTGACAAAATGCTAACATTTTAATAAGTGAAGTTAATGGGAGTAAAAAGGTTTGATAGAAGTTTTAGAAAACCAAACAGTTGTGTATTTGGAGATATTTCAGTTTTTGCAGGGTTCATGTACACCATCTGATGTAAAGTTACTAAAAGTCTTAGCACACTGTTCCTGAATGAGACACCTGTGTTTTTGTATGGCTATTTTTAAAACACTGGTGGAGCAAATCAAAAAATGTGACTGACCAAAAATTAAGAATAACAGTCAAATCATAAAGGTGCTTCAATGCTCATCCAGTACCCTTAATTATATTGAACTAAACCCAGACAACCTTTACTGGATGTATATTGATGCTCATATTTTAGATTTTTGGTTATGGGAAGTTGTTATTGTTTTCCCAGAGATAGACTATATTCAGTTTCAAGCTACTCAAATAATGACCCATCCATGAACAAGCCTCCTCCATCTGAAACATCCATCCATCCATCCATCCATCCATCCATCCATCCATCCATCCATCCATCCATCCATCCATTCATCCATCATCTTCCACTTGTTCCGAAGTCGGATCGCGGGGGCAACAGCTTGAGCAGGGAAGCCCAGATATCTCTTTCCACAGCCACCTCTTCCATCTCTTCTAGGAGGATTCCAAGGCATTCCCAGGCCAACCGAGAGACATAGACTCTCCAGCGTGTCCTGGGTCTTCCCCAGGGTCTCCTCCCAGTCGGACATACCCGAAGCACCTCCCTAGGGAGGCGTCATGAGGGCATCCTTACCAGATGCCCAAACCACCTCAACTGGCTCCTTTCAATGTGGAGGAGTAGCAGTTCTACTCCAAGTCTCTTCCAGATAACCTAACTTCTCACCTTATCTCTAAGAGAGAGTCCAGCTACCCTGTGGAGGAAACTCATTTCAACCGCCTGTACCTGCAATCTCATTCTTTCAGTCACTACCCAGAGCTCATGACCATAGGTGAGGGTAGGAATGTAGACCGACCGGTAAACAGAGAGTTTTGCCTTACAGCTCAGCTCTCTCTTCACCACAACGGACCAGTACAGAGTTTGCAATACTGTACATGCTGCACCAATCCATCGGTCCATCTCACGGTCCATTCTTACGTCACTCGTGAACAAAACCCTGAGATACTTGAATTCCTCCACTTGAGGCAGAACTTCGGCCCGAAGAGAGCAATCCACACTTGCTTCACACTCGGTTGCAAACCGCTCCAGTGAAAGCTAAAGATCACAGCACGATGACGCCAACAGGACTGCATCATCTGCAAAGAGCAGAGATGGAATCCTGAGGCCATCGATCCGAAAACTCTCTCCCCACTGGCTGCACCGAGAAATTCTGTCCATAAAAGTTATGAACAGAATTGTGACAACGGGCAGCCCTGGCTGAGTCCAACTCCTACCCCCAATGGGTCTGACTTTCTGCCGGGAATTCGAACCAAACTCTCGCAACGCTTGTATAGGGACTGAACAGCCCGTAGCAATGGGCCCCCAATCCCATACTCACGGAGCACCTCCCACAGTGTACCCGAGGAACACTGTTGAATCCCTTCTCCCAGTCCACAAAACACATGTAGACTGGATGGGCAAACTCCCATGACCCCTCGAGGACCCTAGTGAGGGTAAAGAGCTGATCCAGTGTTCCACGGCCAGGACAGAACCCACATTGTTCCTCCTGGATCTGAGGCTTGACCAACGATCGGACTCGTTTCTCCAGTACCCCTGAATAGACCTTACCAGGGAGGCTGAGGAGAGTGATGCCCCTATAATTGGAGCACACCCTCTGGTCCCCCTTTTTGAAGAGGGGAACCACCACCCCAGTCTGCCAATCCAGTGGCACTGCCCCCAATGTCCACACGACATTGCAAAAGCGTGTCAGCCAAGACAGCCCCACAACATCCAGAGCTTTAAGGAAATCAGGGTGAATCTCATCCACTCCCAGAGCCCTGCCGCCTCTGAGCGTTTTAAGTACCTCGGCAATCTCAGCCACAGTTATGGATGGATCAACCCCAAAGTCCCCCGACTCAGCTTCCTCCATGGAAGACGTGCTGGTGGAATTGAGAAGGTCCGAGAAGTATTCCTTCAACCTCCCGGCGACATCACTGGTTGAGGTCAACAGCACCCCACTTTCACTGAACACAGTGTTGGTAAAGTGCTGCTTTCCCCTCCTCAGCCGTCTGATGGTTTGCCTGAATCTCCTCGGAGCCGACCGAGAGTTGTTATCCAAGGTCTCACTGAACTCCTCCCACATCCGAGATTTTGCCTCAGAAACAGCCAAGGCTGCAGACCGCTTGGCCCTCCTCAGCTGCCTCCAGAGTCCCACTGACTAAGAAGGCCTGATAGGACTCCTTCTTCAGCTTGACAGCCTCCCTAACCCAGGGTGTCCACCACCGAGTTTGTGGATGACCACCGCAAGAAACACCGACAACCTTGCGGCCACAGCTCAAGGCAGCTACCTCAACAAGTGAGGTGCAGAACATGGCCCACTCAGACTCAATGTCCCCCACCTCAGCTGGGATGCGATTAAAGCTCTCGCGGAGGTGTGAGTTGACGATCTCTCTGACGCGTTCTTCTGCCTGGTGTACCCAGCAAACCCTCACTACAAGTTTGTGTCTACTCAGCCTGTCCGGCATCATCCCCCGCCATCTGATCCAACTCATTACCAGGTGGTGATCAGTTGACAGCTCAGCTCCTCTCTTCTTCCATCTGAAACAACTCGAACCATAAATTTAATGCTTTTCTGTGAATGTTTACGCATGTTTTTATCAGATGGTTATTTTACACTGAGTAATAACTGATTGTTGTGCCCATGTGATATATAAACCCATCTAATACTCATTTACTTCACTTAAAAATGGGATACAGCAGTCTACTGCAAGTAAAATACTGACTAATATGATTGACTCCTTACAACTTCCCTCAAAGTCCACACTGTTCTTAAGAGTCATAATGCAAAGTAATGGAAAAGAAAACTCTCAGTTGTTACAAACCAAATGTTAGCTCAATATCTGTCAATTTGGCCATTTTTTTTTTTAGCTATTTTGTGTTTATTAATGTCAGCTGGCTGAGACAGGAAATGTGGAGCTTTACTATAAATTTATTGGCCATGATAAAAACAAGAGTGACCTCAGTGATCTGATAAAGTTTGGCATTTATTAACTTGGTCAGATATTTGGGTTGTAAAAACCAACAACAATAAATTAATCTGGATATTGTAAAATATCTTAGCATGAGAGCATTTATAAAAATATAACTCAACTGAACTGCTTTGTTTAAAGGATTAATCTGGCCATTTTGATGTGGGACTCTGGGAGGTTATGAGCTATTAACATCTTACCTGTTGTAGATATCTGTTAGAATACATTGAAGTCTGATGTGACTGAGAAGCTCTGTTGGAGTAAAATATGAGCCTGATAGTATCACAGTGAAAGAAATACTGTTCGTCAAAAAATTGTGTTTATTTTTATGATGTTGTTGATAAATACAATGTAAAGGCTTTCTGTTCAGTTCAATTCAATTTGGTTCAGTTTATTTATATCTTACCAAGTCACAACAAAAGTCATCTCAGGGCACTGAACAGAAACATTCATATATAAAAATAATAATTTAACATTATTTATCTGAGGAACAGACTGCTTTGAATTTAACTTCATCACAGAACTCTCATCTTGAGCAAGAATGAAGGCGACAGTGGAAAGGAAAAACTCCTTCATGAGGAAGAAACCTTTAGCAGAACCAGGCTCAGGACAAGCGTCCATCTGCTTCGACCGGCTGGGTTTGAGAGGAACAGATACACAATGGCAGGTCAAGAATCACATGTTAGAAATAGTATCTAATGAAAACTATTCAATTTTAGCAAATCGTTTAAGGAAATTAAGTCAATTTGTCCTCTAGTAGTCTAAGCTTAAGACAGCATAAGAAGCCAACCCTAACTACAGGATTTATCAAAAAGGAAAGTCTTAAGCTCAGTCTTAAAACTGGATAATGTGTCAGCCTCATGGACAGAAACTGGAAGTTGGTTCCACAAGAGAGGAGCCTGATAACTGAAAGATCTTCCTCCCATTCTGTTTTTGGAAACTCTAGGGACCACGAGTAAACCTGCAGTCTGAGAGCGAAGTGTTCTGTTAGGAAAATATGGAACAATAAGATCTCGAATATAAGATGGAGCTAGGTTGTTGAGAGCTTTATAGGTTAGAAGTAAGATTCTGAATTTGACAGGGAGCCAATGGAGAGAAGCTAAAACTGGAAAGATATGATCTCTCCTATGAACTCCAGCTACATAAGAATCTGCAGCAGCATTTTGGATCAACTGAAGACGTCTTAAAGAAGTATTTGAACACCCAGATAATAAACCATTGCAATAGTCCAGTCTAGACATGACAAATGCATGGACCAGTTTTTCTGCATAATTTTAAATAATAATAATATAATAAACGTTATTTCTATAGCACCTTCCAACAACGCCTTGCATTGACCAAGGTGCTTCACAAGACAAAACAAGATTAAAAACAGGACACAATAAATCAGTGCAAATTAAAAACACAGCGAGAATAAAAGAAGGTAAAAGAGATAAAATAAATAAATAAATACTAAATACTAAACTACTAAAAGTTAAACATTAAAAGCCCTTTTAAATAAGTATGTTTTCAGTTTGGCTTTGAACAGAACCAGATCAGAGATGGCACGCAGCTCATAGGGAAGAGCATTCCAGGCTGCTGGGCCTGCAACAGAAAAGGACCGGTCCCCCCATTGTTTGCACCTTGAGTGTGGTACCACCAGCAAATTTTGACCAGCAGACCGTAAAGCTCTGCTGGTCTGGTGGACTTTCAAAAGTTCTGAAATATAAGGTGGTGCAAGGCCATTCAAAGCTTTAAAAACAAACAGTAGCAGCTTGAACTGTGTCCTAAAATGAACTGGGAACCAGTGTAAAGAAGAAAGGACAGGAGTGATATGTTCATATTTACGTGTGTTAGTCAACAAGCGAGCAGCAGAGTTTTGTACAAGCTGTAAATGGGAGATAGAAGATTGATTAATACCCTCGAATATAAGATGGAGCTAGGTTATTGAGAGCTTTGTAGGTTAGAAGTAAGATTCTGAATTTGACAGGGAGCCAACGAAGAGAAACTAAAACTGGAGAGATATGATCTCTCCTATGAACTCCAGTTACATAAGAATCTGCAGCAGCATTTTGGATCAACTGAAGACGTCTTAAAGAAGTATTTGGACACCCAGATAATAAACCATTGCAATAGTCCAGTCTAGACATGACAAATGCATGGAGCAGTTTTTCTGCATCATTTTTAGATAAGATGATTCTAATTTTAGTGATATTACGCAGGTGGAAGAAGGAGGTTCTAGTAACGTTGTTTAACAACAACAAAAGGGTCTGAAATCTTAAACTAAGAGGTTTAATGGTGATCAACCATTTGTTATATCTGAGAACAATGTATTCTGTATTAAGCACATCCACAAGCTGTTTAGTTGGTGCTGCTGCTTCTATGTAATGCTAACATGATAGACAAAATCTGGAGAAAAGTACAAATATTTGGCACAGGTAGTTGAAGTACACAACTAATACATTACCTGGTAGATCACTGCTGCAACTTCAAAAAGGTGCACAATTTCCATCCATCCATTATCTTTTACCCGCTTCTTCCATTTTGGGTCACAGGGGTCGCCGGTGCCCATATCCAGCAGTCACTGTGTGAGGGGCGGGGTACACCCTGGACATGTCTCCAGTCCATCACAGGGACACATAGAGACAAACAATCATTCACTCTCTCACTCACACCTAGGGACAATTTAGAGTTACCAATCAGCCTAAGATGCATGTTTTTTTTGTTATTGTTTTTTTTTCATTCAACCTTTATTTAAACAGATAAGTCACATTGAGCCTAAAAGACTCATTTACAAGTGAGACCTGTTTGGACAGACAAAAAAGTGGTAAAATGGACACATGTAGGAATTGGAGGAGAAAAAATTCCTATCAGACTTTTTTTTTCCTGCCTGAGAAAAAAAAGCTCTATTAAAAAAACACCTCGCACAAACAAGCGTATAGTGACATAGACATTCTGCAGATGGGGGAGCCGAGAGCAGTGAGCATGTTCATAGATGCTCTCGAGGTCACTGTAAGAGTTCTGATAAAGATGGAATAATCAGCCAATGTCCTCTGGTGAGATTCATAAACATTCTCGAGGGATGTCGAGGAATGGCCAAGAATAACGACTATGAGAATCCACAAGTCCTGAAATGATGATACAAAGTTTATTCAGCTGGCTCATCTGGTTATCAGTTGGAAATTCCTCAGGGAGGGGGTGGTGAGCGTCAGATCACATGTTCTCCAGGCGAATTCAGATAAGATGTCCTTCAAGGACTTCTTTTGGTCTGTGGGAGGAAACTGGAGTACCTTGAGAAAACCCACGCATGCACGGAGAGAACATGCAAACACCACCCAGAAAGGCCCTTGGACCAGGATTTGAACCGGGGACCTGTTCGCTGAGAGGCAGCAGCTCTACCAGTTGTGCCACCGTGCTACCGAAGGGAAATTAATGCGGGAGTAATGACAACACTTCGGTAGAGACAATGAGGATCAGGTGAGAGTAGGAGGGGCAGGAGCTGAACTACACAAGGGGAGAAACACTGGGAAAACTGGAACACAAGTAAAACTAAATATCAGAATCACTGAAATACGAAAAAATAACACAAAAGACATGAATCATGACAGCCAAGGGCCGTCCAGCACGGGGCAAGAGCTCTGGCAGATGGCAGGGCTCGAGGAGTTGTGACGGGAACTGATGCTTCTGCGGCTGCTCAGGCACCAGTTCAACTCCCGGTACCGACAACATCAAAAATGTGGGTGGAATAGGTGAAGCACCCACACCTGCCTCATTAGGTGGTCTGTGGTTGTGTCAGAAAGGACATCCAGTGTAAAAATAACTGCCAAGTCTTTGTACGACTTAGTTCGCTGTGGCGACCTCTGATGAAAGAAGCAGCCGAAAGAGGAAAAAATACAGTCATAAAAATAAAAATACATCAGCCCAAAAATTAGTTTATAGTGAGCAGAAGGGTATGAATGATGTTGTGGTAGTTGAGAGTCAGCAGTACCTCCCAATACGGTATCAGATTATGCATAAAAATTATTTTTAAGGTTTAACCAAAATTGCTGTAACTCTATCATTTCTCATCATTAGATAATCTTTTTTTTAAACTCTGGCATTGAAGGCAGCATGCATTCCTTCAAACAATGCTAGGCCTTTAGTTTTGTCTGTGCCAAAGAAAATTTAATTAATTATGTTTCTGTTTTGATTTGTAGGCATCAGACGGAGTTCCTATTAGGTTCTTCACTATGCTACCAGAGCTGGTGGAGGCTTATTACAACCCCAACATGGGTCTGATCACACATCTGCAGTTCCCTGTCCAGAGGGAGGAGGAGGTAGACGAGGACCGAGGTCAAAAACATCTTACATAGTTATTTGTATAGGAGTACATACAAAATATTGTAGTTTAAAATAACAGCCTTACAATTTATGCATATTTTTGTGTTGCAGAAGCTGCCAACCATCCACCACAGCTTCCCCCAAGAACCTTTACAAGTGACATGAAAGAAAGTGAATCGAAGCCCAGTGAGCCTGCTGGCAAGTCCTTATCAGACATGTACCTGATGAAGCTACAGCACATGGACCTGTCTGGGTATGGTCACTTTTGCACAAATGTAAACAAATATATTTACAGCAGGTTGAAAATTGAAAATGAAGGATGTACTGAAAAAGTACCAATGCAGCTGCAGCCCAAAACTCTAATATCTGTTAATCTTTTACTCCAAAGCCCACAAAATAATTTAATATTTACATTTGTAACAGTTTAATCTGGTAAAAAAGACATTGTGATGTAAACTTAGCACATAAAGTTGGAAATATGTGTTTGGTTAATTATTTCTTTACTGTAACAGTGCTTCTTGTTAATAGTCAGAGTCAGTCAGAGTCAGAGATTCTTTGTCGTTTGCATTACATGTGGTACATGTGGTGGGACGAGATTATGTACACAGGGTCCCAGTTACATCCAACTAGTAACCTTATATCACTGGAAAGTTAGTTTATTTCTTTTTAAATGGTGCCACATTTGTTTAAAAAAAATGCTTTTGTGGGTTGAGTGGCAGAGTGGAGTGTGTGGGTTGTACCCATGAAAAACTTGCCCAATCTTATATGCTAATGCCAAACAGCTTATTCTGCTATTGGCTCTTGTTTGGTGTCAGTTCTTAGATTAGATCATTAAAGTCTGAAGAAACAAGACACATGGCAATTTAAGAATTTATTCATTTACCGTACAGTACAGGGGACTCAGTAGTGTGTGGAAGAACCATATACAGCCACAACAGCCTGCCTCCTCCTCCTCATGCTACTGACCAGTTTGGTCACAAACAACTGTGAGATGGTATTCTATTCTTCAACCAGCATTTGCTATAAGTTTGCCAGTATGGTTGTGTTGGCCACTCTCGAAGATTCACCCAGTCCATCATCATGGGTGTTTCATTCCCAAATTTTGCAAGTAGTCTCTGATAGACCTCAGTCTGTGGGAGTGAGAGATGTCATCTTGGATGATAGAGCTTGGTCCCAGACTGTGGAGACGAGCCAATATTTTTTCCATATTGTCACTGGTTGCTCACAGGTGCTGACAATCAGGCACCATTCAGGCACCGCAACACATTTGAAATTGTTTTGAAAGTATCTCTCAGTAGTTGGACTTTTTCATTTCATGTTTGTGCATAAAGGAACTGGTGAGTTTGTGAAAAATAGGCTAAAACTACAGGAGTGAAGAGTTTTGACAAGTAATTAAGCATAACAAAGAATATTGTGCTCTCTAGAAACTCCATTTGCTGGATGTTTTTGTTTCTCATTCAACTTGTTTTTTTTTTTTGTGATGGGATTCTGTGATATTCTTTTCTACTTTCGTAGGTTCAAACTACACAAACTTTATTAACAAGTTGAACATTTTATTCAATTGGTCATTTTAGGGTGATTTTTGGTCCCAAGATCCATCCATCCATCCATCCATCCATCCATCCATCCACCCGTTAGCTTTAACAGCTTCTTCCTTCTCGGGTCGGGAGGTGAGGGGGGTGGGGGCGGGGGTCCGCCGGTGCCCATATGAAACCAAGATGAATACAAAAAAAGTTAAAATTCCTGAAGGATAAAGGTCAAGTAGAAAGTAAGTTTTAGACAAAGACTCACCTTAAATAAACTATAAGAGGAAATCAAAATAATTTGTATTGTAAGTGAGTTAAGTGTCTGGTCTTTATAAATGTAAATCTGCAGCGTTTTCTGTAGGTGTGCTAATGAGTCAATGAAAGTATGGATGTGTGCACTGAAGGGAATGTGTATTATTTGCACTCACATGCACTCTCTTTTACTGTTATTGTGAATTATGTTTAAAAGTTCTATGATCCTTGCTCTATGTAATAATCAGTCTTCATGTGACCAGTCAGTAAAAGCATAACAAGATTCTATTTGGTCTGATTCCGTGAAGTCTTTCTTACAAGAGCCCTTGAGAGCTGCTGGCTCACAGATTTCCTCCTGCTTCTGACTGCAGCTGGGTTCTGATAAAGCTGGACAGGGCAGAGAGGGACTGGGACCTGGAAGTTTCAACAAAACTGATTCTTTTCTGTTCAGGAAGTTTTCAAGTTTCAGACAGGTGAAAGCATTGATAAGTGTGTACTTGTCGATGCATTGATCTTCTGTGTGTAGATGAACAGATGCTGAGATATATTCATCAATTAAAACGGATTCTTCATTTTTCTGGACTGAATATAAACGTGCATTGAATTTAATGAAATGTGGATGTGAGACGTTAATTATCTTTGACTCACCACGACAGTGGGTCATTTATTAACAGAATCAAGTTTAACATCAAACATCTACATTAATTTGGCAAAATATGAAAATAACAACATAATTAATCAGCGAGCTGTACAATTATGATCAATTATCCACACGACGGTGGATGAGCACTTTACACAGACATTTCTAAAATATCTGGAAGGATTTCTACTTGATAGAAGAATTTAAAGATGGAAAATGAAGTTTAGTGGGAGTGAAAGATGGATGAGGGAGAATGTGGTGTGTATGAGTGAAAAGTGTTGACAGGACGACACCCTCCATCCGACCCAGCTTTTCCTCGGTACGCTCAGTAGACTAGACTCATTTACCTCTCTGACGATGAATCAGAAGAAGAGGAGCTCCAGTTAACGCTACCTTTCAGCGTCTCCATAGGATGGCTGTGACTCGTCCGAAGTAGTGACGATATCCCGTCTGACACAAGTTCACCTCAGCCAGGTGGACTTCACATGAGTGGGGTTCTTCAGAAGTTCCACTCAGAGGTGGAAGTGTTATAATCCCATAAATCTCGGAAGAGCCTTATCATGGCTGGACTCCTGTTCTCCCAAACGACTGGAGCTGCAAACTCTCCAGCCCGACTCCAACGGCAACTCACAGAACAACGACTTCACAGAACTGCGAACATCTCAGAGCTGCTACAACACAGAACTGCGAGAACTAGGAAGTACCGACATTTTTAAGGGCTCTATTTCCGGTCCATTTGGGAGTCCCTGATTGGTCAATATCAACCAGACAGGGGTGTGTTTTGTGATGTAAGGTGTTATGGAAAGTCAGAAACCAGCAAGAATGTTATGGAACAGATTGAAGATGTTTCCCAGACAGGAGAGAGAAATGTTTCGGCTAGTTTGGAGAAACAGGTGCCAACTTCCCTGTTTACGTCTGAGAGGATTTAAAACAACGACCATTCGTTCCAACAACTTGTCTGCTTCGACTCCTGGCCTTGGAAACGTGCACTGCTTATTCAAAGACAGAAATCAGAAAATGCATAATTACTCTGTAACAGACCTTAACATGAATTCTAACTTTGCATAAGCAACTCAAAAATCATTGTTACTGTTTTACAGTTAATAAAATTGATTAGTTCACTGTAACATCTAAAATGTTTGAACTAAAACACTTTGATTATCAAACATTTGTAAAACAGGAATGATAATAGAAAAGAGAGTGTTCTTTCACTTGAATTTACAAGAAAGAAAGTCTCAGGATGGGTGAACCTGTATTTCTGGATTCAAATCAATGAAATGACAGTTTCTGTCCCACAAGGTTCTTAAGGTCAAGGGTTTTGACCTTAGGCTTAGTTTTGACATCAGGTCAAGTTCACTACATGTGATTGCTGGCTGTTCTCCAAAGCTTTTTAGGGGCTGAGATGGTGTAGAGGCAGGGCAGCCGACCTAGGACCAGAAAGTCGCAGTTCGACTCCCAGCCATTCCCACATGTTGTAGTGTCTCTGAGCAAGACACCCAATCCCTAACTGCTCCCCAGGCGCTTACATGGCTGTCCACTCTCCACCTGGGTGTATCAGAGGACTAATCTCACCATTGTATGGGAACATACAATGGCAACAATCTCAGACTTCCCTTTTTAAATAAGCAAGACGAAGCCTACACCTGGTTGTTGTAGTAAGCCTCAGGTCAAATCCTGACCTTGAGGGCCTTCCTGGGACAAGAACTGTATTTCATTGATTTGAGTCCAGAAACACAAAATCAAGTCCATCCGGTTCCCTACTATCCTTACGGAGACGCTGGAAAGCGTTTGAAGAGAACTCTACGCCGAGGCCGAACTATCGTCTGCAAAGGTAAAAGAGTCGATCTTCAACCGCAAAGTGTACCGTTGGTTAAGCTGGTCCAAAGGAGCGTGTTGTTCTGGTTATAACAGACAAATTCTCTCACCCATCTCTCTCAATTTAAACTTCATTTCCATCTTTAAACTCTTCTATCTTGCTAGTAATTAATCCAGATATTTTCAGAAATGTCTGCTGTAATGCTTGAAGTGAGGAAACCATGGCCGTATGGTTTTCTGACTGTAAAGCTAGTTAATTAAGCTGTTGTTGTAATCAATTTTGCCAAATTAATGTAAATGTGTGATGTTAAACTTTGATTCTGTTAATAAATGACCACATTCATTTGATGGGTCAAAGAAAATTAACGTCTCACGTCACATTTAATTATTCAATGCACGATATTATTCAGTCCAGAAAAATGAATGAATCCGTTTAATTTATGAATATATCACAGATATATGTTCATCTACATTGTTTTGGGAATCCCTTTTTTCCACAACATGTACCTTGCACTCTGGGAGGATTGGAGGGAAAGTCTTAAGATTAATAATAACCAGACACACATTGGATGAAAGAAAACAAACAAACAAAACAAACCCTATGGTTCGATGTATAAACTGTATCACAAATGTGAAATCATGCAAGTCAAAAACCGTTTATCTTGAAACATTTTAACAAGTTCAAAGAGAAAAAGTTAAAGGTTTGTGTGACAAAGTAACAAACATTACGTGGTAAATTCTCCAACAAACATACTGCAATTTTCTAGAAACTGTACAAGTTGTCAAAATGCCAGTTCAGTCAAGAGAAGTGCAACTTTCTGTAACCTGTTTAAATATTTGAATGAAGTTTTTATTGCTAAGCATGTCTGAGCTATAGACGGTTTAAAGAGTGTTGAGTCACTTGTTTCAACAAAATCCTATAAAATTCCTTCACTTTTTAGTGGATTTCATCAAAGCTATGCAATGTACCACTACCTAAATACTACCGCACTATTCCTCATCAAGCTGCAGGTTTTGTTTTACTTTTAATGTGTTTTTTTTCTTTCAAAGTACTAGGAGGAGCAAAGTACAAAAAAATGTAGTGAAAACAAAATACTGTAACATGCATCAGTGATTATTGGCATCCTTAATTATGCATGTAGCACTACAGAAATCTACTTATTGTTGTTGTCTTTGACTTTTACAGAATTTTGATGTTAACCTACTTGTTTGGTTGTTTGTCCAGATTGTCCGAGGAACATGAAATGGCCATCCAGGAATACTTCAGGTGCTCCATCAGTTTAGATGCTGAACAAGTTCAGAACGGGAACTCAAATCTTCCTGGCCTCAAAAAACTAATCACGCTGGTGTGCAAAAATCTAAACAGGTACATTTCCCACCCAGTGTTGAATGCATCCCACAGTGTACGGGGCCTTTTTAACCACTCTGTTGTTGTTTTGATGAGCCAGTGAAATTTCCCGAGTCACGCCAGTTTTAGAGATCTTCCACAGAACGTTGGATCAGCAGCTCTCTCCAGGGATTGGACCTAAACAAGTTGGTGGCTGCCGTAATCCTTTGCACTATTATCCACACACCCAGAGAAATACCTCTGTTAATTTGTAATATCTTCTTAATTTACAGGTTTTTGCCAATTCAGGCCAGTGTGTGTCCTACAGGCTTGATCAACTTACAAAATTGCTCTACTCCATAGAGGATAAGGTTTAGTAAAACTCTACTTCATAGACATACCAACAAATGATCATGGTTGCAGATGACAAAGCACTTCTCTATTTCTTTTTTCAGGTCAAAGGTTCTGTTTTTGAGTCAGTAGGATATGAAGGAGGACACAGGAAATCTCTCATACCGCCTGTTGCATTTGAGGTGCTTCCCTAAATTTGCTTTTATACCACCAGATTGGCATAAAATGATAAAACGTCTAAATGTTTGTGGTTTAATTGACCAGAAACCTTCTTCTCTGGCAGGTCAAGCAAGAATCTCTTGGCATTTCTACAAAAATGGTCTTGAAGGTGGACATTGAAAGTGGAAAACTCTATTTTAAAAAGTCAAAAGATGGACCTGAAGACAAATATTTTGTACACAATAAGAGTAAGGGATTTTACTTATACAGTTCTGACAATAGCCAACACAATCAATTGATAACAACGTGATTCTACTTGATCAACTATTATGTTATGTTGTTTATTTGTAATATGCAGGTTAACATAGGGTCAACAATGCAATGAAATGTTCAGGATCAGAGGAAATGTCATACAATTGGTTAAAAATCCCCAAATCCTTTGCATTTCAGTATTTTTTGTTTTAATTACCTTAATTAACAAGTTAAGTGATTTTAAATGTCCTGTTCAGTGCAAATCTGTGTAATGGTGTCTAAATACTTTGTATTTGTGTAACAAGTTAACAGGGGCAGTCCTAGCCTGTTTGTGCCATGGGCAAACAACCCTCCAGCACCCCATCCCTCCCCCAAGCCCGCATCACCCACTCCCACAGCCACCAGTGGGGTGGGGGGAATGGACACGAAACAAATCATTTAAATTACCATGTACCATCACAAACACACTCAAAATGTATTTGAATATTTTATTAAAAAACTTGAAATTGAAGAAACTCGAATAATACTTTAAACACAGAGAGTAAGACACATGAATACTGTTTACCATGAATTTAAAAGTAAACGATAAAATTACACAAAATAAATACTATAGAAAATAATACAATTAAAATAAGGTATTTCTAAGTTGCACCAAAAAGAAAATCTGTGTACAACAACTGCACTTTTATCAAGACACAGAGTTTACTGCACATCTGTCAAGAAAAGTCTGAACCTTTTGTGAATAAGACACTTTACACTGTCATTTAAACTGGGATCTGTTGCAACTATTTGTACATTTGAAGCATTGAACGTTAGGCTATAACCATCTTCAGAGCTTTATTTGGGTTACCATTCATTGCTCACACAAGCTAGATCAGTTGTGGTACGACTTCCTGACCTAAAAAGAAACCGCAGAGATTTTCCTCTAAGTTGGTTTCCCTGTTGTAACTAAATGAACAGGTGTGTGTGTGTGTGTGTGAAAGCATTTGTTGCATTAAAACATTTTTAGTAATCAGTAATTGTCAGATAATTTAAAAAAAAAATCTAATTCCTAATTTTTGACCAATAGCCTGAAACAATAGATCAGGGCTGTTCAACTAAACTGCTCAGGGGCCACAGTTTCTGAAAGTCAGCAGCTCAGGGGCCAGACAACCAGCAATTAAAGTCATTGTATAAATAAACCAAGTATTACAATGATCTGTTACATTTTAAATTAGTTTAGTTTGTTGCATTGAATCATACATGCAATAAACAGAACACAAAAACCCAAACCCAGAAACCGCCCCCCATTGGTGGGCCAGACTTGAGTAACCCGCGGGCCGCCTGTTGAATATCCCTGCACTAGATGAGGTGTTAAAAACAATGCTGTCTGCTAAGTTCGTCTTTCTTATGGAGTTGCTGCATTGCTACTGACTTTAAAAAAAAAGTTTTGTTTTTGTCAGCTGCTTTGACAGCCTTGTGATTGTTTGTCAGTCCTGCAGTTGGTGAAATCCCAGAAAATGCACAGCAAACTTGTAATCGTGGTGGAGACCGAGAAGAAGATTTTGCGAAAGGAGTTTGTGTTTGAAGACACAAAGGTAATCCTTCCACTCGCTCAAATACCCCATGGTTTTAAATGAAAGACGTCCTCTCTTCTGTTCTGGCTTGAGTATATTTGACTTGTATTTGTTCCTGTCTCCAGAAAAGAGAAGGTTTCTGTCAGCTGCTTCAACAGATGAAGAACAAACACTCAGAAAAGCCTGAACCAGACATGATCAGAGTGTTCATTGGCACCTGGAATATGGGTAATGACAATTTCACATTTAGTGATAGATTTTGTTTGGATGATGTGCAATTGATAATCTGAAAACAGATCCCCAAACCCACAGGTAATGCTGGTCCTCCCCACAACATTGACTCGTGGTTTCAGTGTAAGGGTCTGGGGAAGACACAGGACGACACCGCAGATCATATTCCACATGACGTTTACGTCATTGGCACTCAGGAGGATCCTTTGGGTGAGAGAGAGTGGTCCGACACGTTGAAAAGTGTCCTGAGGAACATCACAAATATTAGCTTCAAGCAGGTGAGTAACCATGACAACTAAATTCTGATGAGGAGCAGGAGCAAATTAAACTTCTCCGTACGTCCAGGTGGCGATTCACACGCTCTGGAACATTCGGATTGTGGTGCTGGCCAAGCCAGAGCATGAAAACAGGATCTCTCATGTGTTTTCAGATAGCGTGAAGACGGGGATTGCCAACACTTTGGGTAAGCAGTTCCACTTCTCCACGAGGCCTTGAATGACTCGTCACAAAGGTTCACATAAACACAAGAGCACACTGAGGCATCTCAATTGTTTGCAGGAAACAAGGGAGCCGTGGGAGTGTCTTTCATGTTCAACGGGACGTCTTTGGGCTTTGTCAACAGTCACTTGACCTCTGGAAGTGAGAAGAAGCTCAGGTGAGTTTGGTTTAAATCCACTTTTAGTATTGCACTGCAGCATATGCTCAATGGGATTAACCTGTTTAAATAAAGGCTGAATGAAACCACAGCTCTGGCATTAATGATCAGTGCAGTCAGTGCACTTTGGATTTGGGGTGCAGCTTTCTCTGGATGAACCCTGGAGGTTTTCCTTTGTGGTTTAAAAAAGTCTGCACAGCACAGAATCAACTTTAGTAAGGGTCTTCAATGACATCCTTATAGCAAATGATTTTGGCAAACTTGTGCTTCTTGTCTTGCTGGACCTAACCAGTGCGTTTCATGTGGTGGATCACAATATTTAATATCTTGTTTACAGCACCAGGTGGATATTTGTAATAGTGCTCTAAACTTGTTTTGGTCACATCTATGTCAGTGCAGCTGGTTCTGAATCCTCCTCTGCTCCTCTGTGTTTTGAGGTCCCACAGGACTTAATACTAGGTCTTCTACTCTTTTCATATTTATCTGCTTTATTTGGGTTTAATACTCAGGAAGTATGGGATCTTTTTTCAATGTCATGTTGACGACAGTCAAATATACAAAGTATATGCTACTAAAAAAGAAAAATACCCTCTCTGTTAAGCCACTTCAGTTTTGTCTTGAATATATCAAAGACTGGATGGCTCTAAACTTTTTGAATTTTAAGGACAGGAATGATGATCCCAGTGCCTCATGTGAACATGGATGGATTCACAAGGGAGTTTTCAAAATGCCTTCAGATGTTTGCAAACTGTATTAATTGCCTTGCCTGACTCACAGGGCTTTACTTGAATTTTGGACTTGTTTAAATGAAAAATTATGACAATTTTTCCTCTCAAAATATTAACAAATTTGTGTTCACCTGAAACCTGTCTCATACTGTTCTCAGTTCAGGTTAAACAAGTCAGAAAGTGCAATAGATGTGAGTCAAACTTGAGAAGGTTTGCACCCAAACTAGGGGTGCACCGATTGCAGTTTTCTGGTCGATCACTGATTTCTAAAAAGTCTGACCTGCCGATTCCGATTTTGACCGAGACCTATTTCGTTTTATAAGCGACACTGTCATAAGGTCATAATGCACTTTCAATTTTCCTATATAATTTTATTGAAAAACATGCCCTTGAACAATATCCTAGAACAATACAAACTTGTTTTACTTGGCCATGTGGTAATGCTCTGAAATATAAATGAAGTTCAGACAATTGTTGTTAAAACAAAAAAAAAAATCAGTAAAATCGGTTTCTCATGCAAGTGTCGTCCGATTTCTGATTTCCCCAAATTAAGGAAATCGGGACCGATAAATCTGCCGGCCAATTTATCGGTGCACCCCTAACCCAAACCTATAATACTAAACTGCAACTGGAGACAAAAAAAATATTTAAAAAAAAAAAGGAAACAAACTGAGGCACAATTAATTCACTATGAATAAATTGTGGATATAAATGTGCATGTCATTTACACAAATGTGTTGCCATGTGTTGTAAGAAGCATTTCAATATTCAAGAACAGTTTTTTCCCAAAAGCCATCACCACACTGAACTCACACATGCACTGATTTAATAATCTAACCTCCCAAACACCTGGACTTCTACTGTGCAATACTACTGACATTTCATACTCTCAATCACCTTAACTACCTCACTAATATCCATAATGTGCAATACAATTGTGTAATACTTGTATTTTTTTTTTAACTTTCATTATTATATCTATATTGCGTTACATTTTTTATATATTTTTAGTGTGTGTTTAATGTGTGTTTTCTTAAGGCGTGTTTTTGCACTGGAAAAAGGAGTGGCTCTTAATTTCATTGTACTGCGTATAATGACAATAAAGGCATTCTGATTCTGATTCTGAATATGATTAATAAAGAGAAAATAAAGAAAGAAATGTACATTTTCTTTGAATTTTGTCCACTGCTCAGAACAGGACCATAACACTTTACCACCAGACAGTTCAGTGATTGGATTGGGCAACAACAAATGTGTTTTTATGTTAAGAAAAGTAATGACAAAATTAATTAACTGCACAAAGCTTCACAAAAAGGTTACAAAAAGCACATTTGTAATTTAACAATATATATATTTTTTCCTAGACGAAATCAAAACTACATCAATATCCTGCGTCTGCTGAATCTGAGGGATAAAAAGTTCAACCCTTTTGACATCACTCATGTCTTCACACACTTTTTCTGGCTGGGAGACTTGAACTACCGTGTTGAATTTCCATCATCAGTAAGTTGCTGAAAATGTGTCTTCAGTAGTGTTTTTACAAAACAATAGAGCTACTTAACTTTTCTCATGTCAATTATTTTGGCTCTGTTACTACTTCGCTTTGTGGCACAAAGGCACATCAGGGGTGGGTTGACATCAACCACCCTCACCACGTCAGTTCATTCAGAAATTATACAGAGAAGACCGGAAGGCATCTTGGTCGGTGGGAAGAAACTGGAGTACTCTGAGAGAATGTAAACATTACTCTTGGTGTTGTTGCAGTTTTGTAAATCATTGCACAGTCTGACCTTGACGTAAACTTGACGGAAGATGGACAGAACTCTTGAATATGTTCCACAAAGGAACAATCCATTCCTGTAGAACAATAGACTCCAAAACTGTTGGGTGATCCCAGACTGATGAGCAGAAACATCTGCTTCTCCAAGATCATTGCTGTCTGCTGCCTAAAGGAACAGGGTGCCTGACTATTGCTGTGTCTGTGCGTATTTGCACGTGGGCATGTGTTCACTTGTCTGTCGTGTTAGTAAAATATCAAATGAACAAATGAATTGATTTTATTGAAACTCTCTGAAATTAATCATTAGTTGTAGATCTAAAACTGAAGGTATCAACCCCATTCAACAGCTGATCAACTTTGCTGATCAAGACCTATATATTAAATATATTAAATAGATATTGAGATAAAGTTTGGTGTGCTGATAGCTGAGTCACCCTCAACACCTACTTTCAGAGCTAACATGTCTTGCAATACCTCATATGTTATTGACAAAGTTTTGCCAAAACAGCGATGACTCCAATATTTCTCATTATCAAATGATTTTAGTTGAATGCTCTGGTATACATGTAGCACATGTCCTTCAAGTAATACTAGGCCTTTATTATAGTTAATTGCAATGTACTTTGACATTGTGTCACACACACCTGAGAGCTCCAGAGCAGCAAAATGCTGTTTTATGGGATCCATCATCAATCAATCAATCAATCAATCAATGCATTTGACCAGCAGCACCTAACAGATTATCCTCTTTAATCTTGTGGGAGCAGTGAAGGGTGGAGTTGTTTTTTCACTCACTGCTTCAGCATTTTGGTGTAATGAATAATAAATGACCTTGTCATATGTCATGCATCTTTATCTGAAGTTGTGCTGAGGTCATTTTATGACCTGATGAGGCCGACATTACACTAACATGTTGTTAAACAGCAAACAATGAGCATAAAGGAGTGTGTTGTCAAGTGTCTGATCTCTCAGCTGCTAATGCTTTGAATCACAACCAGTTGCTGCCCTGCTTCCCTCACAGGAAGCGGAGTACATTGTGACAAAGATCAAACAGCAGCAGTACCAGGAACTCCTCAGTAAAGACCAGCTCTGCATGGAAAGGACTGATGGAAAGGTCTTCTTGCATTTTGGTGAGCTTTGGAGAACACAAACCAGTACAGACATGCATCAGCTGCTGTCAGAACAAACCAACATTTTATGCTTGCAGATGAAGAGGAAATCACATTTCCACCCACATACCGCTTTGAGAGAGACACAAGAGAGAAGTATGCCTACACAAAGGCCAAAGCCACAGGGGTGAGTTGTGTTCAGTCAGCTCTCACTGTACAAAGTTCACATCAATACATCATTATTGATGTACATGAACTATGTTGCTGGAAATTACACAACACCAATCCATCACACACACACAATGAATTCAAACAATCACGTATATTTCTGCAGTGTGTTTAATAAAAACTGATATATTCAACATGAATCCTGTTCTGCCTGCAGACCAAGTACAACTTGCCTTCATGGTGCGATCGCGTCCTGCGGAAGTCCTACCCTCTGGTTCATGTCGTCTGCCAAACCTATGGTGAGTGGCTTCCAACAAAACCTTTCATGCTTTTATTTTTCTGCATAAAACATGTAATTTAGTTTATTTCAAAAAGCAATAGAGACTAAGTTAACTTGTCTTCATTCGTGGAATACAGTTTCTTCATACAACATTGGTACAACATTTTATTGTCGTACTTGAGCCATAAAAACTGGGCCAGCCGATCTTTCCAAACTTTACACGCAATGTATTCATGGCTGACACTACAATTTCCTCTAATGTTTAGCCAGGGTTAGGGATAATATGTTATTAGTGCTTCAGTGAACGGTGTAAACTCATGTTTCTGGTTGCCGTACAGCCTTTTTGTTAAATGATGTGTCTTTTTGTGCACCTTTTTTCACACCATCAAACCTCTGTGCTCAGCAGTGCGATCATTCCCACATTAACCATAAGAATGATTTTAGGTGTTGGACCTGAAGGACCTCCATTGCACTAAACCAGAGGTGCACAACCTTCTTAGAACCAATATTTACTTTTGCGGTTGGCAGCTTTACAAGTCTCCTTGTGTAGTCATAACACACACACACAAAGTTTTGTGTGATACAGTAATCTGGTCTGATATGTATGTGAATGTTCCTGTAAAGTGCCGTGAGACAACTTTGTTGTGAATTGGTGCTATATAAATAAACTGAACTGAATTGATATGTAATTAAAACACACAAACAGACCCAACAGGTCTAGAAGAGACAACATTGATGCAAGCTGTATGAAAATAAATGTATGTCTCAGTGGGACTTCTGACACTGGGAGGAGGAAGCCAGGTTCTCATCAGTGGGGCAGTATGAGGTGGTTGCAAGGCGTAGGCAGGTCACCAGATGGTCATCAGTTGTTGTGGCTCTGTCCTTAGACGATGATTTTCATGTGAGTGAAAAAAGACTCACAAGTAAGTTGATGAGATGCGGCACATGAGGTAGAACGAAATTGGGACCCTGTGTACACAATTTCATTCCACCTCATGTACCACATGTGATGTGAATGACAATAAAGAACCTTGACCTTGATGAAGTTAGGGTACTTTTCTTCAGACTCCATCCATGACAGGTGTTGCTCTGGATTTGAACCCACTGTCATTTCGCTGCATCAAAATCTCTTTTTCAACAACAGAGTGGTCCAGCTGAAACATGGACACTAATCTGGACAGAATGACATCCACATCAGTATTTCCAAGAGGATAACACACATAGCTGGTAACAGCTGGATGCAGTCAGGAAATCATCTCTCAAATTCTGACAAGCTGGTCTGAAGCTGCTCGTACTACAGTGCAATGTTCAAAGCATCCTGATTCATGCTCAATAATCCATCCATCCATCCATCCATTATCTTTTACCCGTTTCTTCCATTTTGGGTCATGGGGGTCACCGGTGCCCATGTCCAGCAATCACTGTGCGAGAGGCGGGGACACCCTGGACAGGTCTCCAGTCCATCACAGGGACACATAGAGACAAACGAGACAAACAACCATTCACTCTCTCACTCATTTGAGGCAGTCATGGTCAAAGTGGTTCAAAAGTTTGAAGTTTGTTGTGGCTCCTCAGACTGATGAAGTCTTTTGGATGAAAGATGAAATGTTTCAACAAAAGAAACTGTCCAGAGGACCTGACTTAACTTTGTTGGATTTTTCTACCTGGATTGCTGAGCATGGGCAGCACGGTGGCACAACTGGTAGAGCTGCTGCCTCTCAGCGAGAAGGTCCCCGGTTCAAATCCCGGTCGGGGGCCTTTCTGGGTGGAGTTTTCATGTTCTCTCCGTACATGCATGGATTTTTTCCAGTTTCCTCCCACAGACCAAAAGCATGCATGTTAGGCTGATTGGTAACTCTAAATTGTCCCTAGGTGTGAGTTAGCAGGGGAGAGGGCGGACTACAGAAACCATATGAGCACTGGTTGACCCACTATGACAAGGTGCTATTTTAAGAAGTTTGTTGTGGCTCCTTGGACTGATGAAGTCTTCTGGATGAAAGATGAAATGTTTCAACAAGAAGAAACTGTCAACTTTACTGGATTTTCTACCTGGATTACTGAGCATGAATCAGGATATTTTCAGTGGCGTTATTTTAATGTTTTATTGTGCTAATTTCATAAATTACTTTGCAGTTGAGCAAGATTTTGTTTTAATTAATGAAAATACATTTGTTCAATCGGATTATTTTACATTTTTGTCTCCGGGTGGAAACAGAAGGAGCTCTCTTTCTTTAGGACTTTACTTTAATTAGAGAAGGCTGAGCAGAGCATGAGCACGAGTTGGTTTAATAACTGACAGGACAATTAGTCAATCAAAATGTAGAGTGGGCGGGGCAAAGCATACAGCGCCCAGAATCTGGGGAAGGCCTTGTAAACCTTGTTGATTTATTTTTTCCCACCACATTCAGTTGTAACCTGTAAATTCAATAATCCACGCAGAAAACTGTGATTATTCTAAAAAATAAAAAGTTAAATATCAAAACAAGACTTTCACTGATGATTTTCAATGTTAATGTTTTTTTTTTTAAATTGTTTGTTCCATTACATGAAGTAATTTTACAGAAACAGCAAATTCTGTGGGTTACTGTTAAACTTCTGTGTGAATTGTGAAATTACTAGTTGTACTTGAACACATCAGACTGTGTGAGCTGCACCTCCTTCTTGGTAGTCTCCGGACAGAAATGGGCAAAATGTTTTTCAGGTTACATGTTCAGGTGGGTTGCCTCTGTTGTTTATCCTGTTTAGTGTTGGGTGGGCATTCACATTCAGGTTGTTGTCAGTAATTGTAAAAATATATAAATAAATAAATTTTAAAACCACACCATAAATCAGAAGTGGTACTTGATAAATAAAAAAGGAGGAGCACTTCCTGTCAGAGTATCATTGAATTGCGAAACTGAGAATAAAATAATGTAACCTCATTGTGACTCCATGCCTTCAACAGCAGCACTTAATAGGATGTTACATTACATCTGACTGGAAGGCCCTAGCTCTTATAGTCACAATTTACCATTGACGTATATCCAAGTACTGGATGCACGTACTGTACATTTAAAATTCATTAATATGTGGAGTCAACCCATTTCCAGATGGCTGCCACAGTTTATTGACCTTACCCAACACAAAAAGGACTATAACTATGTACATTTCACAGATGAGCTAGATTTTGTGGGTAGTAGCTGAAAGTTATCCTTAACAAATACCAACACATCTTGGCAAAGGTTACAATATGGCACAATATGGCATGAAGCATCATTTAGAGGTGGGGTCTGCAACCTGCGGCTCTGGAGCCACATGTGGCTCGCTGGTCCCTCTGCAGTGGCTCTAAGTTTTGACCAAATCTAACATAAAACTGAAGTGTATTGGTTGTTGTATCAACAACAAGAAATGGCTAGTTTCAGCAGTTTTCCGATCATTTCTTTTGTCAACA